TAGAGCTAGATAATAGGCTCTACTACTAGTAATATATCTCTATTTTATAGTTAAATTAGTAGTTTATCTAAGTATTCCTATACGTTTACTCTATTAGTAAAGATTACTTCTTTACCTTTAAACTATAGGTAAGGTATTAGTGTCTACTTAACTTCCTTATCTACTATTTTAGATTATTCCTCTTCTATATCCTTATAAAGTTGTAAATTAGTTAATAACTCTAATCTAGATTTATTATTAAGTGTAAGGTTATTAATAGCGTCTATAATAGTCTATTCTTTATCCTTAATTTTCTTTATTAGGATGGTAAGTACATTTAACTACCTAATAACCTTATTCTTAGATCTATAGTTCCTAGTAATATGGCCTAGTTTACTATATATAAAATATATATAAGTCTTAGTCTCCTAGTATTAGGTTCCTTCTAAGATACGTATATTAGGCTTATAAAAGCCTAGTCCTTTTTCTTTTTCTTTACCTAAGTAGTTAAACTAGATATCTTCTATTAGCTAGTATCTATAGGAGTCTTATAATATATATTAAGGTCCTTTTAGTAGCACCTTATAGACTATAGGTACTAGTTATCTAAAACTAATATTTCTTAGGTTACGTTAAAATTCCTATTATAGTATAAACTATTCTCTATTAATCCTAATTAATTTATTATATAATTTATTAAGGGTTCTAATAATTTCTCTACTATATAGAAGTTCTTCTTATAGAGGTTTCTTAAGACCTTATTTATATATTATTATTAGTAACTTATTATCCTAGTTAAGTTATATAGCGTTTTTGCGGAACTCTACTATATACTTAGCTACTAATTATTATTATATTATAGTCTAAATATTTCGTGCCGTAATAGGTACTTTATTAGCAATTTTAAATATCTACTTAAAATATTTCTTAAAGTTAGTATAGTCTTTAATAATATTAACTATATCTATATAGTTATTTATATATTCCTTATCTTTATTCTTATAGTCTATTTCTAGATACTTAGTTATATAAGGTTAAATCTATTCTCTAGTATTACCTTATATATAAGTGGTTATAAAGATAACTTTTTATTTATCTTTAAGTTATTTATTAAGTTTAAAGAAATAGAGGTCTAACTAAAAAGCTAGATATTAGTATACTTTCTATTACTATAATATAAATTAGGTTTATATGCTTTACTCTTAGAGTTACCTATTAGAGTAATAGTATTATTATCTAAAGCTATAAAAGAAGTAGGAGTCCTTATAGTTATATTAAGGGTATTTAAGATATTAAATCTAGAAAGGGTAGCTAGTCCTAAATAGGTTAAGGTTAGTTCTTAGGTAAGACTTACTAAGGGAAGGAAGAAGGGGTTCTTATTAATATAGAAGTATCTTATAAAGTATAATAAGTTAATAAGGAAGGCCTAAGTAAATCTAAATAATAGATTAAAACTTAGGTTAAATATAAGTATAAAGGTTTATCCTTATATTTCTATATAAGGATCTTACTTAGTTGCTTAGGAGCCCTAAATAACTAAGTAGGTTACGTAATAACTCTTAGCTACTTAGTTATTTAGGAACCCTAAGTAGCTAAGTAAGTTATATAACTACTATTTAAGTAACTTAGCGTATTCTTATTTTATTATAATTCTAGTTATTATATCTTCTACCTTTATAAGCGCCTAAACTTCCCTACTATTATCTAGTTTGTAACATTTACCTCTAGAATAAGACTAGCTATATACTTATACTATAGAGTTAGCCCTATAAAGTTAGTAATAATAGATAGTAACTTCCTCTATATCTTATACTTAAATTATATACTATAAACGTTATAGTTTCTACTTAGAAACTTATAGAGATAGTGCTCTAGTGTAATACTAGTAAACTCTTTTATATTTTTATATACGTGGTTAAGAACTCTCTACTAGAGGACTTAAGACTTATTTTTAGCCTTATTACTATACTTTACCTATAGCGTAGGTACTAGGTCCTAATATAGTATAGGCTTATTATTATTATAATCTAAGACCTTTTTAGGTTCTTTATTTAGCTACTATTCTATATAAGATATTATAGTGCTTATTAGCTTTCCTTTCTACTTTATAGTCTTTAAAAGTGCCTAGATATTAATAAAGTGGCGTCCTGGCTTATAAAGTATAGATTAGTATAGGTTAAAGTATATATTATTACCTATATTAGGGAAGAAGTCTCGTTAGTAGGTATCTAATAGATAAAATTCTACGCTAGATTTAATACTAGGATAGAATAAGCTCTATACTTTATCTATACTTTATACTTATAGTAAGCTAGCTAGCTAGTTCTAGTTAGCTAGTTAAATATCTAGTCTATATAGGTCTTAGATCTCTAAGGTAACTTTTATAACCTTATTAAATATAGAGAACTAGTACTAAGGCGTTAGTTAGCTTAGATAAGTAGTATATATATAGATATAGATTATACTTATATTATCTATTCTATAGCTTACTATCTACTTAAATATAGAGATATTAAAAGTTATTTATCTAATTAAGGTGTAGTACTACTAGGTAATTATTAGCCTCTAGCTAAGATTTCTCTATAGTGTAGCTAACTATTATACTAGAAACTTTACTTAATTACTAAGTCTAAGCTTCTCTAGCATCTCCTACTTAACTAACTAATTTAAACCTTAAAATAGCTAGCTATTATTAAATACTAAGATTACTAGCTTAGTCTATATCTAGCTATAGTTATCTAGAAGAATAATATCTTCTTAATTAGTATAAAGCTAGATCTATAAGTATAGTAGAAGCGTATCTATCTTCTAGATTAGCTTATTACCTTAGCTAGTATATATAGGGGCTAAAACCTTTATTATAGATATTATATACCTACTACTACTCTTTCTCTAGTAATTAATAAAGCTATAGATACTCTTTAAAGGCTTTTACCTAATAGTAGTCTATAATTAGCTCTACCTTCTCCCTAATAACGCCCTCCTAACCTTTAAATAATAGCTACTTTAAATTACCCCCCTTAGCGCTCTTAGCTATAGTAACCTAGTTACCCTCTTTTAGGTAGTTTAGTATCTACTATACTTATACCTTAGAGTAAGTAACCTATAGCTAGTAGCTTATATCTTACTAAAGAATACCTACCTTATTAAAAATCTAGTAGAGGTAACACTTATAGGCTTAGTTAATAGGTCTATTTATACTAATACTCTATTCTATAGTAAGCGTATTAATTAGAAATCTAGCTATTACTAGTAGGTATAGTATAACTTAGTTATAAATAGAGTCTATATTCCTAATTTCTTTAAGGGCTATATATTACCTTTTCTCTATTTAAGTAGAGATATTTACACCTTTACACTTTATTATAGTTTTACTTTTATTAGAGTTAGAGTGTTTAGGTTAAGTAGTATCTTTAAAGATAAGAGGTTATTTATATATAGGTTAAGACTTTATATATTAGTATTTCTAGTATAGACCCCTTACCTCTAGAGGTAAGTAATACCTAAGCTTATTAGCCCCTACTAGGTATTTCTAGTAGGCCTTTTATTCTTTACCCCTAGGGGTAGCTTTCTACCTCCTTTACCCCTAGGGGCAGCTACTATTTTTGCCCCTAGGGGTAACCTAACCCTACCTTAGTAGTATGGTTTAGGGATATAGTATAGAGTAGTATAGATTATATAGGGTATAAATATTAATTAATTACTACTATAAGAATATATTACTAAGGACTTAAGAGTAATCTTCTATAAGGAAACTAAATATAGTAAACTATATTATAAATTAATAATAAAGGCTTACCCTATAGTAATCTATTATCTCTATATACTACTATCTAATAATGGCTCTATAGGCTCTATCTATAAATTCTATAGATCTAGGCTCTATAGCTCTATTCTATAAATCTATAGATCTAATTACGTAACTTCCTTATATACCTATATTATACTTAGTATCTAACCTATAATTATATTCTTCTCCTATATAATCTAATTAGTTACTACTATTATTAATATAATTCCTATAATTCTATTATAGCGTAGTAGCCATAATATAAGGAAGGCCTAAGTAAATCTAAATAATAGATTAAAACTTAGGTTAAATATAAGTATAAAGGTTTATTTTTATATTTCTATATAGGGATCTTACTTAGTTACTTAGGGGCCCTAAATAACTAAATAGGTTATATAATAGCTCTTAACTACTTAGTTATTTAGAAATTCTAAGTAGCTAAGTAAGTTATATAACTTACTATCTAAGTAACTTAGTATATCTTTATCTTATTATAATTCTAGTTATTATATCTTCTACCTTTATAAGCGCCTAAACTTCCCCACTATTATCTAGTTTATAATAAATACCTTTTAATACTAGTAATAAAGTAGTTTATAGCTTTTTAAGTACTTTTACTAGTTATTAATTATAAATACTAAATAGTTACTTATTTATTATTTCTAGTATTACTAGTTTATATATTCTAAATAAGCTTTATAATTCTAAGTTAGTTTACTCTAACTCTAATATAACTCTAACTATATTTAATATAGAATATAATAGAATTAAATAGAATAGAAAAATAAAAAAAATACCTTTTATATAAAATAATTTAATAATTTCTTACTAAAATACTTATAGGTTTACTTTATAGGGTTACCCTCTAAATTTCTATTCCTAGATACTTAAACCCTAGTATTAAACCTAATTAGGTATAGGGTTGGCCAGCCCCGTTACTACTTATTAGTTAGGGTAGCCGCGAAGGAAGTATTAGAAGGTGTGGTGCCCCTTTAATATAGGTAATAATGTCTAAGGAGATTCGCGGTAGAGCTCTAACGCTCGAGACTCGAAGACTCGCACGAACGGAGCCTCGGTTCCCAGAACCGCAGGTCACTCCACAAACATAGACATAGGCTTCACACGGTATAGAGAGGGAACACAGCATGTTAGAAGCAATTAAGTTATTTTGCTTAGTCTCGTTATATTGTTCTCTCTGCTTAACTAACTATGCACTCTATCACTCCTCTCCTTAGCGACAAAACGCATCAACACTAGCCTCAGAAAGCGTATGACTCCCGCCCGAACATCTATATCCACTAGCCTGCTTAATCCACTGATACCCCATCGGACACTTTCCCAACCTCTTCAACTTCTTCTGCCTCTCCACCTCCTTCTCTCGCTCCTTCTCAATCGTCGCGAACTCCTCTTCGCGACGTTGTCTCTTCAGTTCAGCTGCAATGCGCGCTTGCTCGCGGATACGTCGCTCTTCTTCATCGGCAGCGGCCTTCTCCGCGAGGATAAAGTCCTTGATGCGTTCTTCGTAGTGTCGCTTCTCTTCTTGCAGACGACGGAATTCGCGTTCTTTGTCGACCATGGCGTGTTTGTCGCGTTCTAGTTGCTCCCATACTTCGTCGGAGATGCCTGGGTCGCGCTTGGCTTTGAAGATGGAGCCGAGAGGGCTTTCTGGCTCTGCTGGCTCTGCTTCAGGTTCAAGTTTCTTCTCGGTTGGCTTCGGTTTGTCTTCTTGGTTATTCATGTTGGTCGCTCCCGGTGGCGAGGCAGTGTTTGCGAGATATGGACCTTGCGTAGTTGGTGGGGTACGATCTTGTGTTTGTGAATGTGGCATTGGTTGTGGGGGCATTTGCTTATTGAATCGGTTTGTGCCTGCAGCGGTGTTTCGTCGCGAACGTTCATCAAACATCTCCCTTATGGCGTGGATGACGATCGCTTCCGTAAGTACGAGACTAGTGATAGGAGGCACAGCGGTCGAAATGAGTGCCTGGAACATACTCTTGGCCACAGATTTTACGTCGCGGGCGTTGCCCCATGACTCCAGTAGTGACAAGTCACGAAATAACTGCAGTAGCTGCTGCCGTAATTGCGCTGAAGGCGGGTTGACAACCGAGAAATCAAGTGGTGCTTTCTTCTTCTTCTGCACATCCGTGAGAACCTTGACAAGAAGCTCTAGACAAGTCTCCGGTTCCATATGCTTGAACATGACCGTTTCGGGGAAGCGACTGGTAAGGCCGGGATTCATGCCCATCAGTCGATCAATATCCTTGTCGTAGCCGGCCAGGATGACCACGAGCTTTTGCGCAAACTTTGGCTTGGTCAAGCAGTCGACTAACTCATCCATCGCTTCAACGGCGAACGAGCCCTCTGCAAGGCGATACGCTTCATCGATGAAGAGAACTTTACCCATGGCTTTCTCCATGAGCTTCTGTACCTTCGGCCCAGTTTGACCCACGTACTGTCCAATCAGATCAGTAGCGGAACATTCTACCACCTGTGCCTGGCTGAGGAATCCCATGTCGTAGAAGATCTTGCCCATCTTTGCAGCAGTAGTAGTTTTGCCCGTGCCTGGCGGTCCCTTGAACAGAAAGTTGAAAGGCAGCTGCTCTCGAGCATCCATCCCGAGTGCTTTCATGTTGGCAGCTGTTGTTTGATAAACTTGAAACTGTTTGATGAGTTCCTCGCATCCTACGACGTCTTGGAATAGAGCCGATACTTCAGTGGCTGCACGCTCACCGCGGTCGAATTCCGGGTCAAAGTCGATAGCTTCGAACATGCCAAATTGTTTGACCTTGGCAGAAGTTATGTGCTTCTGATGTAACGCCTTCGCACGGTCCAGGATGATGTCGACTTGGCCTGCGTTGCCGAAGTTTTGGCAATTGCGTGCTCGTTGTATAACCTCCATGGCGACCTGAAACGAAACATGTTAGCACGGGCACATACTACCTGGTATTCGGTCTTACCTTCTTGGCTTGGTCTGTCGCATCGAACCCTATATCCTTGAGTTTGAAGTCAAAGATCTGACGAATCTCAGCGTCATTGAAGTCTTCAAAGACGAACGCAGACTCCAGCGGGAATCGCCTCGCAAGACCAGGATTGACATCTCGAAACATTTCTTCCATCTGGTCCTTGTAACCTAGTAAAAGCACGCATCGATCTTCGCCTGCGGTGCTCTGGACTTCGGCAACAATGGTGTCGATGACTGCGGCTTTGAAGGGGTCGCCGTTAGGACCGCCAGCTTTAGCTAGCATGTAAGCCTCATCAATGATGAGAACTTTACCGACGGTGGACGCCAGGATGGCTTTTGTGTTAGCTTCCGAGCCTCCTATAACGTTGCTGACAAAATCTGCTGGGTTCTTTTCAACGACTTCGCCAAGAGAAAGAAGACCAATGTCAGCCAGTATGCGGCCGTAGAGTTTGGCTACGGAAGTCTTTCCTGTTCCTGGAGAGCCGACAAAGCAACGGTTCAGCGAACATTGTACGATGGGCTTTTCCTTCAGTTCAAGCTGGTAGTTGGTCTGTATACCTTCGAGAAGAACTTGTACCGATTCCTTGACCGAGGTCAATCCAGTAAGCTTTTGCAGCTTTGTCCACGCCGCGTTGTTCTTGAGCATCGACGAAGGCTCTGGACCTATTAAGTCCTCCTTGCTGAGAAGGTGGTCATCTGGCATCATGCCAGCTCGTCTTGCTTTCCGCAGTCGCTTGGCTTGGCGCTCAGTAATCTGCGCGATCTTGTTTTGGACTTCGCGGGCGTTACCAAAGCCATCGTGGCCCCGACCACGACCAATGCGTCGCGCAATGATACGTACATAAAGGCCGTTTCTACCGTCTTCAATCTTCATGCGCCCGGAATACTTCTTGTCAATGTACTGGCAAAAGATCTGTTGTAACTCGCGGTCTTCGTAGTCTTGGAACTCCATTCGAATTGGTATACGGCTTGGGATGCCGGGGTTGTGGGAGAAGAAGGCTTCCATTTGCTTGTGGTAACCTGCCAGCACAAACACGACTTTGCCAGTCAGATTCTCAATTTCGGCAAGCAGGTAGTCCAGCACCGCTTTGCCGCCAGGACTGTTTCCAGATACCAGTTGATATGCTTCGTCGATGAAGAACACGCCACCTCCTGCTTGGAGTATGTTGTCGATTTGGGCTTTGCAAGCGGACACGCCATCATTTGCAAGAGCTGATCCGGAGCTCTCAACGAAATGGCCACCAGGCAAAGCGCCTACCTCGACTAGAAACTTGGAATAGTACCTAGCCACAGTCGTTTTCCCTGTTCCGGGATTGCCTAGAAGAGCGGCACCGAAGCGCTCTCCCTTGAGCGATACGTTTTGTCGCACGACCGTATCAACTTTGGCCTTGATCGCAAGGAATTGCTGCTTAACAGATTCTAGCCCTATCATCGGTACAAGGGAGTCGAGAGCTTCGTTTTCCGCACCCTCGTATTTCTTCTGCCAGCCCCAATCATCTCTAGCTTCGCTCTTATCCCAATCAGTTTGGTTCTGGTCCTGGTCCTGGTCCTGATCCTGTTCCTGTTCCTGTTCCTGATCCTGATCTGGCGAGATGGCTTTGGCTGTAGTCTTGTCACTTTGATTAGACGTCTTGTTGGGTGCTGCGTTCTCGCTTTGTCGTCCCGATATGTCGTTCGGTGGGGTCGCCGCGGCCTTGGATGTTGAAGATGCTGGAACTGGTGGCTTTCTAGGATTTTGGACCCTCTCCTGCAGGTTGCGAAGATCTTGCTTCTTTTGTTCGAGCGCTTGCTGGCGGTCTCTGTTTTCGGCCTGCTCTTTCAGAATGCGCTTCTGGTGCTGAATTTCTTCCTCAATATCGACTAGTCGTAAGGCGTATGCGCCTTGTTTAGCCTCTCGCTCTTTGTCTAGCTCGTGGTCCCGTTGACGCTTCTTTTCTCGCGCTCGCACTTCGGCTTCGCATTTCCGGCACACGGCCTGGTCATGGCACTTTCTTGTAGTCTTATGGTTATTAGGACAAGTCGAAGAGATGATGACTCTGCAATCCATTCGCGAGTGATCCTGCAACTGATGGCATCGGTGGGGACAGGTGTGGATGCCGCAGTTGAGTAATCTGCCACAAGGTTCAGAACAACCGCCGTCCGGGCATACCTCGTCGAATTGCTCTTTCTCGGTCAAAAGTGCGGTTTTTTCTGGATGACGCTTGCATTGGACGGGAAAGCCATCGTAAACGTGGCCGTCTCGCTTCAACTGGGCCATAAGCGGTACCCATACTTCGTTGCCTTGGCGACTGTTCATGAAAGTGTCTGCGTTGCCAATCATGATCAACCCGTTTCGCGCTCGCGACAATAATACGTTGACGCGCTGAGGAGACGACATGAAGCCGATATCACCAGCATTGTTACTTCGTGTGAGACATGCGATAACGATATCGCTCTCTTCTCCTTGGTAGTTGTCAATAGTTGATATGCGAAGCTTACGCTTCGAGATGTTTGCGCTAGCTGGTGTGATTAGGCCCGCTTGAATCAACTCATGGGAATCCAAATCATTCAGGATGGGATCGTTTTCCTTGGACAGGGTGTTCACCAGTAGGTACAGCTGACCCAGGTAAGGTGTAAGTACTACGATGTCTTCTGTACCGTAGCCCTGCTGACCAAGGTATCGTACGCATTTCAGCACCATTTCAGCCTCATACAAGTTCTCCTTACTGGAATTTGCGCCACCATCACGACGGTCGGCGATCTTGACTGCGTTGAGCTCAGGACGCGAATGTGACACGAACACGACGTTGCTTTGAAACCCATGTAGATCCGGTCGACCTTGAGTCTTCTCAGCATCTTCCAATTCCGGATAGGTAAGTGCTCTGACAAGGGATGAGATCTCAGGACGCATGCGATGCTGCTTGCTGAGGGTGGTATGAGGAACTCCGCTGAGTACGAGACGTTCAAACAGGGAGACGTTGAGATCGTATCCATCCCCTTTCTCTACAGTCAAGGCATAGTTGTTCACTTTAGGCCGCAGCTGCTTGTGATCACCAATCAGGATGAGTTGCTTCGTTGTCGGAGTCAGAGCTGTGAGTATATGACTCTCCAGGATCTCTCCAGCTTCTTCCACCAAAACGATGCCAGGTGAAGCTTTGCGAACTTCGTCAGTGTACATGGCAGCCGCCGTGGTAGTACAGCCTATGATGCGTTTCTGACTAAGCACGTGGAAGTTTTTCTTACGGAATAATCGATCGATCTGGGCACGACACTTGTTGTACTTGTCGGCAAGAGTGCTAATCCCGATAACCTGCTCTTCAAGGATCGTCTTGTTCCACTGCGCTTGAAGTCCAATGCGGATCTGCGGCGGAACATTCCAAACGTGAGGATAGGTTTGCATGGCATGATTGGCAAAGACGCCCGCGTCTTTACCCTTGACCCATCTCTTGACTAGATAGTACTTGTCGACGTGTTTATTCTTCTTACCCATTACCGTCATGCCGTCTTCGTTGTTGGGTATAGCGAACGAATCGAAGTATTCTGAATCATCAGAGAACTCTAAGAAATCGAGGAGCATCTGTTCGCTGAGTCGCGTAGAAGCAAATGATGACATCCTTGTGACTAGGGCGTCATGATAAGATCCGCTTCTGTCTTTTGGTCTTGGATCATGGCCCATGTTTGTCCAGTCATCTTATAGTTGTTCGGCTGTTCTCTAATGGTGAGTGCACGAGTGTTGGCATTCGACTTTGATCCTAGCCGCACGATCGAACTAGCCGGGATGCCGGCCTTTTGGATGTCTTCCAGGAATTGATCCAGAGCATGATTCGTATACGTGAGAATGAGCATAGTCTCATTGGTATTATCGTGTAGTATCTTTGCGATAAGTGCTCCGATGAAGCTTTTGCCGGTGCCTGGTGGGCCTTGAATAAGGCTGACTCTCTTCTGTAGACCAGCCAGCAGTGAATCTGCTTGGGCCTGATCGAGCTTGATTGAATGAGTACTCCTAATAATGTCTTGGAGGTCTTCTTCCCAGTGGTCGCGGATGGCGTTGATGGTCTTGGTCGGCTGAATACCAGATACCTCTTCAGCGGAACTTGGGGTAAGACTGAGGAGCTGGTCCTCAAGTGGCAACTCGGTCAAGCACTGAAGACATTTGAGGATAGGCTCATACGCAAATACAGCAGTATTTACTTGTACAAAGCAGAGATCCGCTGCGAGCTTACATGCCATCAACACTTTGCCAAATGAGCTAGCGTCGGTCACTTGCAGCACGACGATAGCAGGTTGCTGAGCAAGGAGGTCTTCATCGCGGTCCACAGTTGCGAATGCGATAATGTTGCCGTTGCTAATAAGGCAGCCGAGTGACTGATGCTTTAGGACGTTTTTGTTGTCGGCGAGGTACTTCTTACGATCAATGGCCTTGACGTTGCGCAGCTGTGGAACATTGTCCGGGCAAAGAAGTTTTAACGAGCAAGGCTTGCGTTTCGTCTCCGATCCGCAGTCGATACCGGAATATTTTAGATGTTCGAGGACTATCTTTCGTCGGCCTTTCTTCTGGCCACTAGCGATCTGGAAATCGTTTCGCAGCTCACCCAGAAGATCCTCGCGAAGCAAGCGAAATTGGTTGTCAACATGGGTTAGACCGCGGCTCTCCGGAGCAGCAGATGCGATAGAATCCGCCCGTCTATAGAATGGATGCTCGGAAGATGCGAATTCGTCTGGTGTGGGTAGGAGCTTGATCTTATGGATTTGCGCGAAGTCGTTGTCGTGTCGCCCGCCCGGGCCGTCGGCGGACTCATTGGATGTGCTGTCTAGGATGTGCTTGATCTTATGACCTATGTTTCGCACATCCAGGGAGTCTGAATTGATGAAAGATCCATTGTTGGTGATGCGCTTTGCAATGTCTCGTACGTCTGGGATACTCTCGGAGCGACTGTACAACAGCTCGTGTAGCAGCCACGCGAACGCGCGAGTGCCGTCGCTAGAAAGCACGCGAGTATCATGCGCCTCGACGAGTGTGTTCCAGAATGTCGGAGGTTGCACGATCTGTTCGAGAACGCGCTGCAGAAACTGGCCGTCGTAGAGTTGCTTGACAGATGGCTTCGAAAAATGCAAGATTGTGGCAGTTGCCAAGCCGTTGAGGAAGTCGCAATCACCGGAGACATGACGTCTTAACGCGCTACCTAAGGCGTCTAACCCTGCCGTAGATGCGATCAGACATTCCACACATTTCGACGCGTCCTCTTGAGAACACAATGCCTCCAAAAATCGATCACTATCACCCGCCGTCTTGATTTCGCGATGGCCGTGAATGGTCGCGTTGAAAAGCCTCGTCAGCCCTGCGGCTCGCTTCGCTGCCGCCTCTTGGTCCACCATGTGTAAGGTTTGTATCGTGTAAAGTATCGACCTTTAAGAAAAGTTGAATTCTGCCGGTGTTTTATCACTCTACAAAGGAGAATGTTCGCTCTTTTGAGCTTTGGGAATGGGTAAAAAGAATGTTACACTGAACCCCTCTCTGATAAAGGGCTATGCGAATGATTGGGAGACAGTCGCATCGAGCTATATCTGCCTGCATGCTCGGGTGAACTCTGGACGAATTGAGGCCTATTGGGCATGCATTGTGCGACCTGCAGCCTTGTCTCAGGCATCATCACCTACTTGAAGTCGGCGTATCGCTTTCTGCCCCGCGCAATACTCCGCCTTGTATTCTTCATTACCTGAAATCATTCAACACAGTGCCACAATTTCTTCCATGGCTACATTCTTAGGCAGCAGCAGAGGTGGCTTTGCTCTACGGAGAGGGCGAGGCCGCGGCGGAAGAGCTCCGTTCTTCACGACGACCAGGAAGCCGATGGAACCTGACCTTGAGAAACATCCGCTTGGAGACCTTATCAAGGAGTTTCACAGCTCGGATCTGAGCTCGAAACTAATCGATCTGGCGGAAATATCTGATTGCCAGTATGTCGCATCGTACAACTGGCTCAACGACGAAGTACCTACCATCGTCATTCCAGGTAATCTCTCTTCCGCAGGTGCCAGTCCGAACTAATAAGCCCAGGCAAACCTCCTCAATGGACACCACTTCATGCACCGCAGCGTTTGAAGGAAGACAGCGGACAATACTTCCGTGACCCCAACGCCGCTAAATATCCCGACTACCCAATGGCACCTGTCGTGCATGCCGTTGTGGAGGCCGACCCCGAATTCGACGCTGCGAGCACCGATCTCTTCGCATGTGGGAGCACTCTCGGCAATCTCCTACGCTTCGCCCGCGGTATTGACAAAGCTTTTCGTTTCAACGTCGAGGTCGTCGGCGAGACTGTGTTCTTCATACGGAAAGAGAATCACCCTAAAGAGGTCATTAAGGATATCAGAGGCTTTGGTCATACTTTTCCAGAGGCATACACCACATGGGAGCACAGCGTTGAAGGCTCCGAAACTCACCAACGCATCGTACGATATGAGTTCGGAGGCTTGGATTGTCTTGTACGTTTCGAGAGCGATGGCTACTTCCGAGAGGCTCCAGCAGTCAACCATACTGCGCCTGCAAAGACTACTGTGAACCAAGATGATCTTCTTCACGCATTCCAAAGTGCAGCAATCAGCCACCCATCCAATACTGCGATCAGCAAGCCTGATGCATTGAAGATCAAACATGGCGGATCTGCGGTACCGCAGCAATGTATATTCGACCTGAAAACGCGCTCAGGCAGACGCAAGAGAGACATCGACATGAGCGACATCTATCCTGCACTCTGGATCAAACAGATATCTAACTTCATTGTCGCCTATCACGATGGCAGTGGTCTCTTCGAAGACATCCGAGTGCAAAATGTTAAGAACGATGTGCAAGCCTGGGCCGGAGATAATAGGGACGGCATCCGTCGTTTTGCCACCCTTCTCGACAGGATCGTTGACATCGCCAGGAGCAATGCGAGCAAATTGCTCGAAGTGTGTTGCTTCGGAACGGATCGCTTGGAGATCCGAAACCAGTACGAGGACGGTGTGCATGCGTTGCCTGCGGATTTGGTAGACCGCTGGAAAAAGACTAAGATGGGTGTCGTCTCTGCTCAGGGTGATGGCTCGGACGAATTCGAACATGGTGACGGCGGTATCGGCGTTGATGACAGGTATGACCTCGACACTAACTCAGACGATTCATCTTCCGAACCAGACTACACTGCTTGTTCCGCTCACGATTGTGGCTACTGCGGAAAGTGCACGTATTGAGGTTTGTATATCACGTCCCTGTGGCTTCACTGCGTCTTCACAAGGAACCGAGAAGAATCAGAGAGAACAAGCTACCGTGTCTTCTCACATCTTACAAATTGAGAGACTCAGATGCCGTGTACGAAACAGTGGGGAATAATGATCAGAGGATTTCATTAGCAAACAGCGTTTTGAGCCAACTCTGTGTCGGTACAATGACTACTAGCTAATCAACATCCAATTTTCTTAGAATTTCGGGTCATGGTTAGACTGAAAGAGAGAAAGAGGACCTTGGTTCGTAGAATCTTTAATCCTCACATGCTGTGTTTGTTGAGGGCCCACATCATGAAGTGTTGATGTTGATCTTGGTTACTGTCTCGAACCTATGATTCCAGCGATTCCAATAACCTCTGCTATGTTTGTGAGAGTCCGGTCGAGTGTCTTAGTCAGTGTAAATGCGGGCGCATCAGGATCGTGGCCTAGAAAGTGGAAGTATTGAAAGATATTTGTACGAGAGGGCAGTCGACGGAGTTTTGAGTGAGCGTGGGCACTGAGTGGAGTAGTCCCCAACAGCTGATGTGCACGTCAGGCTCCTAACGCTGAGGATTCGCGCGTGCATATGTACCTTCCGGTAGGGTTTAATACTTACTCGGACAAGTGGCACTAGTAGATGTTTCCCAACCTAGTGCGAGGGGTTGTGTATAACTGGGAAGTACCAACTGGAAGTCCCATAGAACCAGCCTACGCCATCAGCGAACGGTACATTAGCTCGATGCGTCTAGCGAATTGCAAGCGAGAAAGTGTGGTATTCCTCGCGGCGTGTATGGGCTCCACTATCAATGATCGGTCTACGATTATTACATGCAGGACGGCTCGCGCGGCATAGCGAACCCCGGACTCTACAGCTAAACTTCCCATTGGACGTTGCGGCAAACTCAATTTGTGTGCAGCACACATGCAAGTTAGAGTGTGAAGATATTGTATGCATGTCTACGTGTATTAGTCCAAGACCTGTACATAGAGCGAAACGGTTCACTGGTGGTCGTATCTTGCACTTTTATCGATTGTGTTCCCACACAGACCAGGTCCAGTGTACTATACAGACGCCATGTTCACCAGTACTCTAGATGCTTTAGATTCACGTAGATTGCAGTTCACACTTGTTGCTCACTTTTACGTAAATCGCGCTTAACACAAGCTTTACCTTCCTACTTACAGTCGTGACCGCAAGATACTCCTGATATGCAATCTGGCAATGATTCCTCGGCCTCACGTCAGGGCTCACCGGTAGGCTGTCTTTCTGAGGACGTTAGCGACACGCATGAGTAAGCGCTGATTATTTTCTAGGAGGGCACGGTACGTGGTGCTTGCACTTGCATATAGAACGGATTTGTTATAGTCACGCCGATTCGCAAGGTAGTGGGCGGTGCATTAGACGCTCGTAAAGGTGCTCGAATGCTCAGCACCGAGGACCTTCTCTTGCCGTACCAACAACTGTTTGCTCGTCGATTCTGCCTCTTCGGACTTACATTGGCGCTTCACCATGCGCCAAGCTGCTTATAACCGCCAGGGTAGAAGGATGCTCAGCACCGAGCCGAACGCTGCGATAGGTCTCTGCTCATCCGAGTTTTTTGCTCTCAGGGTCAAGTGTGTACATGCAAGTCCGTAGTAGTCGAATTTATGTAATCCTCGAGGTGAATTTTATTCTCGCCCCTGGGGGGCAACCTAACCCTACCTTATCGGCACAGCTTTGCTATGTAGTATATAGTATACATAATTCTCATTGCTTCTCGCGTCAAGTCCGAATGTGGTTCAGTCTCCTAGTAGTTTTCGGCATATGAAGAATCTGACTTCTCTCCAACTTGAAGCATTGGGTCCGTCTCGAAATTGGCTCTCTTGTAGCTCTCAGCATAGGATGAGATAGACTTCTCCCCTACCTGAAGCATGGGATCTGTCTCAAAGTTGTCGCGCTTGTAGTTCTCCGCGTACGAAGAGTCTGACTTCTCTCCAACCTGAAGCATAGGATCGGTCTCGAAATCTGTATTCCATCATCAGATAAGAGTCTCTTGGGCGATTTGTTGGAGCAACGATAAGAAAAGTGAGGTAGGAATGGGACACTTACTGTCGGGCCGAGCCGTAGGCGCTGCAGAGGTTGAGACGAAGAAGGTCGACGCGAGCACGGTAATACTAAGGCGGGAGAACATATTCGATTGTCTTGATGCTGAAATCGCTAAAGATTGTCGGTTCTTTCGTACGCTGCAATGCACGATTTAAAACAGTGGTAGGAACGTTCAATAACGCTGCCTTCCTCCACGGCCTTACATACATACCTACTTACCATTCCGTACTACATGCAGATTCATCCAATCAAAGGCTAGGTCTAATGCATCACCGTTATCGAGAATACCATGACTGCAGCCTGCCCTCAGGTGAGGGGATCTTTGTGATAGTGTGCAGATCCTCCCCTGGGAGCCCAACATGATGGCGCGGTGTACAGCGGGATTGGTTGACATACACAGGCGTTCAAAAGAAGGCAACCATCACAATGGGTCGTGCTTTCGCCGATCATTATAGGGGCACAAAACGGGGCCGCAGAGATCGACAGATCTTTTGGCCCCCCACATCAGCTGCACGCATTTGCCTCATTAATCAAAATTTAATTTCTGAAAGCTGCAGAGCTGAACACCTATACCCTAAGTGGATGCAATGTATTATGCATGCTGCGACAAACGGGGCACAACCTTCGATGCTCAGCAGGAGCTCAGTTTGATGTCAGAAGGAGCTCACTTTGATGTCAGAGTAATCCAATAGCCAATAGCGGTTAACGAAGACCAAATCAGTGTATGCGTTTCCTCAAAACCTCAAGACCTACACACATTATGTGACTGGATAAGCTATTGATAGTGACGAAGCTCGGGAGGAAATGACTAACATGGAATAGTCTATCGTCTATCGATTCTACGTCAAAGTGACTTCTGCAACAATAATGGTCTTGGGAGCTTCTGTAATACTACTGCAGTTGCCTACACCGCGTCTTGTACCGTACTTTTCGGTTTTACCTCTGGTAGCTCAACGTTATCTCACTTCTTGTAGAGTTCTGCTCAAGAGACTTTGTTCTCGATGGAGCATCGAACCATGTGGATGCATGATCGGGCCACAACTCCTGGATGCTCCCCGGTCTTTCTTCTCGTCTATCTTCGTTAGAGTTTCGCGTGGCATTATGTTCGTGTGAGCCGCGTAAGGATGAGAGAGAGATGGCTGCCGCTGCATGTCGAAGTGAATCGATCGAAACACGTAGCGCGCGTGGCAGGGCTTCCTTCAGCAATCGAGCGATCCGGAAAGAGAGTGGCGGTAGGTTGGCAGCAAGCAAACCCACACCAATCTCGATAGCAGGCCAATTCGAGAAAAGTAGAGATGACCCTGCTTGTGTCAGCAATTGGACGATAACAAAATATGAGCGAGTGAAGAACGGTAATGCTATTATACTTACCCTGGAAGAAGTTTGCAGCGCCCCCACTGTTTGCAAGTGCAGGGTTGGTCAGCTCTACAAGCTGGATAATGGTGTTGTTGAGGCCAGCGACGAAGGCACTTGTGGCGGGTTAGCTGAGCTTTTGAAGGGCTTAGGAAAGACTAACAAGCCACCCAGGAGGAAGACCACCATCAATGCTAGTTTACGCTTCCAATCCAATTGAATGTTCCAAATCTACAGAGTAACGCGTCAGTCTCGTTCTTTAGACTGCTGTCAGACCGGCGCAAGTCACTTACAAAAGGTATAGGCATGATCAACAAACAAAAATCGATAAAGCTGTCCAACGCAAACACACCCATTTGGGTTTCGAATCCCCATGGAGCACAAGCCATCCATCCACCCTCAAAATTGGCTTTGAAGTTTGTACCACAATAAAATAGCCACGACGCTACCGCGTACACGAACCAGGATATTGAGAGCCCAATAAGGATCCAATTACATATGTTGAATGCTCTACCAGTGGCAATGAAGATTCGGCGGTAGAAGAACAACATGATCAGTTTTATGAAGAAGTTGGCGCCCATCCAGAAGATGACAAGCGCAGCCGTGACCTGCACACATGTTACTAAATGTCTCTCACTGAGCTCATGCGGATGCTGCACCTTTTCGATGTCCTCCTTGGATGCACTTATCATGCCATCTGAATGTATAGATTAGTATTGGGTCTATCACAGACGATGCTCTGAAGTTGCATAAGTGCTCACATTTCATGATATAGTACCATGCATCTTCGACTTCCGGAGTAGGTGGACCTTTGAAAGGACTCTTGTACCATAGCGAGCCGTTGAATTGTTTGTGAACATATGCATGCCCAGCTACAGCATCGTTTACAGGGGCTAAAAGGTCAGTATTTCATGATGCGGACTGTTGAGTTCCTTTTTGTCTTACAATAGTAATTGAACATGTCCCAACATCTTGTCCGACTCGTTGAGAGAGCAAAGTACAGGCTAAGTAATAGTCCGATTATAGTGATAGAACTGATACAATGGAAGACCCAATGAAGCCGCCTCTGTATCTTGGTATGATTTTCCACACGAAACCCGACAATATCACCTAGAAGCGGTTCCTTGGATTCCGTAGAGTCTTTGGCTGGAAGCGCTTAGAATTGAACTAAAAGACCTATTGCTGAGAGAGTACTGCCGAATTATGGAATAAACTCACGATTGAGCCGTTGCTTCTTTGGGAAAAGATGTGTTATGCTATCATGACTTGCTCAAGAGGTTGACTCAGCGAACGTTCATGTGCTCAAACAATTGATCAACGTACATGTGGAATGCCGATCTGACGCAATGTGAACTCAAGTGCATGTGTAAGGCAGCAGTGGTAAGCGGCTTAACTGAAGGTAGCCAGGTACAGAATGCCAGGATGTCATATCCCTGCATATTTAGAGCTTCGGACTTCCCAGAACAGGGAATGTCGCAGGGGCTTGTCGTAACGCTTGTTTCGCGCGGGACAAGGGCTGCACACCATTTTCCAAGCTTCAGTTAATCTTGAGATCCATGAAAAACTTTCTGGGTACCAAAGCAGGAGGTTTGATATGATGCCAACCATTGACACCATGTTGTATGAAAATAAAAAAAGAACCTTTGTAAAAAAAACCTATGCAAATTCAGTCGTTGCCACAGACTTCGTGCACAGAAACTCGAAAAATCGGTTGTTCGCCTTTGTTCGCATAGGCCGATTGCGCTCCGGATGAGAACTAACTGGGGAGGTTGCTCTCATCCGTGAGAGAACAGATACTTGAACCGCTACGATACGATATTTTATGTGCCCGGAAGTTCATGATTGAAAAGATACATGGACCGAAAGCGCGCTAGCCAGCAACCCTACGAGAAAGCTTCTCTTAAAAATCAGCCGAACCACCAGTCGATAACGTTGCCTAAAGGCACAACTCTACTAAAAACATTGATCATGGCGATGACGATTCGGCAACTCTAGATGAGGAAGTGATCAACTATAATAAGAGATGTAAGAGTACCAGTGATGCCTAAATGGCATGTCGATAGCAGATGCAGGTAAAATCGAGCGAGCATACCCTCTTAGCGTAAGGTGGGCTGGAAAATGAGTGGGAAAAGGCAACGAACTGTATGGTGATCGTGGCATTACGGCTGAGGGTGACCCGGTCGCCTGGATACAAATTGCACAACAGTCCGGACTTTCGGGGCACCTCCGGCCGTAGTGAGCGGGTCTTTAATAAACTTCGGGGAGTACAAAGAACCTAGGCATCCGTCGATTCATTGATATTTGTTGTCTTTCCACTTCGCAATGGTTCCCTTCTAGTGGGTGCGCCGGTAAGAGCAGGGAACGGCATGTGAGGCATGATGGGAGCGGCGTAGCTCATGCAACGACAGACATTGCGGGGTGTTATTCGGCGAATTTTCACATGAGAACCCCACCCTACTAAAAAGCATCGCGTCGCCGCTCAATCTAGATCACTGCACTCATAACCGCTGTCACACGACAACGTCTTCGGCGCCACCCTTTTTACGCGAGCGCCTTCTGAGTGTGCCTTGTAGGACCCTTGCCCACCTGAATTGTCTCTGTTGACTACCAAACACGGTTGCTTTGGAGCTAATCTTTTGGTCTCGGTCCGGGAAGCGATATTTCCCAGGCGGAATCGAAGTCAGACGGCTCTCAAGCTCATATTAGGCTCTATGTGCGCCCGTGCATTAACGAATATGGTCACGCAACGTGTTTAGGGGCTAAGATATGAGGGTTAGCAGTGTGAAATTGCCGTTGTACAGCCAGCGAAACGTTTCATGGCGATGGGGTCGAACAACGCGTTCATCAATATATATTTGGCTATTGAAACAGTCTGCCCTAGAGGTCGGAGTAACATTTTCAAAGCCCTTTCCAACATCGTCTCAGCGAGGCAATGAGTCTTTTTCTTGAGTCGTAAGCACCACAACATTCTATCGGCGATAGACTTTCACATATCAGTGCGGAATGTCTCAGCAAAGTTTTCCAGAGCCTGATCAGGAAAAGCGTATCGAAGCGAACACGTCCTATCGTCGTCGAAAATATGGCATTTTCCCATATCCTCCGACCGAAGATCCAGGCCGGACACCTAATGTGCTTCGTCACTTGGGGCCTTATCACGAGTTTCGGTATATTCCAGTCGACATACGAGGAGATGCTTCATGCAGCACCATCAACCGTGTCGTGGATTGGCACCATCCAGATATTTATGCTTCTACTAGTCGGTACCATTTCAGGACGTGCGAGCGATGCAGGAGTCGTGCATGAGGCTGTCTTCGTGGGCTCGTTGTTGATCGTTTCTGGGATGTTTATGGTCAGTCTAGCGACGCAGTACTACGAGCTCCTTTTCGCCCAGGGTGTATGTGTTGGACTTGGGATGGGCATTTTGTACATGCCTGGCTTGTCCGTACCGTCCTCATACTTTAAAGAGAAGAAGTCCCTAGCAGTCGGAATCATCGCATCAGGAGCGGGATCGGGTGGTTTGGTGTATCCAGCAATGGTGCAGCAGCTCCTTCCACGTGTTGGTGAGTATTTGCTTTCTAGATCTTGTGGAATCTTTGCACTGATGCTAACTTGAGCAGGCTTTGGCTGGACAGTGCGCAGCGTGGCGTTCGTGACCTTGTTTATCTCACTACTTATCAACCTTCTTTTGCGCGTCCGTGTTCCCGCTCGTAAATCCGGGCCGCTCGCCGATCTCAGAGCTTTCACTGAGCTACCATACGTGTTCTTTGTCATTGGCTTCTTTTTCGTCTACTGGGCCGTGTACTTTGCTTTCTACCATGTTCGTGTTACCCCTTCCGTTGCGCATTTTCTTGTTGCTAATCTGAACGAAAGATCGACCTCTACGGCTACAGATACGCCTCTTTCACTTCCCTGGATTCTATAAACCTCCTACTCTTGACCAATGCCCTTGGTATTCCCGGTCGTGTTCTTCCAGGTTTTATCGCTGCGCGCTTTCTCGGCCCATTGAACACCGCACTGCCGACAGCTGCGTCTGTCACCATTATCCTGTATTGTTGGCCCGCAGTTACGCATACCCAAGGTTCGCTATATGCCTTCGCCGCGGTTTAAGGGGTCATGGCTAGTGCGATTCAGTCATTGTTTGCTATTTCGCTAGCTGCATTGACATCTGACTTAAGCCAGCTAGGGACGAGAATGGCGTCCAATAGCGGGAGCCATTGTACAATCGCAGGAGGGGAATTACCTAGGAGCGCAGATGTGGGCGGCTAGCAGCATGCTACTAGGAGCGATAGCTATAGGAGTGGCGAGAGTAAGCAAGACTGGGTGGGTGGCAAAGAAGGTTTAGGGTTGCTATGGCATGCCGTTCTGTTGTCCAGCCGCTCATTACAGTCAGCACAGCCATTCATGCTACGAAGGAAGTCCATCAATATAGAGAGACAGCGCAATTTAGATTTCCATAGTCGACGAAGAGACTCCATGAGGTCCTTTCAAATGTCAATTTCACCATATTCAGTCCACTCTTTCCCACGCCAGAATTTCTGCCCGCCGCGGAAAGAATGTTCGATCTTGTCTTTCGCCCTGCTTTCCATTCTTGTCTCAAAATTCGCAATACTTGTTGCCGTGACACCTTCCTCCGCGATTGTCCGTGCTAGATCTGCAGCATTTCGAACCGCAGTATCACCACCGGAACCGCCCATTGGACTCATTGCGTGTGCTGCATCCCCAACGAGCGTAACTCGCTCTGTAGAAGTTGTCGATAGTTCTATGTCTGGTTTGCTTGATAGAACTTGTACGCAAGCGGATAGTTCATGTGAGGCTGCACTAAGCAGACGCTTCAGATAAGGATGCCAATGCTCGGTCACTCTTTCCAGAAACAGCCTTTTTTGCTCCACGGTCTTCGGCGAGGATTCAGCGTACTGAAATGGCGCCGTGCAAATGACCCAGTATATGTAGTCGGAAAGGTCCGGTAGGCGGGAGTCCGACTCTTGTTGCACGCTTGTTGACCACGCCATCGGTTCCACAACAGTCTGGACGTTGGCTTCGTGATCCAGATACATACACCAGCTGAGCATATTTTCTGGCAGATGATTCTTCAAAGAGTCTGTTAACGGCGTTCGACCCCACATGATCCAGCGCTCCAGATCTAGCAGCTTACGCGCCGGCTGAAGCTGCTTACGCACCCGGCTCTTGATGCCGTCAGCGCCAACGAGCAGCAGCCCACGCGCTGTTGAGCCATCAGAAAAATTGACTCGAACTCGATCATCTTGAAGTTCGTAAGACACGAATTCTTTCTCAAATTCGATGGCATCATTGATGCCCAGCGCAGTCAGAGACCGAATCCACGTCCGATCGACAGGCATGGATTCCAAACCCGCAGGCGTTGGCTTCGGAAAATCGAGTCTTCTGGCATCTACGTATCGCGGCTCAAAGCGATTTCTCAACGAGGCAGTCTGCTACAGGAGGCCTTGGAGCTGAGGAGATAGAACACTATTGAGAGCTGTCTGTGCCTCTTTCGAGATACGGAAGCGATGGCCTTGCGCGAGGTGTGACCGAGGATGGCGCTCGAACAGGCGAAATGGGATAGAACGAAGATGGAGGCCCTGCGCTAATATTAGACCAGCAACGCCGGCGCCGATGATTAGAATTGAATCCGGTGAAGTATTCTGAGCCATGATCCGTCCACTTGTCTTCTAGTTTTTTGACTGGGGTAGTGTGCATAAACCTAAGGCTTAACTGTGATAGAAGGATCAGATATCGGCCAGGGAAAACTAGTTAGTATCGTGGTTCGTCCGCGCGTGTTTGGCGCACTTGAAGCTGTTAAGACAGATATGTAGTGGAGTGATGGAGGGTAAGCATTCAGGTAGCACCTGTGATGTACTAAGGCGCTAGTAGGGCCCTAAGGCCATCTAGGAATGAGCCTCGGCAATCGCCCAACTGGGAACTAGCTAGCCCAGAGCCGTGAACGATTGCAGTGCGTGTGAGAGGCTGACCGGGTTGCTCTTTGCTTGCGCCATCTGGACGCGCCTCGGCGCGACGCACCGCATTGTGGTTGTGACGGGATATTCGCCACTCTCACTGCCGTTCAGTGTGCGATATCACGACGGCTGTCTCCTCGTAAAGCATTGCTTTGTATTCTCCGAGTCAGACAAGCTCTTCGCGCATCGCACCCGCCCTACAGGACAACGTCGCACTCAAAATGGACGCCTAAATCAATACTACCTTGGGACTGCTCATTGAACTGGAGAGATTTACCGAATCACTTAAGTAGAATAACCCTCCGGAAGCCGCAATCGGCGAGCCACTGGGCAAGCGTGCTGGAACGCTGGGTACTCTACCTAAGGAGACTAAAGCATTGAAAGATGTCTGGCAGAAAGAGAACCAGGAATTGCAACAGGGAAAAAAGAGTGCAGAAGAAGGGCGCAACGGATTGCGTGCCAAGGCAGACAGCATGGAGCAGGCAAAGGAGCTTTACGTAGAGCAGATCAAGACTCTCCAGGGTGAGAAAAGCAGGGCAGAGCAAAAGCACGACGAAATCAGGAACGAGGTGATGACATTAAGGCTGGCCCAAGAACAACAGACAAAAGAGCTTAAGGATCTTCGAAAGCAGGAACAGGAGGCATGAAAAGAGCGCGATGTGTTCCGGGGCGAGGCGAATGCGATGAAGCTAGCCCAGGAAAGACAGACAAAGGAGCTCCATGATCTTCAAGAACAGAGGCAGAGAGGAGGAGGAGAGCGCGGTGAAGTCCGTACTGAGCTGAGGATGTTGAAGCTGGTTCGAGAACGACAGGCACAAGAACTTGATAATGTGCAACAGCAGAAACAGGAGGCACCAGGAGACCGAGATAGGTGTCGCGACGATGCAGAATTTTTGAAGCGCGCGAAAGAAACGTGGGCGACCGAGAAGATCGGTCTAGAGACGCGCGTCGAAGAGTTGCCGCAACAATTGGAGGACGGGACCTGGGACAAGTCTGTAGCGCGGCCGCCTGCGAAGTCATATGCTGTCAAGGCCTACAATATCCGACCAGCAACCGCGCGACGTAGCACTGAAGAGGAATTACTGGACCTTGCTGGCGCCAGAAATTACTACGAAGACGTAAGGCAAGGGTCCCACGAATCCCAAGCTTTTTACGGGGACGCGTTTGAGGCGGGACGGCGTTCTCGCGCCTCAGCCTCAAACGCGTCCCCGCATTGGACCGCGCACAGTCAATATCGGTCGGACGGGCGATATGGCTTCTATCGAGGCCGCGGCGCTTGACGACTCAACGAAAGCGCAATTGCGAACCAAAGCAACTGCAACCATTCGGAAGAAGAATGCGCAGAGGAATAGCGGTACTCCGCAAATCTGCTTCTGGACGCAGGCCGTGGACAAGAAGAGTGCGAAAGCGTGGGAAGATACCGAGGGTCCCTGCCCGTCGTGCGCTGCGTTCGACCCGCCAAAACTGTGCCTATATTTTGTTAGCGATAAGGAGGCGGTGGTGTTGTGAGCGAAGGGGTAGACTGGCGGTGCAGTTTGGGGGCGGCACAGATCGGTCTCCAGAATCTTGATTTCGGTAGAAGGTCGGGGGTCTCCATTCGAAGTAATATGTGTGTTTCAGGTTGCGTGCTGTCCAATACATGAGAAGCTCGTAGTTTCTCATACCTGTCGATCGGAAGCTTTTCGTCGTCGAATGAGGCCGCAACAAACTACATCACAGCCCTCCGCAGTTGGGAAGGAGAGAAGCACAGCAGTACAACCGAGGTGAATGTTACCATCGCGCGAGTGTGGATAAAACGAACCAATACATCATCTTCTTCTGTAGTGTGATCAATGTCCATTGCGCGCAGGATCCTCTCCGTCGTCAGGATCCGTTGGAGCGCACACTGAAGAAGAAAGGGACGTTCAGACTTTTCGAAAACACTCTGAACTATGTTTGCGGTCATGAGATCCGCTAGATCCTCTCCGTCCGAGTGGACACTGAAGGCTGTGTCGGATAACGCTGTTGCCGTGGTGCTCGGCAACTCAGGACCCTCTATAAGACCTTTCGAGCTCACGAGAGGCTCTTAGAGGTAACTTGTGCTGCACTGACAACTCACTGACTATTGCGCCTAGGTCAACAGCGGAAGAAGTGTCTAGGGATAGCAAGCGTGATAATTCTCCGTTACTGAGAACTACCTCCCTGAGAAGATTTCCTTGCGACACGTGCTTGACTCCCACTGAGCCGATCATGTTAACCTGGGCAGGAATCCAGGATTGGAGAAAAGTTTCGGAAGTAAATTGGCTCTTGGCACGTTGAGGAATCCAAATGTGTAGAGTGAAATTTGTGCCTGTAGGAAGATTCTCAACATGCTCTTCTAGGTTCACATTGGTGGGAGTATCTGGAAAGGGATCTATTTGGTTCAGTTTGTCTGGGTTTTCCCATGGAGGTAGACCATCAAAGTCTCTTTCCCGCACCATATGACTTCCCACATCCTTCACCTCGGCCTCGACAATGTCATCCTCAACAAAGTACGCCTTTTCACCAACCGGTCCATCCTCATCGTCTGGTCCAGGCAATGCGTTGAGAGCAAAGGAATAGATGTGTTCCGCGATGTGATTCAAGAGTTTGGATTCTTCCAGTATCGTCCCGCGCGCAGTTCCGCCTGAAGAGCAAAGCAGACATTTGGTACCAAAGAGAATCCTCGGGCTCGAGTAGGATTCAGGAAAGGTGGCCAGGAGCTTCTCTGTGACGGCCTTTGGCCATTCCTCTGGCGAATGCTTAATCCTTAGACAAGATGTCTAATAAGTCTAAGATAGGTTTGTCTACGTACTTGTACGGTCGATGTGGCAATTCTACAAGTCCAAGTGGATGGCGTCAAAGTGGACAACAGCAGGAATACGATCATCTTTCTCTAGAGAATTCTTAGATCATAGAAGGCTTAATTGGTATTAATAGTGGATACTGGTTAAGCGCCTAGGTAACGTAAACAATATGAAGCATCCTTATCATACAAGTTTTAGATGAGGCATACTTAGTAGCCTCCATTCGCCTCCACCCACCTCAAACCGAGTCGTTCTGGCTGATACATTTCGTTGAGAAGTGTCATCTGTATATCCAGGGAAAGCCGCTGAGCTCTGTTCTTGGCGTCCTCACTTGTCTCTCCTGACTCAGGCATGGGCTCTACCTGGTGGTTTCGAAAAAGGACCGCGAGTACAGCAGCGAGTTCGACCTGCGAAAATCGTTTTCCTGGGCATACCCGCTCTCCGTGCGACCAAGGGATATACTCTCCATCTGCAAAAACTTGAAATTCTTCCCCCTCAATTTCTTGTCTGTCTTTGCCTTCACCCACGTTGATGAAACGTTTCGGGTCCCAGGTCATCGCAGTGTTGCCCCAGACAGTGGTGTTGGTGTGCAATGCACAGAAGTTGACCTGCACGTTGGACCGCGGTGGAATCATGTATGTATTTTTCCCTACTGTCAAAGCGCATGCGTCCTTGGTCAGCTTTGATGATGATCCAAGTGGGTGGCAAAGTCGGAGAGTTTCCATCTGGGAATAACATCAGTCAAATGCCACATCGTGATTGCTTCGGGGGCCAAGGAGCTTACCACGACAGCTTGGCATCGTTTGAGCTTTGTCCACGTGGAGTATGGCCACTCATTGAAGTCGTCGTCTTTGCAGTAGTGTTGTATCTCCTCGCGAATCCAATTCTGGGTATCCGGATTTGCAGCGAGGTTCACGATAATATGGGCAAGCGTTATAGCCGTGGTGTCATTACCTGCGAACCCGTAGACAAAAGTATTGCTGATAATGTCCTGCTCAGTGATGGTCATGTCCCGGCCATCGTTCTGCTGGGCCAGCGAAGCTCGCACTAAAGAAGAAACCAGATCCTTCCGAGCCGATATGTCCTTTCGATTGTTACTTTTCTCTTCTTCGATCATGCCGCGAACATACAATCTGAAGCTCTCAACCGCCTCGCCCACTGCCTTCATCGAGGTCGGCATCCAGGACGAGGTTCTCAGAGTTTCCCCACCAAAGATGGCAATAGGAATTATCCCCCGAAGAATCTTCGAGAACGAATCGCGATATTGATAGGAGTCGTCTGATGGGTCAACTGACCCAGCGTGGCGCTTCTCCATCTCCTCCTGTCCCTCGAACGGGTACGGCTTCGTGAAGAGCGCTGCCGCCAGGACGTTAAGAGTGAATGTCTTGCAATCATCTGCGACGCTTCTGATTGGAGATGGGGCGCGACGAATCCAATACTCAAGCATTCCGTTCCCTTGCGCAAGTGAGGACTGCCATACAAGTTCATTGTTTCTTTCGGTGAAAGTAGCTGCCGTAACCTTGCGGTGCTTTTGCCATTCATGTCCTTCGGTGGTTGATAAGTTCTTCCCGTAAACATTCAGAACGGCAAGCTGTTCAACGTTCCGGCCAAAGTCGCGAGGTCGTTTGAGTACATCCCACGCAGCCTCCGGATCTGAGATGTAGATCCAATTACCGCCGGGCGACACTAATGTAAACGCGTCGCCAAACTCCGCATGTACGCGATATCGCTCGTTTGCATCCCATCCAAAGAGATAGAATCGATCAAAGTGTTCTGTAGCCAGTCCAAACCGGCGAGCTAGTCGGACCGCACTGCTGCCAAAGGCCATCCATAATGGGTTCGTCGGCGTGACGTAGCGTACGAGAATCGGTAGCCCTATCGCGCGTGCCTTATTCAGATTCGCGTTGAGGGTAATCAAGGACCAGATGATCAAGGTCACAGGTAATGCTGCAAGAGATACAAAAACCGATACAGGCATGACTAGTTTTGTGTTTCGATAGTAAGAGCTTGAAGACAGACTGGAGAGCAAGAAGCAGAAGGGTGACGAGATGCAGAGGCTGGGAAGGTTAGCAAAAATTTAGAGGGTGGCTCGTAAGCGCCCGCGTAGACGTTGGGGCGGAAAGCTACAGGAGCAATATTGAGGGGCAGTGTCGGTTCCAGAGCTACCCGAAACGGGTAAATTGCTATGGGCACAGTCGACCGTGCCCACCCGCGCTTCCACCGAGCCAATAAAATGGTGGAGCTACGGTTCGATAAGACATTCGTTGAAGAGGCTTCTCAGCCCACTTTGCCCAGAAATCAGACACACTACAAGTGCACAGTAAGATTAACCCGTCTATTGAAGCCATATCGCAGCCTGATCAGGTGAGATACAGAGCATTCCACGCCTCGTGGGTATGTTACCAGCAAAAGGATGAGTAGGCCTTGATGAGGTAGTCTGCGAAACTACAAGATGATCAAGAATATGCATCGGACGCTTAATCTATGACACGGAGCTGAAAGTCCAAGTATCCGCTCACAATAAGCCAAGTGCAAGACAAAGCGATAGACCAGCGGTCAACACGAGAGTGGTGCCTCCTTTCTGCGGATGCAGAATCCAGAGGATGGAAAAGCATGGAAGCCAGATGTAGCTGCGGGGACCAAGTATTCTGAGCGATAAAAACTGCCAATAAGCTGCAGCTAGTCACCGGTAAACGCTCATCTACACAGACCCACATACTGAAAAACCAGTTCCCGTCCCTGCGCGTTCATGATGCTTCTCTTATTACATGCTAAGCCTCACTGTACAAGGATACCTATCAGACGGATGAGCTCCGCCTCCCCCACCCTCCACTTGATAGGCCCTATTCCCATAGACAGTCCGGAGACGAGTGACGTTATGTGTTTTATCCCATTCATCGTACGCTGGGGAAATCGAGAACTCGCGGATCGTCATAGCCAAAACCACCTTCATCTCCATGACTGCCAGGCTTTGGCCGAGGCAATTTTGAGGACCGAACTCGAATGGCCGCCAGGCTCCCTTGGTTGGGTATAAGGGATCTCCTGGCTCGACTAGCCAACGCTCAGGAATAAACGCATGGGGATCCTTCCAATACCTTGGGTCTCGATGAAGTGACAAGTGCATGACCCAAACATAGCAGCCTTCAGTCGGGAATACTGTACCATCTTCATTAGTTAGGACAACACCCTTTTTGCCTTCACGAAAGCCAGATGCTGGAGGGAATAGGCGAAGCGTCTCTTTGATGACTGCAAGTGTATAAGGCAACTGATTCAGGAGAGACGGACTTTCTCGCAGAATTTCGGCAGTTCTGGTGGTATCATCGCCTAGAGTTGTGTTGAGTTCTTTGCGAACTTGAGTCAATGCTTCTGGATGGGTGGCAAGAAGGTGATATCCATATATCAGAGTGCTACTTGTTGTGTCATGGCCGGCGAACAGAAACAGACGGAGTTGTGCAGACGCAATACTGCGCAGCTCCTCGTCCATTGCTTGACTATGATGCAGTTCCTTCTCTTTGATGAAGTTTTTCAAAACAAGGGACATGATAGACCTAGCTCTCTGAGCACCTAGCTGTCCCTCCGCTTTGACATCTTGTTGCAATGCAGCGAATCGTTGATCAAGCTCAGCGTGAATGAATCGATCGATGCGCCGGCCATAGTACCATAGCACCAAAGGGCGAAAAGGATTGTATCTTTGCAATGGATTGAGCTCGCTGCCGAAGGAAACCCACTCAATCTGGTGTCGCAGGTCTTCCGCGAAGACATTATGTCCGTCCTGATAGTGCAATCGGGTTTCGCTGCAGACCAGTTAATATTTCATTATGAATGAAGGCTCAGTGGGAACCTACATCGCTGCTGCAGCAATTACATCCACAGTCAGTCGAAGGGTAAGGTCCTCGAGCTGGAATACCTCATCTCTGCACGCCATCTTTTGTAGGAGATCGCAGAAAACCTGGACTTCAGTCACAATGGTTGGAACTAGATCCAGCATCTGGGCTCCGCTAAAGGCAGGGTTGAAGACTGCCCTCCAAGGCTTCCAAATTTTTTGAGGCATGGTGAATAGGTTCAATCCGCCGGTGAGACTGTGAAAGGCAACTCTGATTTCATCTGGCTTGTCGAATAGAGCTTGCTGCCACTGAAGGGCAGCAAACGTGTTGTTCACAAACAAGAGTGGCTTGGTGAAAGGCCAGAGATCGAAATAGCCCATGCCGGTCGGAAACTGTTGGCTGACCTCGGTCAGGGGAGTATTGATGGTGCAATCGAAAGGTAAGCGATCCATGAGTTTCTTCAAGAGCAGGAGGTGGCCTGTTAGTGTGCTATGCTTGGGCATAGGCTTTACGTGCGCAATGTCAGCTTCTACGATTCTTCAAGACCCTTCGAACGATATACTGACAAGTCCAGCTTTTTGGATGTTCCAAATTACGCGCCGGGCGGCTAATGCCTTTGAAAAGGCGTATACGAAAATCGAGAGTATAGCTGCAACAACAGCCGTGGAAATGGCGCTTGCAAACTCTGGCCGGTCCATTTTTTGGTCGCGCTGGAAATTTCAGCCTAGAGAGGGAGATGGACAGTGCTGCGATGGGTAAAGTTGAAGATGGAAAAGATTGATGGGCTTGGGAAAACAATGCGATCGTTACACAAGGCGGCAACGGGATCCGAGGCAACCGACACAGCGAAGCGGCGCAGTCATTTTATGGCGGCGCAGTCCGTTCAAATCCACTGTCTCGATACGGCCTTGTAGCAGCGAGGCTGCAATGAGGCGCGGGTACCACCGGTGGTCTCTCACCCAACGGCTATGCACATGCATGCACTTGTTCACAAATATGCAATCCATAGTGCCCAGAGCGAGACTCGCGACATACGTGTGGCTTCACGCCGCTTTTAGTGCTCTTGAGTCTAGCTTTCGACAACACATCGTTGAGATAAGCTTGATGGTACTGTATTACCTTCTAGCTTGATTATTTTGACATCCTTTACCCAGTCAGGTATTACCCAGGCTCTTCGAGTGAGCTTCCGCCCAACGTTTCGCTCCTCAACCAAGTGCCTGAAGACCCTTATTGCCAGTGGAAAATTGATCACTCGATGTCGGAAACTGTGTCACGACCGTGTTATATGATAGTAAACGTGTCCGCCCCCAAATTCTCAAAGTGTTCCAGCATAAGACACGTTGTAAAGCCGATCCTCGTATACGTAGCATTCAATCCCTCAACCGGCGCAAGAACCAGGCCCATTCCACAAGTCCTATCGTCTTTTTTCCCATGCCCAGAAGCAGGACAATTCTGACGGAACAGATAAATGCAGTGCACCACCTTTCTCGACCCACGCTCGGACTTGACGTCAAAATACATTGTTCCCACGTTTCGGCTTCCGGTAGGATCTTGTATCTGGATTATATTCCCGTAGGCATTAGAGGAACCATCGTATCCAATAACCGCTTTGAAGATAGGGGCCGCCATGCGCAAGTAGCCCGACTTGACTCTACCGAAGGGGTCCGCGCTCGCAAGCTCGTCGCGATGTTCAAGGACAACGGACATGCCCTTTTCCCATGTGTGGTGCTTTCCTGTAGCGTCGAGAGTAGTGTCTTCGAAGCTTGCTTTGACAAAGGAGTATCGAACTTGCCCAGATAGAGATGCCCATGACCAGCTTGGGGCGACGTATTTTGCGTGGCGAATGTGGTCTCTGTCTCTGGAAGCGTGTTTGTAAGAACCCCATGCCAAGCTGCGCAAGAAGTCCTCTGACCAGAGACCTGCGACGTATTCACTCAGCGTGTAGTCACTAACAATCCTGGCGAGACCAGCGATAGCAGGCAGGGAATCCTCTTCGTTGGTGAGTAGCCGGTTCGAATAGTCGGCGACAGTATGGTACCACAAGTCGTGAATGTTGCGATCGCCAATGTCGTTGATGGAGTCAAGGAGCCTCTCGTTGAAGGAGCCGCTGTAGCCCTGTTGCTTCGCCATGTTCTTTGTGGGCCACCCTTCGTATGTTCTCATGCAGCGACACTCCCAGAGAACTTGTTCAAGGGTGAAGTGAACGATGCGCGGAGACATTTCTCGTTCTTGGAGTGCCCATCCTCTGCCATGCAGGGGTCCTTCTTCGTGCAGTCTTTCCCAACCTGATTGGGCTTTCATGGCCCTTATGGCTATAGGTTTACCATCCTCGCCCTTGAGCTGAAATTCGACGGAGTTGTTGTCCATATCTCGTGAGCGGAAGATGCCCTCTGTGTCATCGTCGGAAACATTGGCTGCTATCGTCAAATACGAGTTGCTGTAAACCTGGCTCATCAGAGACGTCTCTCGATCCCAATCTTCGCGAGAGTCTTGTATGATGCATAATGCATCGATCCACAGATACTTGACTCCGAGCTGATGCGCAACTTCGCAAGCTTCCATGAACGTCAGGGGCAGGGTGTCCACCTCAATAAATTCCATCCGGCTATCAACATTCCTTGCAAGGGTCGAGCTCGAGGCCGTCGCTTCTGCGTGCCATCGATGGGTCAAAGCCAGATATCGTGACTTCCTGGGCAGTGAGGATCCTTCCACCAGTTTCAACGTCTTGTTTCGGCCCCAATCACTAAGATCTAGCAGTCTCGTCGGCAAAAAGTCTATCTGAGGCTGGATCCTACATCCATCATGGTTTTGGTTGCATTGCTGCAGCCATGAATGGAGCTGTTCGAAAGTCTCGAGGGACGAAGTACTTCCAGATAGTGGCTGTCGCTTGTCTGAAGAATGTCAGCGGAGATCCTCGGGGATCGTGCAAAGGGGATCTACTTTCGAAAGACTCGATATTGAGCTGAAAACCAGTTCGCAGGGTTTTTGGACATTCGATGTCTTCTGGAAACGGCTCATCAATCTGACTCCACATAGATTCTACTGGTTTGATGCTTGAGCCCCGATACAGTCTCACCTCGCTCGGCTGAGGAAGCGTGATCGTCGTAATCCCGAGCTGTTTCCAGAAGAACATGCAGAAAGGACATCCGCTACGGGAAGAATATTGGAGGGAGTACAGTGATAGATGCCACTTCGGACTATCCTCCCAACTCGGGCATTGTCCGGTGAAGAATGCCGCTGGTAAGTTTTCGCATGTTGCGCACAACTCCGCCTTGGTAATAGTTGATACATCCAAAGACATACTGCGTTTTCGTGGTGCGGGCGTTTCAGCTTGTCTGCGTTTCAGCATGTTTATGATGGCTTGATTGTCGCCCTCTTCTGCAGCGTCAAGGACTGCCCTTTCAGTGTACGAGACTGCATGTACATCCGCACCTGCATCAAGCAATAGTCGTACCATCTTTTCGTTCCCTTTCATACACGCCATGTGCAAAGGGGGTTCCTTCCTCCCTGCAGCCGCGCTCGGATCAGCGCCATCAGAGAGAAGTACCTGCGCCGTTTCGAGGTGATCCCCTTCCACAGCTGCTTGCAGCGCAGTACTCGAGCGTGCCTCGCTATCATGTACTTTTACACCAGCTTCGAGAAGCACCTTCACGACTTCAGTATATCCTCTTGTGGCCGCAACCGTGAGCAAGCGAAAATGACTACCGTGCTCTTGATTAACCGACATTCCCAGGCTTAGCAGGGACTTGAGGAACTCAACGTGCCCCGTCTCAATGCAGGCTTCGAGAGCTCGTCGCATCGCCTTTGTAGTCTCCGCCTTCTCCTTTGCCACCTCTTGTAACAGTCTTTCAAACACCCCAGCGTGATTTCCCTTGATCGTTAACATCAGCGACGGGGAGGCTGAACCCCAAGCGTCAGTCTCGAGCTTAGCACCGGCGTTCAGGAAGGTGTTCACGATGTCGATGCTCCCTGCTTCAGCTGCGGCTTGCAGCGCCGTGCGACCCCACTCCCCAGCTTTTGCATTCACTTCAGCACCAGCAGCCATCAATCTTTCGACCAATTCGACGTTACCTTTTCCAGCTGCGGCCTGTAGTGCGGTCCTTCCCTGTCTCACTGAAGGCTCATTAATGTCCGCGCCTGCTTGCAGTAGTATCTCCACGACGTCCAAATGTCCTCCAAGCGCGGCTTCCTGTAGTGGCGAGGAGTATTGCTCACGGTTCCACTTGTCGGGGTCGTTTGGAAGTGCACCTGCCTTCAGCAACCGCTCAACAACTGCTAGGTGCCCACCTGAAGAGGCTGCGCGTAATGCTCTGTCGGCATTTGGATCTGCGCCGATTGTAAGCAATCTCTCAACGATTTCGAGATAACCACCACTGGCCGCGGCTCGTAGAGGCGTGCACTGTGAGGATCCGCATGGGACAGTAGTGCCAGCTCCATTTTGGATAAGGTATTCAACCATTCCAAGATGACCGCCGCTCGCCGCGGAGGACAGCGCGCGTTCATGTGACACATCAGTTGCTGCATCAGCATTCGCGCCGTATTTCACCAGCGACCTCGCAATCTCCATGTCGCCCAAGCCAGCAGCATCTTGCAGAGCAGTGTCTTTAATAGCTTGCGCCGCTTCGAGGAACTTCTTGGCCTTCATGAGTCGAGTAACCTCGTCGTGTCGGGCGTCCTGAACGGCTTGCTCCAGCGCGTTTGCGCTGTAGCAATCCTTCGCGTTTTGCCTCTCTTCAGTAGCTAGTATGATCTTCACTACCTCGGTCCTTCTCTTGAGTGCCGCTTGTTCCAGAGCCGATCCCACCATGTCCATGAAAGCGCGGGCATGTATGTCAACCCCAGCCTCAATCAATCGCTGCACCGCTTTGATCTGGCCTCTCTTTGCTGCTTCGGTGAATGAACGAGTATATCCATAGTAGTAACCCTTTTTTAGTGTGACCATCTCATGCTCAACGAGTCGCTTGACCTCTTCCAAAGGCTCCCCATGTCGGGCGGCATCCAAGGCAGTTCGACCGGCGGCATCCGTCACCAATCGGAATTCCCAGTCACCGAACTCATCCTTCTCTACGTTTTCAAGGCTATCTTTAAATTTTAGCACGGCCATGGATATCTTTTGTGGGTGGAAACTGAGTTGGGGGGGCTGAACAGAGCTGTTGCCTAGATGTGTTAGCAATTCGCCACCTAGGCGTGCCGCGACCCAAACAAGCATTTTAAGTGGCCTGTACACCTTCTCGAGGTACCGCTCCTGGCCTCCTTCCACCTGTCACATTTGAGGGTATTCTTTATGAAAATAAGATAAGATTTGAGTGTTGTGTTGATCGTATTGTCTTCTTAAGTATTGTAAGCCAGGCTGCTAGCAATGTCCCTATTTTCTTAGCGTAGCATCAGCCACCTCGGCACTATTTTAGGACATTGTAAAGTGTCCATGTACGAAGTATTCTCGACTTGCCCTTCTGATTCGTTGCTCGCCAACGGTAGGTCACGCACTGTTGGAAATAGTATAAGTATAAGGGAAAATTTATATATATATATATGTATATATGGAGTGGCTTCACGTTCTCATATACATGACATCTTACTAGTGGTGGTTTGATATCTTCGAAGGAAAGTGCTACTTAGTCAAGTCTATGATACAAGAACGTATGTACGTGTAAATACCTTAGACTATCATGCGTCCACGCGTTGACCACACCGCATTTATCGTCACGATATGGCTGACTAATTCGGCCCCGCTGGCGCTAGTTAGCATTCGAACAGTATACTCGATATCTACACACCACCACATGATCCTGATTTCTAAACTCAAAATTAAGTGCTCGTGCCACCCACCTTCTCACCCACAGCCTAGGGATAACCTCATGGATAGTGGACGTCTTTGCTTAGATAAAATCGTTATGGGAGTAAAAGGCTGTTGGACGTGCAGATGTAGGTACAGTACCTACGATAGCCACGCCGCTATCACAGCCCTGCCATCCCGTTGCACACGATCAAGAGCGGGCGGGCGAGTACCGCCAGTGCTACAGGCTCAAACGAACAAGCAGAGCAGGAGAGCTGGCCGGGCTAGCATAGATACTTTGCTTACAATTCCTAGCGCGCAAAGTGCGGTGCGACAAGCAGAGGCCGACGTGCGGCAACTGCGCGAAGGCGAGACGCGAGTGTCACGGCTATGGGATGCAGTTATCGTGGCCAAGAGACGGAGATGGCAAAAGAGCCGTGGTGTTGAAGGATGTGGATGCACGGCGGCGGCACAAGCGCAGGGGGGGTCCGGGTCTGGATCCGGTTCCGCCGCGGGCAAGGTTTGTGAACGTAGGGGCCTGGGATGTGGCGCTGGCGCTGGCGGTGGAGCTGGAGAATGGCATGGCTCCTGGTGAATATGCTCGTCAACATACCGGTTCGTACTGTCTGGGTGCTGGACTAGATGCGTATACCTGCTAAGTCGTGTAGCCCGCTACATGCGCTCCATGTCCACGTCCACGTCCATGCAACTGCCCCGCCCAGCCTATCTACCGCTCGTCGCCATGAACAAGGAAGAATCGCATCTCCTGGGCTTCTGTACGTAGCACATCTACACAGCCACCCCACCTGCACCCACTGACCCAGCCGCTGCGCGCAGTCACCGAATCAACATCCCTCGTGCTCGGCCCAACCGACGCAGAGACTCTAGCACACTTCATCCTGCGAGTCGCGCTCTCAGGTCCCGACTCTTCCGACACGACGAATCCAGTCCTGCAGGCCGTGTTTGCGCTCGCATCGCTCCAACTACACGGCAGCGGCAGCGCAAACGCGTTTCGGTATAAGAGGCGCGTTGTGGCGGAGATTGCGAGCCACGCGACTGACTGGCTGGACGAGAGCGCGCTGCTGAGGAACTTGGTTGCGACGATGCTGTTGTATCATTGCGAGGTGGGTACACTCGAGTCGAGCCGCCGAGGGACATGGGTGACTTTCTTCTGCGCGGTGAAGCGCATCATCAACACGTCGCCTGCAATGGACAAGTTGATTCGGCGCGAGTACTCGGTCTTCCTCGATTGGATCTACTACCACGAGGCACTGTCGGAGTTCACAGTCCGGCATTGGAAAGTCCCGTATGATGGGTGCGGCTTCGCTCCCGTGGCGAGATCGGCTAGGGCTGTGGATGGCATCGGATCGCAGGTAGAAGAAGGCATCGGCTGCCCGACCGAAGTCCTAGAGCTCCTTGTCCACGCCTGTCGACAAGCCATCGTCGCGCCATGCCCCGAGATGGCGTACACGGCCGCCGAACTGGAGCGCGCGACGGTGCTGGAACAGCGCATTTCGACGGCCTTGGGAGACTTCGGGCCCATCCCAGCAACAACCACGACACCAAGGAATCGACGTACCATGGTCGCGGATCTCCATCGCATCGCGTGCTTGATCTATGTCAACCGAGCGGTGCATCATTTTTCCGGGTCCGAGTTCCGCCACCGACGGCTCGTGAGAGAGGGCATGCTGTTGCTGGGCGAGCTGGAAACGTGCCAGAGTGCGTGGACGCTGTTTGTCATCGGCTGCGAGGCCGTCGACGACGAGCAGCGGCTTGCAATTTTGCATGTTTGTGAACGCAGTCGGCGGGACCCGAGAGAGAGATCAAGTCACATTGATTCGACTCAGCGTCTCATTGAGGCCGTGTGGAACCAGCGAGATCTGGATGAGGGGGGCAAGGTTGAGTACATGGCGATTCTGGACGCAGTTATTGGCGGGCTAGCTTTCATGCCATTGTTTGCCTGAGCTGGGGTCCCTAAGGGCTACATGAAGAAAGTTCCTCCCATCCTGCGCTGCGCTTCACTCCGCCGAGACTAGAACCAATGCTCCTCGTCCCCGTGATGTGTGAGGAACTTACCACTGTCCGCCTCGGTCAAGTTACGAACCACCCGAAGCATATTGGCGACTGCTTCCTCAATTGGCGCTGGACCCTCGACCTTTGGATCGATCTTGTGGAACATTCCGAGCACGACTTTGCGTACCTCCGGGTCGCCTGTGACGGCTTTGGCTGTTGCAAGTCAGTCAGTCAGTTTAGTCCTCCGTGCCTTTGTTGTGACATTGGCAGTGCTTACCAGCATCCGTATTCACCCAGCCTGGGCTCAGAGCCAGCGTCTTGATGCCCTCGGGGGCGAGCTCAGTGGCGAACTTTGTCACGGCCATGTTCATGCCGGCCTTGCTGACAGAATAACCCAGCAAGGTGGAAAATCCGGTGATGCGAGTGAATTCAAGGTTTCCACTCTGACTAGAGAGGAAGATGATCTTCTTGTCTGCACCGTTGCGGATAAGGTGGAGGAAGGAATTTATGGTGTAGATGTTGCTGAGGAGGTTGTTCTTGATCTACGGGCGCACGATTAGTCGAGCCTGGCCTGCCTTGGATGGCGCAAATGGTGGGCTGGGACTTCGTACGTTCTCGCCAATTTCCAAGTCGAGCGCTTCCTTCTTGCCATGACTACGTCGTGTCAGCAGTCGGAAGTGATTCTCTGAACGCGTCAAGCCGAATCACTCACAAAGCAGACGGCGGTAGCACAGCCGTGTCTGGTCCTGCGGAGCCGGCGTTGAGGATCAAGACATCAAGCGAACCAGCCGTGACTTTGGACACTTTGGCGGCGGCCTCATCCAACTTGGTTGGATCCGAGATGTCTGTGACGACGATGTGGATGTTTTTGCGACGTGCGGCAAGCTCCTCGAGCGAACCGGCAGTTCCCATACTCCGGATGAGGGCAAACACTTGGTTGTTTGGGTCCGTGGACTTTGGTGCCCCAGTCAGTGGTGGATCTTGCTTGTCACTATGTCTGCAGTAGTAGATAGACTCACAAGATTCTTGACGAACCCGAGCTGCAATGGTGGTCTTGTTAGCATCTGAACACTGTGGTTCGTGACCATCTGGGAACCCTTACGCCAATGCCTCGCGTCGCGCCTGTTATAGCCCAAGACACCATTTTCAGTCTTTTTTAATGGATTTGACGAGTGTGCAGGATGGAAAATGTATGGAATAAATATTAATCGCTCAATTGAGTTCGTTTGGCGGTGGTGGTTCATGGACAGAGGGTGCGGGTGCTACATGCTCTTATATCTGTCCTCCGACCCATTTTGACCGTGCCGCATGGTGTAATCAGTGGAAGCTATTTGCGAAGTCGATGTTGTGACTTCTCGCCGACGCTTTCGATGGCGGACGGAAGTGATGCAAAGCGAGGCAACTATCTCCGAACCCACTGGGTTTAGTTTTTTGTTTATTAGGCTCGCGTAAGCAAGTATCAAACCTCTCTACATTAACCATGTATTCTATCGAAACCACGAGCGGGTGGAGTTGAAATGTAAAGGGAGGCAACTTTCTCCGAAACCACTAGCGGGATCGACGCAGGGTAGCGGTAGGAGAGGCTGACCAATCGCGGATGATAACGATGGCCAACCGCAGAGGGAGGGCGTCGGCGCCAGCTCTATCTAATTATACTGCATCACTAAATCAGTAGAAACTATTTGCGAAGTTCATTTTGCGAGTTCTCGGCCTCCATGCGCAACAAAGTATCAGTGGAGCAGAATATATAAGAGTCATTCCTGATGTGCCATGAAAGCGCAATTCTATCCTCCCGAGGTCCTTGTGCTCCACACCACCATGTCCGCATACTCGCCAATCGCCCTCATCCTCGGCGCCGGCGCCAACGTAGGCGCCAGCGTCGCCGCAGCTTTTCGCGCAAAAGGCTACAAGGTAGCAACCGTGTCGCGGACAGCCTCGCCGTCCGCAAATAATGAGCGACATCGCATCCACCTCCAAGCCGATCTGGCCGACCCCGAAAGCGTCTCGGCCGTCTTCGAGACTGTCCGCAAGCAGCTCGGCCATCCGAGCGTGGTCGTCTACAACGGTTCGTGTCTTTACTTTATTCGGATCGGCTCCTTGCCACCCTCTACATGGATAGGACAGGATGGGTACCTCGATGGACGCTAATCCAGATAAACAGGCGCCGCAGCCAAATTCGTTGACGCCGACGACCCGCTGCAAATCTCCCTCCAGGACAACCTTCGCGACATGAACGTGAACACATTCAGCGCCCTCGCCGCAGCAAAGGAAGCCGTCGCGTCGTTTGCAGCCCTACCAGAAGAAAGCAAAGCGCCCCGGACCTTCATCTTCACAGGAAATGCTATGAATAATCTGCCTATCCCAGCGCTGATGAGTGCGGGCATGGGCAAGAGCGCTACGGCGCATATGATCATGACAGCTGCGCACGTTTATGCCGGACGTGGATACAGGTGGGGAGTCTGCTTTACATGCTACATCTGACCGGGCGCTGATCAAGGCAGATTCTACTACGCGGATGAGCGCAAGGCTGATGGGACGCCCGTGTATCGTGCTATAGACGGAGAGGCGCACGGAGAGTTCTATGTCGCGCTTTCGGAGAAGGAGCAGGGGCCGTGGCTGGCGACGTTTGTCAAGGGGACTGGTTATGTTGCATTTGAACGCTAGTTCTGTAAAAATATTTGGAGTGGGTCCTTCTTTCCCATGGGGCGTGTCATGTTAGAGTTTTACAAGCTCTTTCTATACGCGTGTAGAATCTATCTCTCTTTTTTTTTTTAAAAAAAAAGTTAAAAGGATGAATCTTCTGGATTATTCTATGCCTAAGTTATTACTACCCCTTATCAGGTAATCTGCCGTGGAATGCCCGTGCGGTCGCACAGAGATTAGCTACCTACATTCTGGTTAACTTTTCTTTCGAAAGCGACATGAGGGTATTCCACGTCAGAATGTGATCCTTGTTATACAGGGATTTACCGTTATGTTGGGCAGGGCATGAAGAAGCAGTGATTGAAGCAGGTGTACTACGCTTAGCAGACACAAGTTCTGAGACGAGAGAGAGGTATGTTATGATACTAGGAGTTGCAGTGAACGCCATCATTCCCGAGACGAGGATATTTTTTAGGTACAATGCCCGACTTTTGTATCACGAGACATGCTGAGCAACAACACAATGATGTAGTATGCAACGGCACATAGGAACTCTCTGCGAATGCCGATACCTGTAATTGGAACATGCATGTCCCTATGTCTACGTTCAAACATATGTATCTGGTGTCCGCAGAATATGCTGATGACTTGACTCTTCCATTCCTTTAGTGCTTACAGACCATGTAATCGAGAGCGAGGTAGCAGCCATGTGTCTCCTCCCCTGGGATGTCATCTAACTTCCGCTACTCGTCGGACTTCCGTTACTTTCGGAATCTGTATGCCCACTTCGACGCCACGTTGCGAGCAAAACACCACACTCTCCACAACTGTGTGCTACGTTCTTCGTACTGGTTATACAGTACGGAATGCAGCACAAGCACTGAGTAAAAAATAGCTCGCCCTCTTCCCAGTCTTGCGTAGTGTTGCCACCCTGGAAGTCATTTATATGTCTTCGCCTCGTATCTCTCTGTCTTTCAACTATCCCCCTCCGTCTCCTTCTTGTTCGCATCAATCCGCACAATAGCCTCCTCAAACAGCCCCAAAAGATGCTTCCAAAACGCCCTATGCTCCTCCTTCTCTTCTTCGTCAACAGAATACCGTCTCGCAAGTACTATCGGAATCGCCACCGCCCCAACTGACTTCGAATAAAGCCGGGGATCGGCTCCATGTTCCAAGAGCAGTTCAATCACTGGGAGGTTCTCAACAATGGATTTCCTGTTAGGCATGTGGGTTTGCCGTAGGCAAGCGTCGAGTGGGCGTCCTTCGTTGTGCCCTACGTGCGGAAGCGTGTCAGGGGCATTGACGTCCTCACCGTTGGCGATGGCAGCGCGGCAGGCGGCCATCATTGTTTCGACGCTGTGGTTGGAGATGGGTTCCGTGATGAGGGGTGATCGTTGCACGGGTTGATCAGGTTGAGTCGGGCCATTTGCGGGTGATGCCTGGGCCATGGTAGCTGAAGAATGCAGGTGGACTTGTGTTCTTCGTTGGTGCGAGAGAAATGGTCAACTTGGAGGTGTATTCTGGGGAAGAAGAATTATTCACTAGGCATATGTTACAAGCAGTTGATGTTTAATACTTGTACGATGTTTCGACGGACACTTTGGCGGAGGTCGGGAGGCGCAGGCCTGGGCGCAAGGGGGTGCGGGCGTTACACGTACACTATACTACGAGGAGACTAGCGCTTAGCCGAGCTGGCCCCCAAGGGACCGTATACGGCGACATTCGCTATCAGTTATCACGTCTGGTTCATCAGCCCACATTTCCAGGCTGCTCCACTGGACGACTTTTCCTGTTCCACAGCGACGGGGTTTTCTCTACCGAACCCAGTGTCCGTGGATCGCCAATGTTTGTGAGCGTTTCCATGCAGGTGATCCTAATTTGTACTGTGTAGGGGAATATTTCGCCGTTGGTGCTGCTATAACGGACATCTAGGTTATCGTAGGATAGCGAATATGGTGTGGACCATCCTGGTACCAAATCAACAGAGTTGCAAACCTATGCTAATACCAAGTAGCGGCTGCTGGGTACGAAGAAGTATCTAGGAACAGCGGATCAGCGTGGAAGTAAACCCCTTGAGCGTGCACAGGGCACTGTTAAAGTTCAAAATGAGATGTCTCGCTTCTGCATTGACCTCACAGGAGCAGAGCCACAGAGACAAGTGTTCAGCGTGCCTAAGCTGACAGCCTGAAGATTTAACTTACGGACATGTAACAGAGATTGCATCATCACGGAATGAGAGGCGCCTGGCGATCTTGCACACGTCTAGCGAATGTTGCTAACTCGTTACTTAGAAGTTAGGTTCTAGGTGTGAGCTGAAGTGATGATTTTCTGCGGACTCCGAGTGGACGGATACGACTCTACCTGGTGCTCAGCCCCCTGAAGAGCCATACACCGGTGTATAAAGCAGTATACATGGAACTTAAGTCAGGTCCGATCACAACCTACCAACCACCACAGTCTCTACTGTCTTCTGCGCCAACTTTTCTTTCATTCGTTCATTTCTCATTTTCATTCATTTCAGACGTCCCTGTGGGCTTCCTTGACGAGATACATCCATCTGTCTTTGATCCCAGAATAGCATCTGACCGTGAGCTCGCATCTTGCCGCCAAAGATGAAGTTCACCAACGCGTTCCTGGCGTCGCTCTTGTTCTTCGGCGTGACGCCTTTGGCTCTCGACAAGAAGAGGGATGAGCATGCTCTTACAACAACCTCTAGCCCCTTCACTACCACATCGACCAGGGCTCTCGTCCCGCCGGACGATGCAGGTGTTGTAGAGATCACGGGCGGCACGCACGATGTCCTCGAGGCCAGGGCCAGGGGTAGCCGAGGTGGTAGTCGTACGAAGACCACACGTCCCGCGCGAACGAAGAAGACGAAAACCAAGCCTAAGAAGAAGGCTAAGGCCAAGAGCAAAAAGACGAAGACGAAGACCAAGTCCAAAGGCAAGCCGAAGTCGACGTGCACAGCTAAACAAAAGAAGGCAGGCAAGTGCAAAGACACATGCACGGCCAAACAGAAGAAGGCAGGCAAGTGCCCGGACCAGAAGAAAAAGAGGAACTGGGAGGTCCTCCGTCCCACTAAGGGCTGCAGGCCCAAGAATTGCAAGAAGTGCGGCAAAGCGACAGGCGCAAAGGGCAGCAAGAAGAGTGGCAAGAAGACCATCAGAGACCTTTCCTCCCTCCGCAGCCTTACTCTTTCCAAGCGTGCTGCTACTTTCGAGCCCGCGTCCAGGGATAAAGCTGGTCTCATGGCTTGGACCAAGGATGTGTGGGCGTCGTCTCCCAAGGTTCTGCATATGCCAGAGAACAGTTTCAAGCCCACCTCCTTCCTCCTTTTTCATAAAGTGGTCCTCGTTGGGTGAAGGCATCAATTTCGTGACCGTCAAGAGCCTGATGGGATGTAAGTCACCTCGGGGGATAAGGCGATAGGTTTGGCCGATCTTTAAACTCTTCAGGCTTTGAATGCTTGAACGACTTAATGATCAGCAGCTAATACACCTACTTAGTCCCCACTCCCGAACGTGTAGATTAAGTATTAACTAAACAACAACAGGTACATCTGTGGTCGCGATCTCTGACGAAGGTGTCTACGTGGTAAGTGACGCCGCAAATCCGTAATTCTCGAAGCGCAGACACTGACTTTCCTTTGCCGCAGTCGCACCATTGGCAGAACACGGTCGGCGATGCCTCGTACAAGGACCTGACCCCGCAATTCGACAACGCCTTCACCAACCCCCTGACAGGCAAGCGCCGCGCCTCCTTCAGGCTCACCCCCGCGCAGAAAAGGATCGCCACAGAATACTTGTCCGAAGCCGAGGTCAAATCCGACGTCGATGACGTGTACCCCACGACGGGCTTCGAGGCTCTCACTGACGTCAAGTCTTCCCTCACCGCAGACAGCAACGTGCAGTCCATGGTCGCTGTGTGGGACGGCGTCGAGGGCACTGGCGACAAGTACAGGACGACTGGGGCGCACATGAAGAGTTTTGTCGACGGCCTGCTGCCCGGGACAGCGACGAAGCTGGTCAAGTACGAGAACACGGAGAATGCTATGGCCACGTCGAGGGACGATAGCGATTACCACGGCAAGGTCATCGTGTCATATGATTCGGCGACGAAGAAGTACCAGGTTTGGATGCCGGCTGCAGATTTGACGGGCCCCATTCTGAAGAACTAGATTACTTGGTTTGCGCATATTGTATTGTGAGCTGCCCAGGATTGAAATGAATTTACGGGCCGGGATGGAAGGATAGAAGGTCTCGTTCCCGGTGTCGGGGCCTAGGAATGGTACTTCTCTGTACATACTTGAGCTTCACTTTGCTCAAATTGTAACACAATCAATCCAACGGGTTCGAAAACGGCCTCATACTACACCGCGAATTTGGGAGCCTACTTGGTGGTGGCCAAATAATTATCATACCAGCTTCTGGGGGAGATGTCGAACCAGAAACAAAGAAGGAGGTGGACTTCGATAACGACAAGGAGCCCTACAAAGTCCGAGTCCTCGATCAAACCGTGGATAATCCGACCTTGGGTATGTTCAGCGATCCATGCTCGACGGGAGGATTCTTAAGTTCCGAAACGACCACCGACCAAAGAAGCGATACTTGTGGTACCTTGCAATCATAAACATCGCCCGACGACGTCGGTGTCGGGTTCCAGGCTGGGAGAAGGATTTTGAGCGCCTAGGCAGCGCTACATGGGCCTCACCTGGTGATTACCTTCCAAAATCCACCATGTATGCTACCAAGCGTAAGATTGGATTTGATACAAACCCTGAAGCAGCTCTCAAGCTAGGACCCGACTTAGAGGGTGGCCTTGAGGAAAGCCCAACTTGCAAGGAAATTGTTGATCGAGTAGCGGTGAATCTCAGTCCGCCTTCAAAGGCTCGTAGACTGAACGCTCTAGTGGACGGGAGTGTATGGAGTCGCGTGCACTCCAGTACATTTCGTCGAACGGAAGCGCACATGAATAACCCATATGACCAATTGCGCGCATTGAACGAGGATGACGACGAGGGCGATGAGGAGAGCGATGATGAGGGCGATGATGAGGGCAATGAGGATGGTGAGGAGGGTGTCAAGGAGGATGATGACGAAGATGCCTTGGGCTTTATCTGGTGCTGACTTACTAACCATGTGTGAACAAGAAATTCTTTGATGGATTCGAAGATCACGCCATATCCTCTTACGGGAGTAAATCATGGTCGTTAAGCAGCGATTGCGTCGAATTTCAATAGTTATCATGTCGCCGCGAAAGTTGCCCAGCTTTCCCACATTTCCACGGTGTTTCCCGTTATTGCCGACAACTAGAAGGTAGTGTCAAGGTCAAAGTCGCCAGGAAACCAGATGGCGGCGTCCTCGATCTGATCTATGGAGCCTGGCAAAGTGTCCAATAGCATATACTGAGGCGTAAATGGCTGGAAGAAATTCTCAGTAACCCCCGAGCATCGCGAACCAAGATCGCCGGCTGTATCAGCTGTCCCGGAGGGTTCAGCAGTATCAGCGTCGTCCCCGGTATCATTCGTATGGTTGTAAGGCGAGCGAAGAAAGTCGTCAGTCATCATCTCCTGCACCATGCGCAGTGTGCCCCGATGTACAACAAGCAACTCAAGACTAGGCATGAGTTCTGTCAAAGCTTCTGCAGACTCGGAGCGCATACGCCTTCTGTTGTTGGTAGCCGCCGTAAGTCCGCTAGGTTCGAATAAGGGAATCTCGCGAGCCAAGAGATCGAAAGCATCGCGGACACATTTCGATTGCGGCCATCTCTCTGCCAAAAGCGACAGAGTAATGCTACAAGCTCGCACGGCTTCCGATACGTCGAGAGACTCATATGTTGGTGATCTTTGTTCAGGGGACGTAGCGAAGTAACAGTATAGCAAAGCAACGCCGCACTTGAACTGCGCGATCAAACCGATCCATAGGTCAGTGAGTGGCCTCTGTCGTTGAAATTTGCGGAATATGAGCAGTGCCTGCGTACATGCCTTGACAGTCCAATCGCCGGCAGACTCGCTTGCGGTCGTCCTCGTGGGCTGATAAAGCATGGCCAGGCTGTAGTTGTAGATCATGTGCAACCACTCGCTGTTAGAAAAGGTTACGACTCGCTTATCAGCATAACGATGGCATAGGGAGCGCCATTTGTCCAACTTTTCGATGACACGCAGTCGCCAGCGGTGATGCGTATCCATTGAGGTCCGAAAATCCCGATGTAGTGTGGTATTGAGTATTTCCGACTGGATCTGTCGGCAGTACACCACATGCATAGCTGCAGATACGCTTGTGAGGCCAGGGAAGCTGGGCGGATCGTTTGGGAAAGCGTCCTCGCAGCAAGTTTCGAGCTTGCTGTCGTCTATGTTTGCGAACAATTTGACGGTAATCTGCGAGTCGGGAATGCAGAACGGAAGGTCGAATACCGCACTAACGGTACGATCGAGAGTATATGCAGACCAGAATATGCGCCGTCTCATCTGAATCAGGACCTTGGACGCGATGCCTATAGAGGGAGGCTCTGCATCGGCCAAGTGAAGCTGTGCCATGACGCAAAAGCGCATTGTTGTTGACACTGCGGATATGATCCCTTCAGTGGAAGGTGAAAACAAGGCGTGCATGCTTAGGAGAAGATGAGCTTGTATGTGTAACAGTCGGTCTGACTGGGCCAAAACCGCAGGAAGAAAATGATTTACTGCAGCATCGTAGAAGTCTTGCTGGCCGTGTTGAGAAGTGCGGGCATGGCCGTTCGCACTTAACAGCAGTCCAAGGGAGTATATGATATTGCAGAAGAAGGCGGTGTACGTGCTTAAACCTTGCTGCAAATGATCCACACGGAGAAATGGGTATCTCGAATGGACTTTTTCGATATACAGAGAAAACAGCGCTTCCCTCTCGTTGGCATTGAGACTGTCTCCGGGGTTCAGGGTAGGTAAAGTGACCGCTGGGCCGATACCCTGAGCAGATTGCTGTAGCGGGGGATTGATACCAAACGGCGAATCTGCATTGGTCCAACTCGAAGAACCTGGTGCAACAGACAGGCCGGGACGACTCTCGTGATGCTGTCCTATGTGGCTCTCTTCTAGGCGAGTGATGCGCTCTTCAAGCGACGCGATGTCCGCAAGGCGGCCCATGGAATAGTTTGCGACATAATCATGACTTTGTAATCCCACGGCAGACGGGGGATCAACGCATTGTTGATTGGATCGAGTGCAATTAGCACAAGGCCTTTGATCGTCGCATCTTTGCTACGTCCAGGTTTAGCGAAGCCTGAGGTCTAAGGGAGCGAGACGCTGACTTTGCGCTTGCGGCATCGCTGACAGGCGTTTGACTTCACTCGTTTGGCTGGTGGAGCATCCTCGCCCTCCATGAAGCAGAGGGTATGATGGATTGGAGGCTGGCACGTTGATAGAGGGGATGTGCGAACCATATCTAATCTCGGCCGAGGACTGGTTAGTGCACCTACTGATTGGTTCGCTTCCGTAGTGGATGGGCACGTGATGCAACCTTGGAAAGACGTTATCGGCCCCGAAAGTCAGTCAGAAAACGCGGGTAACCCTTTCATTTTCTATTAATTCAGCTTGGCCCTACGTCTCACTAGTGATTTCTCTACCTGCTACAACATCGAAAAAGGCGTCTGCGAGATAGCCCCCTCGTGCCGTTGGTTTCCCGTGTTTATCGGTAGGCATACTCTCAATAGCGGGCTTCGCAACGTCACGCATATAGCCCGCCATGCCCTCCTCTGCAAATGCTTTTGCAAATCGTCTCGCATGCAGCGATAGCCCTTGAGTAGCCCAGATGGGCTGTACTTGCCACACGATGCCGTAGTCGCGCGCGATATCGGAGTGGAAGGAACGCAAGTCGTCTGGGCTGTACCCTCCTTTCGCGAAATCGTAGGCACCCATGAAGCCGAATGCAAAAAGACGGTCGGGATACACAGCGCGTACGCCCATGTGGAAGCCGTGCATATCCTTCTTGTTTGGCTTGTCCTGCCGGCTCCACGTTACATCTCCGAATGGCGCAGCCAATATAGCTCGATCGATAACTTGCTGTGTGCTCCATTGCAACATGTACTGCCCATGTGGCGTCCTAGGCAGCTCCCAGTCGAAGAAGATATCCTTGCCGGTTACACCCTTTGCAATGGTTCGTCGCTGCAGTAGGGTGACGACCTTGTCTGCAACCTCGGCTATATATGACCTGTAGTGCTCTTCAGTGGCACTTGCCTTGACAGCTTCATCGAAGGTCATCAACACTGCTGTCGTCTTCCAATCTTCCTTGACGGCGAGATAATCTTTACCCGACTCCTTCCCGGCGTTGATCGCTGCGACGAACGACTGTACTGGCTTCGTGGCGCCGAGAACGTAGGGGTGATCGCGTGGATCAAGAACACTGGATATGAATTCGGCGTTATCGCTATCGCATCGACAGAGAAGCATTGTATCGGCACTGTGATTTTCCATGAGCGTCCATTCACAGTAGGAGGTCACGGACGTTTACCCCATGATGTCAAAGGTCATGCGCACCGTCTTCAATCTGTCCAAATACTCGCATGTTGGAACGATCGTTCGACCCTCGCCATTTGTAAATTTCTTTAGTCCCATAGCCAGGTCGTCGATGTGGATCATGGCGACACCACTTTCTACAAAGCTCCTCACCGTCTTCATACAGCCTGTCAGGGTTCCGAATCCCATATCACAGTCTGCAACGATCGGGAGCATATAGTCGATGCACTCGAGCAAGTTGCGGTCGGCCTCATCGTAGCGCATGCGCAATTGCGTCTGACGTTGGTCGTGAAACAGTTGCGTGTTGAAGATGCGCTTCACCACCGACGGCACCAGGTCCGACGGATAGTCTGCATGGTCTTCACCCGGCCAAGCTGCGAGCGACAACCCACACAGAGCCCCAGAAACATATATTGTTTGCACTACGTCATGTCAGTCAATGTGACATGTCTCAGCACCTTGGGAGACTCGCTGGCTTGGGTCATCTCCTTGGCTATCAAGGGCTCAGTTGTGCCAAAAGTGAGCTCATATGTGCCTTTGGCATTGTGTTCGTTGAGGATGCGCCATAGCTTGCGACCTTGTATGCTGGAAGCATACTCCTGCTTGAAGCCGACATTGCGCAGAGCAGCAATTGATCTCGCGGAATATGGTCTGCGATTGTCACAAGTTAATAAACGGGTCACTTGCTTCTCATAATGATCGCACCTAGTAATATGCTTTTGCCTATCAGTCTGCCACCAAGCTTCGATGAATTCGACTTCGGCATCGAAAGCCTCTTTCTCTCTCTTGGTGTCAGGCCACTTTTTAGTCATGACAACAGGTTGAGCAACAGGTGTTGAGGGCTGGCTGAAGTTGCCGTGACTGGAAGTAACGCTTTCATACATGTTACAGTGCCCCATCAATAACGCTCTCGGCATTATCCGAATCATCGGCCTTGCAAGCTTCTAGTCTCTATTCAGAAAGTCTGACATTCGCGTTGGAAGCACAATCGTCGGATGCGCGCCCCTAGCGCCCGATCAACCCCGATGAGCCCGACACGGGAGGACACATCGGAATGCATTTGTCCGATGTTCAGTCGCGACGATCAATCTCCCCATGATGGCTTGAAAGATATGAGAACGGGTCGTGTACGTTGATGTCTCGGTACACAAACCTCAATATCATGAGCGTGGTACCCTCGGGCGACGTCATCAACTTACAGCTGGGGTGGCCCTCGCCACGCCTCTTCGCTGGTGCTTCCCTGCTTCAAGGCGCTACCGAAGTGCTCACCTCCGAGGCGGAAACAGCGAAAGCTCTAATCTACGGTCCTCACATTGGCCACCCACCACTACGAGAAAGCATTGCCCAATGGCTCTCGAAGACCTATAATGTTGCTACCAACATGGATCGCATCTGCATAACCAACGGCGCGTCCGCAAATCTATCAAACATCCTACAGAAGTTTACCGACCCAATATACACACGCCAAGTTTTCATGGTCGAACCAACGTATTTCCTAGCCTGTCCAATCTTCGAGGACAACGGATTCCGTGGGAAGTTGAAAGGTGTGCCTGAGAGTGCAGATGGTATCGATATTGCATTTTTGCGTGACGCACTGCAAGCAACAGAGGCAGTTGCGGTAGCCGAGCAGAATATGACACCGAAGCTCAAGTCTGGAAAGACATACGTCAAAGTGTACAAATATGTGATTTACGTGGTTCCGACTTTCGCCAACCCGAGTGGGAAGACGATGAATTTAGAATCGCGCAAGAAGCTTGTAGCATTGGCAAGAGAGTTTGATGCTCTGATTGTATCGGACGATGTGTATGATTTTCTTAGCTGGTCGGTCGACCCTACCGCGACTGACCATGTCTCCGGGTCAGTTCCGTTGCGACTAGTCGATGTCGACAGCGCGATGGAAGGATACAGCGAGTTTGGGAATACAGCTAGCAATGGATCTTTCTCGAAACTCATTGGTCCTGGGGTCCGAGTAGGTTGGACTGATGGTTCACCGGCTTTCGCCGTTGAGCTGTCTGAAGTGTAAGTCCTCTTTCGAAATATGCATTGGAAACATCAAGCTCACGGAATCTGAACATAGTGGATCCTCAAGCTCTGGTGGTGCTCCGTCCCATCTTACATCTACCTTCGTAGACAAGATGCTCCGGAATCACCAACTGCAGATGCATATTGAAAGTGTGCTTATACCCGTGTACCGTAAGCGATATCATGCTCTTATGAGTTGCATAGATGCGGTACTTCTTCCGCTCGGCGTTGTGGTTGAATCGAACGCGCCTACAGGTATCGCCGGCGGGTTCTTCACCTATATACGTTTACCCGAAGATTTGCCCGCCGCGAAGATTGTAGCCGCTATCGCGTGGAGAAAGAAGCAACTACGTATTGCCTTCGGACATATGTTCACCGTTTCTGGAGACACGGGTAGTTTGGCAAGGGGCGAGCAAGCTCAAGGGTTTACCAAATGCTTGCGGTTGTGTTGGGCATGGCATGAAGAAGAAGAGATTACAGCGGGCGTACTACGGTTATCAGAGACGATTTCTGAAACGAGAAATATGTCAAAGCGTGGTATCGGATTCGAAGAATATATGACAATAGGGATTCGCTGAATATCATCTACTTTATTGAGTCTCTTCTCAAGGCTGGGCCAATTTCGTCGATATCTCGTTAATCGATGAAGCTTGTTTCGCCATACCAGTCAGAAGAAGTGCCATATCTCGACCAGACATGGCAAACCTTATGGACGAGTGTCTCAATGCAAAAGCCTCGATCAAGTCGGGCCTTGGCTCAAGTCCTCCAAGCCCAACAAACACCTTGCGCCCGTTCACGCTTGCTTTTTTCGCAGCAAACGAGATCCGTGCAACAGTTGAGTGAAAAAGCTCCGCGTCATATTGACCTGGTATTCCAAGTTCCATGCATAAATCTGCACATCCAATCAAAAGAGCATCAACTCCAGGCACCGCCGCAATAGCCTCGACGTTGGCCACCCCTTCATTTGTTTCGATCATGGGCATGATCAGGACTGCATCGTTCACTACTTCCGCGATGGTATCGTACGTAAAGTTAGTCGCATATTGTGTCATCGGCTGGACCATCGTAACAGATCGTTTGCCCTGTATGTCTTTAGTGACTAACAGCTTTCACTCATTAGGAGGGGATACTTACCATGGGTGGAAACTTCCCCGCATTTACACACATACGCGCCTGCTCAACATTGTTCACATGAGGCACAATGATGGACTGTGCGCCTGCGTCTAGGCACCGGGAGATCCATTCAGGTGCACATGTAGGTACGACAACCATCGGTGTTATCCTAACGCACGATCAGTATCATGGGCGTATATGTTCGGGAGGCTGTCCGTACCCAACGTTCAAAGATGAAATAGCAATATCTCTCATTGTTTCCATTCCCATGGCCATGTGCTCCAGATTCATAAGCACTGCTTGATACCCTGCTCGTTGTGCAATCAAGGCCATCTCGACTGAGAACGCAACCCGGAGGCCGAATGAATGCGCCAACGCGTTGCGCTCCATTGTGATTTTCACGAGATTCGGGCGGCATGTTTCGCGAGCGGCGTTGAGTTGTTCTGGAGTAGGGGCCATACTGTCAATCTGCTATCAAGTCGTGGATGTGAATCCTCTTCTTCTCCAATATTAAAGACTAGAATTGAAGATTACAAGCCAAATAGAGTGAAGGGTCACTGCTGAGCTCAGAAATGTGTTCGGAGACGGCCCTATCTCGGCCCTAATCTTATCCTTCTGTACCCCACACTGACTCCCCACCGTTTGAACAATTGGCAGGGTGCTAACCGGCTATCCGTGATAGCAGATAGCTAGAGAGCCAAGAACGATGGTGATTATGTTGGCGCGCTGCTTTGCTATCTTCGTATCAGCGGATGTTGATAGGCGAGCTTCGGCGCCCATCGGCGCTGCCCCGACAACCCACGACTTCTACGAAAGCCGAATCTATATCTGGACTACCAGCGTGACATCCAGTATCATTTCAACGGGGAGAGGCTGCCTCTGAGCATTTTCAAATTTACATTCGAATCAAGATGGAGATTGAGAAGAAGCTGAACATCCCAGACCCGAGGCCTGTCGACGTTCATGAAGGCATGAGCGAAGATGTTCGACCACCACAAGAATTCTCTTTCTGGAAGCGGTTTCTTATGCACCTTTGGGACGCAGACCAGCATCTCAAGAGTCCAGAAGTCAGTCTTATCTAAAGAATAGCTGCAACATCTTGGGACTGATCAAAATTTACAGGAGCGGAAACTGGTTCGAAAGCTCGACTTCGGCATCCTCATCTGCGCCACGCTCGGTTGGTGGATGAAATACATCGACCAAGCTAACATTGCTAACGCTTGTGAGTCAATAAATGGCTATGATACATGTGGCTGTGTTTACCTTCGATGCAGATGTCACCGGAATGAAAGAGGACCTCAAGATCGAGGGAAACCAATATACATACATGTTGAGTGGGTTGACCAGATATACAACACATATAATAGCTGATTATGACAGTGTGTTACACTGTCGCATTCGCTATCATGCAGATTCCGTCTAATCTGATCGCTCTGAAAATCCGCCCTCGATACTGCATCGTCGCGTGCGAACTCGGATGGACAGTCTTTACGTGTGCAAGCTTCTTTTCTATTGTCAAGACCACTAATTGACATGACCAGATTCGCCCAAGCTGCAGCACAATCTCCAAGCCACATGTATGCGTTTCGATTTATGGTTGGTCTTTTTGAATCGGGGTTCTCGCCTGTCATCATCTTCTTGCTCGGGTCGTGGTACACGAAGACAGAACTCGCAAAGCGAGTCGCAATCTGGCACATCACCGGCTTCTTCGGAACGGCTACCTCGGGTTTCATGCAAGCTGGAATACACGCCTCGCTCGACGGCCACCTCGGTCTTCCTGGATGGCGCTGGCTTTATATCATATGCGGGTGTATGAGCCTGCCAGTCGCTCTATCTGTCTGGTTTCTCTTACCTGATTATCCCAGCAATTCCAAAGTTTGGTACTTGACCGAGGCAGACATTGATCTTGCAAAGCGTCGCATGGACCGGCAAGGCCGCGCGAAAGTGACTGGCGTAATTGACCTCAAGTTGATGAAACGCATGTTCGGTAGCTGGCGATGGTGGGTTATGTGTCTCATGTACATCTTCTATGGAAACTCTTGCCAAGCGAACCAGTACTTTTCGGTTTACCTCAAGAGCGCCGGTTACAGCGTCTCGCAGCGCAACATCATTCCTGCGTGTTCGAATCTGGTTACTATGGTCACTGATTATGCTTGGGGTTTTGGTTCAGATGTCACAGGAAATCGCCTGTATTGGATGGTTGGACCACTTCTGGGGACCACTGTTGTAGGGAGTTCGATCCTCATACATTGGGGCACTTCAGACACCGCCAGAATTGTCGCATTCTTCTTCCTCTCAGGGGGCTATGTCACGGCCGTCACCTGGGTAAGTCACCTCGAAGCTGTGTTATGTGTTCTTGGATCCCATTAACTCGCACAGACATGGGCTAACGAGATCAACACCACAAATGCGGAAGAGCGAGCGCTTACTATCTCCTCGATGAACGGGCTCTTCTATGCTACGAATTCGTTCCTGCCGATCTTGATTTTCCCTCAGACTACGGCACCAACATTCAAACGCGGGTTTCCATCCATCCTATCGTTTGCCCTCGTGGCAATTGCCTTGATGCGTAAGCTATCCTCGTCCCTTTCGTCATACATCTTGCCCTTAGATTGCATGACAGACTGCATGGTAGACTGACGGACGTATGCATCCCGTAGTGGTGGCCGACTACCTCCATCGACGTCAGCTTCAACAAGAAGAAGCTAAAGCGCGGCACGAAATTCCATCAGAAGTAGTAGAGATGCCGACGATGGAGGAAGCGAAACTCAAGTAAACAAAGTGGAAGGGGTACTTATGGAAGAAAGGCCGGAACTCTAGTGAATGGGTGTTTGGGCTTGATGATGTGGTCAATGTGCAGGTAATAGAGCTCGAAGTGAACATGCAAAGATCAATGAATAGATAGAAACAAACTTTAGTATACTTAAACTTCTATCATTCCAAATAACCTAGCTATAAATCAATAATTAAGCTTCTTCCATTCCTTACTTCGCTCCCAAGCTGCCGCGATCTTCAGGCACGTCGATTCATCAAAATGCTTACCCACAATCTGTAAACTTGTAGGCAGCTTTGTCTCTGCATTGTCTTGGGCAGGAACGAAGCCCACGGGAAGGGTAAGAGCGGGGTGACCCGTCGCGTTGAAAGGTGCTGTGTTGAGGACGGTACCTGCTACACGCAGCAACCTTTGTAAAGGACTAGCCGTCTCGTCCTTCAAGAAAATGCGCGGAGCAGGGAAGGGTATAGTGGGCATGACCAGAGCGTCGAGCGAGCCCAGAACAGCGTCGTAAGCACGACACTGTCTTCTGATAACGTTGGTTGCCTTTGCGTGGACTAAGAATCCGTACTTCTCCATGACGTACAGGTGTTTCATGTAGAGGTTCTTCGCGCCAGCACCAAGAGAGTCGAATTTCTCTTGTGACAACGAAGGCTCATAGGATTGCGCGCGATCGGTCATCTGCAGACCCTTGCGGCCGGTTTGATCCCCGAGAAGGCCATCTCGGCTGCCAGCGAGCGCTTGCACGCACGTCCAAGCGCTGCAGATCTTGTTGTGTTCTGGGATTGAGACTTCGGTGATCTCAGCACCAAGACTCTTCAGGTCATCGATTGCAGAACGCACGGCCTTATCGACTGAGGGATCCATGAGGGACATTTCGAATCCTTCCTTCAAAACGCCAATTTTGAACGATGTGAGAGGTTTCGAAGAACCGTTGGAGGCTCCAAGGAACTCATCAAGGTGTTTCGTGTATTTCAGTGTCTCAGGAATCATGTTGTAGGGTTGCCTATCATCGAAGCCATCGGGCCCAGCAATTGCCTCGAGCAAGGCGGCGTTGTCTCTCACGGATCTTGTCATTGGGCCACAATGGTCAATGTCTGCGTGCAGACTCAGTATTCCACTGTATGGAACAAGGCCCCAAGTGGCTTTGAAGCCGACGAGACCGCAATACGATGCTGGAATGCGAACGGAACTATGTGATCATGTCAGCATTCAATCATTTGGTTTAAGAGATGGAGTCATTAGCACCTACCCTCCCTGGTCGCAGCCAAGAGCCATATCTGCTGAGCCAGTCGCAACGACTCTGCCCGATCCACTGCTGGACCCACCACACGAGTAATTGTCCGCATAAGGGTTATGTACAACGCCGGTCCAGGAAGTATCTGACGAGGGTTCCATACATGCTGCCTCGCAGGTCGCTTTGCCAACAATGATACCGCCGGCATCCATGATACGGGTTGCAACGGTTGCATCGTAAGTGGGAACCCAGGGACGAGCCAAAGGATCGAGTCCATTGAGTGTTCGCATGCCAGCAAATGCGATGTTATCTTTCAATGCAATTTTCTTTCCAGCAATGAGCGACGAGGTAGGCGCCGTGCTTTTTGCGATGCATGTTGTCGCCCAAGCTCCTTTGTCGCTTTGAGTGGCATCTGGAATAGCTATGTCTGTCCGTGGATATTTGGATAGGTCGGGAACAGGAAGATCATCCTCTTCTTGCAGAATATCCTGAATGCTCTGCTCAAAACTACCCAGAAGAACAGACCAGTCGTCTAGTTCTGATAGAGGAACCTGGAGTCCGGCCTTTGATATTAAATTCTTGACTGTTTCCAATTCAAGCTTAGCAGAGCTGTCGGCCTGTTATTAATGAATAGTCTGGCGTGATTTGTCGACAGACTGACCTTGGAGGTGATACAATAGTCATCGTTGCAGGACTGATGATGATTTGACTTGTTTGATCTAAAGAAACCAGGGCCAGACGCAACGTCAAAGCGGAACAAGTATCAATATATGAACACAGGGACACAGAGTCGTTGAAAGAGCTCAAGACCTCTTCAGATAGGCAGAGTCGCGCCGTCTACTCTAATTCTACCGTGATAGAGTTTATCAACGCTGTTGATATAGTGAGACCCACAGTTGCAGGCGAGGCATGCTTTATGCCTATCTTATTGTGGGAACGCCGATCAATAACATCAAAGGTTGTGAATATGATTACCTTTGTAGACCTGCGCGGTGTCTCTCCGGACTTACTATGTATGTGCGCCCTGCCTTATCGTTGGAACCTAACCAATGGGATCAAAGGCAGTTTGAATAATCACAATACCGAATGCGGGGTCGTGCGTAGTGTCCGGAGGAGAAGCGCGCAGGACCCGTCGGAGGAGATACGCGCACCGTCGGCCCCATCTTATCATCGGGATGATGTCGATCAACATATTCAAGTTGCATTTCTTCAGCTGCTATTATGATATGGCACATGGTACTGATATTCCATGCCGACTTGGACTGTTCACCTGCCCGAATAGTTTCCGCGCAATTACATGACGTCATACTCTCTCCCAACCGGCAGCTAGATCGGTATATGCACAGTGTAATATCGACGATTGGGGGGTACAGATGGGATGTTTGTTGGATATCACGTGCCTTGCACAGAAGTGTTCAACTGTACTGACTGACTGGAACACTCATTTTTGAATGAGTTTTCTCACAAATCGAGAAATCCAAGGGTACAAAACACATCTTAGTGTTACTGCTGCAATGTGAAAGTGCCGCCCGGGCAGAGTCGATCGCGCGATAAGCCAGCCATGTGTCTTCATTAACAGCTTCCCAACAATCACGCTAGAAGTACACATGGTCTAGCAGCAGTGGCATTTCACACGCGCTTCTGTCGTTATTACCATAGCCACTTCCTTTAAGTATATCCACAAATTGAGACGCTAGTTGGCTTTGCTCACCACAAACACAACGCTTTAGCTCGACGAGTGTCGTTCCAATCTAAGGATTAGTTTCATATAGAAAAGAGCGCGCATAAAGAGAATGCAAGACCGCTTTGAATGTAAGAAGTTTACCAAGTCTGTGGTTAGCGAGTTCTGCCGAGTAACCCCAAATGTACGCTAGCCTGCTTGCTTTGTAATACACTTGCGCGGTGATCCCTGAACAGATAGGTGCTATCATCGGCCTTGCCATATGATGGCAGCAAGTCTCCGAGCAACTATGACCTAGCCCAAGAATTGTCGATCTTCGCATAGATAACGCCCATAGTCTTGGTTCACATCACTTGTTCGGTCTTCTCTAGCGATTCGGATAATATGATAGGCGTGCGATAACAACGCGAGACAATCGTAGACTTAGACTAAACAAATCGTATCTGTTTCCTTATATCACATGTAACCTTCCCTGGACGTCGCCTGTCGTTCATATAAACCAGCGTGGGAGGGAGAATTCTGATCTTGAGGACACGACGATATCATCCCTACTTACTTGTTGTGTGGGACTCTTGTGATTCCTTGGAGCACACTTGTTCACCTCCGCCTACTCTATGTGCAGCGTCCTCTGCTCGAACACGCAACTCCTTCGCTCGAACTCAACGGAATGTCCTTGGAGAAGCTCCCGAAAGGGGCCGACAATGCGTCGGTGCACTCGCCGACGCCTTCAGCCATCGAAGGCACCGTTCTACCCATCCATAGCGAGAAAGAAGTCTTTAGTGCTGGTGAAGGCGATGTCAACTTCCGGAACGTCAGCTGGCAGCGGGCGGCCATCTTCATGCTAAAGATGACCTTCGCCACCGGTGTCCTGTCATTGCCAGCAAGTTTGAATTCTCTGGGAGGTGTCGCTGGAGCAATCTTCATCGTCTTCTGGGGTGTTGTTAATGCCTACATGGCCGTGCTTCAGGGCCAGTTCAAGATTCGCCATCCTTCGCTGCACACCGTGGCCGATGGTGCGCACATTGCTACAATGGATCTGTCAGGTGGTTCCAAGCGATGGGCCATGTTTGCCAAGGAGATCACGGAATTTGTCTATCTGGTCTCCTGGCTGCTCTGCACTGGCCTCACAGTTCTTGGTATTTCCATTGCAATGAATGCTGTTTCTGACCACGGTACCTGCACCGTGGCCTTTGCATTCGTGGCCTATCTGGCCGTCGCCATCCTGGGCAGCATCCGCAAAATTGAAAAGACGGCTTGGATTTCTTGGGTTGGTTTCGTCTCCATCGTTGCTGCCATTCTCATCGTCTTGATTGCCACGGCCATCCGAAGTCGTCCGGCTGCAGCACCCCCGACAGGAGACTTTGTCCTTGGATTCCGAGCTTTCCCACTTGCTTCAGTTTCCTTCTCAAGCGCGTGGTCCGCGGCGCTAATAATATACGCGTCTTCTGCAAACACCTCCGGTTACGTCCCGGTTATTTCCGAGATGAAGTATCCTCAGCACTACTTCAAGGCTGTATACGTTACCATGTCCTGGATCATCGTGTCCTACATGATCATCGGCATGGTCATGTACCGCTATGCTGGACAATGGCTTGCGACTCCTGCCCTCGGGTCTGCCGGTCCTACCATCAAGATCATCTCGTACGCCGTCGCTCTTCCCAGCCTGCTTGCCTCAGGAATGATATGTGTACACATTTCTGGAAAGTCGGTCTTTGTTCGCGTGTTACGCAATTCAAAACACCTCACTGCCAACACCTGGCAGCACTGGACTGTCTGGCTGGCCTCAACGTTTGGCACGGGCCTCATCGGCTGGGTCATCTGCGAGGCGATTCCTTTCTATGGATCCTTGGTTTCCATAATTGGTTCCCTCGGTTTCGGTCCGTTGGGTATCTGTCTTCCCGTTATCATGTGGTACAGCATGCACAGAGGCTACCGCAAGGGAACCCCAAAGCAGAAGGCTCTCTGGGCTTTCCACACAGCCATCTTAATCATGGGTTTGTTCGTCACTATTGGTGGTACTTATGCGAATATTGTCATGATTGTCCAGCAATTCCAAGATGGAACTGTTGGCGGCGTCTTTGAATGCGCTGACAACAGCGGAACTGTTGATTCGTAGAAATTAACACAGAGGCCTCGGAATGTCTGATGTGTTTCACAGTTGCAAATGATATTGTCTTCGCGAGCTCTAGTGTAGTCATGTAACAAGTCTTTCTGAGTGTAAGATCTCTATTCAAGCGGTTGTAGATTTCCATGCACTGCAATTCTATAACTTTGCCTTTCCATGACTTGGCAGCTGCTGCGTGTGTGTATTGAAAGTGCATCCTTACCTCGGACAGGTAGAGGAGCGTAAGAGCTGAACACTTCCATGACTTTGAGTAGGTAACGGCTTAATGGGATGTTTACCCCTCAAACCGATCGAAATAAGGGGTGTGGGCTAGGTCGGGCACCCGTGTGATGGGGCACGGATAATGATCTGACAGCGACTGAATTCAGATGGGACGTGAGTGGCCGTAAAAGGTCTTTCATTCATTAACTTGCGCATCGCATTGCTCTCGAGTGTCAATACGATGAGTATTGCGCTTTCGTATCAGGTGGGGAAGGGTACCTATCGAGGATATACAAAGCAAGACTGAATGTGGATTAATACAATCGTCGAAGGTAATGCGCGTGTTGCATTGCTGAAGCAGCTCAACTTTTTCCCCCGTCTATTTAGAAGCCCCTGAGTCTTTACAATACTATAGCTAGAATCAATTTCTAATGCTAGCCAACATTAGTCTACCAACGGGCATTGGGTATAGGCCAGAGGATTAAGGTAAAGAGAAGTACCGCCAACATTCTCGTATATTCATTCATTGATTATCTCTCCTATGTGAGGTAAAATGTTAAACAGATCTCTCAAACGAATAGTAGAACTAAACTAACTTCTACTAATCACTGGAGAAGTTTGAAGAGAATTATAAATTACAATTAATGAATAATATTATAGTAACCGTATATATAGACATCTAGGTATTAGAAAAAGAACAAAATCTATCTAATAAAGATATAGCTTTTAAAGTCTCTATCCCATTTCTATATCTACACTCATAGGTAAACAGTCGTCGTTATAACCGCAGGGCCACACACAGGCAGTGGCGCGGACGCAGGCTTCTGCGAGAGCTGTGGTGCGGGCGAGGGAGCCTCTTGGGCTTTAGGGGCTTTAGGAGCCGCCGGCGCTTTAGAAGCCGGCGCGGGCGCAGCAACAGGGGGCAGAGCGGCATTGCTCTTAGTCTCCTGTGGGGGCGCCACAGCACCGGTAACGGTGGCGTACTCGCTTAAGGTCGAGGTGACCGACACGATGGTGAGGATGGTGGTCGGATACGCGGGTGCGTAGCCGCTATTGCTCTGAATGGCATTGGCGGACACGACGGTGCGAATGGTGGTCGGGTAAACTGCAGTGGAGTCGCTGACCAGGGCGAAGGAAGCGGGGGTCGCGATGGAGGCGGCGGTGCTGTTGGCCCAGATAGGGGCTACGACGGAGGTCGCGTTTGCTCCGGTGATGGAGGAGATGGCGACTGTGGAGGCGTTGGCGCCGGTGGGGGCGGCAATTGTTGTGGAGTTGATACCAGTGGGGGTAGCAATGGAGGCAACAACGGAGGTGCTGCTGGCGGCAATGGGTCCAGCAGATGATGAGGTGGCGGTAGCACCGACAGAAGAAGCAACCGACGAGGAGGCGGCATCGCAGAGAGCGGCTGCGGCGTCGACCTTGCTAACGACCCAGGTCGCGGCGTCATCGGTATACAAGTCGAAGTAGTCTAGATGCTGGGTGACGTTGTCACCGCCAGCGCAGATGGGATCACCCGCCCCGCAGTAGTTACGGAGAACAGATGCATATGCGTTGAGACGCGCGAGGCTGTCTGCATCGCGGGGGTCCGCCTGCAGGGAGGCTCCGTCGAGGACGTTGTAGGACTGGTCGGCAGTGTGTCGGGGGTCTCCCCATACAACAGCAGCAGCAACTTCATCACGTTAGACCCGTTTCGGATTCACGTATACGATCCCAAAGAGGGAAGGGGTTTGGTTTCACTCACTGGCTTTTCCGGCCGCAGAGGTTCTGTCAATCCCCGTGCTCCCGTCCAAACACCCACCACCTCCAAGCACATCGCCCATAACGTTGGCTCCCTCTGAGTACCCTCCAAGCACAATATGTGTGCAGGGGCACTGCGCCTGGAACGCAGTAATCTGTGAGATGCCGTTGGCATCACCCTCGGCCACCTGCGTGCAGTAGGGGCCGCCGAGCGTGACGTCAAACTGGACGTCGATGTAGTCGCACGTCTTGCCCTCAGCAACCAGCTTGGCGCAGGTGGCGTCGAGGAACGGCGTGGTGCGGCCGTCGTGATAGGGGGCATCGTTTCCACGGGCGAAGAATATGACCGTGTCAAGACATTCCGCGGTGAGCTTGGGGGTTTCGCTGGCTTGCGCGGCGACGAGGCCGACAGCGCCAAGAGCGAGGAGAGCGAGTGACATTGTATTATGAGTATGCCTGTGTATTAGGGCAAACGAGTGTGGAGGTGAAACGCAAACAAGATCCGAATACTAGGTATAGATATAAGGATGAATGAGCCAAGTACAAAAGACTGGGGAAGAGGACCACCTTTAAGGCAAAGTTCGCATCGCAGGACCACTGTGCCGAAAAGTTGTCCTGACAAGCGCTCAACGGCTCTCTACGCTACGGCGCAGTGCCATGTGCGGTGGGGCTCCCAATATTGACGGGTACCTGTTGCCGTCTCCGGTGGCAAAGCACGAGACTCCATACTCGGCCCCAGCAGCTACTGTGCTTCTCTCGGAGCCGTCGGATGTCGGCCAAAACTAACACTACTTACCGTCGCAACCACAGTATTACAGTTCGGAGAACCGAGCACCAGCCATTGAGGCCGAGGACGTACTGGAGTGAGCGATCACGTCCGTACTATATAAAAGTACGTCGCACTCTAGTATGAACCGTCTTTTACGCGGGAGGTTGCAGATAGCCGCAGATCCTGCACGTCTAGTTCAGAAGACATGGTATTGGAAGGAATTTGTACTCGCCGTTGGTCCACGAGGTTCAGATAGAGATCTTGTGTACCGGTGACGGACATCTGCCTTGATGGTTCCAAAGCTTGTATTCTTGGCCTCGATTAGCGACATTCCGACATCCTGTTCACGAGGCATTGCCGTAGTCCCAGCCTCACGCCGGTCCACGGGTAGAATTTATTAGCGGTGGTGCCTGAAGATCCTGCTCGACAGGTACCCACATATCTAGACCTATTGAAGTTACTCCCCGTTTTTCTAGTGCAAAGACTAAGCACGGCTTATTCAGCATGTTGGGCCTATTTTTAAGTCACTCCAGGCCGTAGCCACCGCAGACGTCAAAAATGGCTTCGCGGACGTGGTCTGCGGCATCTTTTCGATCGACGTCATAGTGCAAATTGACGTGAAGACCGTCCTCTTTGGCCATGCGGAACTCTTCCGCAAAGAGCAACGGCGGCTTTTCGAAGTCGTTCGCTGCAAGCCCCACCGCGTGGGACAAGCCCTGGAGCCCTACCCGGCGCCGCCAGCTGACCTAGCCCATGGTCTTGCAGCAGTATATGCACCCAAATCTTCCCCCAACGGACGATCCCGCAGAAAGCAGAATATCCAGATACTCTTTATGCCGTACTTTTCCAGCCCATATTTTTGCGCGCCGAGATGGCCATTGAGGACAATTGGCACCAAACTACCACGCTCCGTATGTGCCTACGTGTCAAAGAAAGACTCACAACATCCAACATTCATCTCGGCACAGCGAGAGAAATATTACATGCTTAACTCGTAGAAGTCGTCTTCAGTGACCAAGACTTGGCAGCCGGCGAAGAAGGTCTCCAGGAAAGTCGGGCGAGCATCATCACCGTTCACTTCTTTGCGGTGATTGTATGTCACTTGATCTTGACAAAGTTAGTAACTTTAGGTACGGAGCGTGACACTGTGCCCATTAAATCGAATCAGTACACGGTCTTGTTCTTGTAATGGTCGAGGGACTAATCATGAGTCTAGCAATTCTTCATATGTCGCGTATCAAAGCTTGATATTGTTGCGATGCGTCAATTTCCATTGAAGGGCCGGCGTTAAGGCTCCTTCTATATGTATATGGAGTTCCACTTTCGAGAGGCTCTACTGATGAAAGGGGATATTTGGAGGCCGTTCATCTCTGGGGTCTGTGAAGATTCGTGGTCAAACGTGGCACTTGGTCATGCCTTTTTCAATATATGGTTTACAAAGTCCCAAACTCGGCCATGACTGTACAGTGATACGCGGGGTTTTCGAGACATACTGGACATACCTAGCAAGGATGCGAGATAAGGAAAGATCTTCAGACAACATTTCGCTTACGTCCGCCGTCCATCCCAGCTTTCGCCTAGCATTCCCCCACTTATCTTCTCCCCACTTTCCCTTTCGTGTGTTCGGACGTGGGCAACCCCGCCGATATCGTTGGTTGGCGACAACAAGCCGGCTTGGCTGTGATAAGAATGTTACCTTCACTGCTTGGTAAAGCCACATAAGGTGGCAGGGGACAGTATATCTATGTCGTCGTCGCTACCTGCAGCCTTGACATAGATTTACGAGCCCAAGTCTGGCGCTATGGACACCGTTAAGCAGACAGAGGTTACGGCCACACAGGAATCACCAGATGCGACCCGGCAGCTACATGGCCACACCGATGCAGAACAGGAAGCGCTGGCACAGCGTGTCTTGCGCAAGATCGACTGGCGCCTCATACCTCTTATGTTCATCACGTACAATCTGAATTTCATGGACAAGACCATTCTGTCGTCTGCTGCTGTTTTTGGTTTGAGAGAAGACAATGTGGGTACCTCGTCTACAATAGATAACATCGAACTAAACTAATCGCTTCGTAAAGGGCTTAGTGCGTCAAGAGTACTCGTGGGTGTCAAGCGTGTTCTACTTTGGTTATTTTTTCTGGGAATACCCAACTACCTATCTCATCCCCCGAGTTCCCGTGGCCAAGTACCTCGCTGCCAACACACTCTTCTGGGGTGCCATCGTGGGACTCACAGCTGCGTGTACCAACTACGGAGGCCTCATAATCGTGAGGTTCCTCCTAGGTGTGGCTGAAGCTACCATCACTCCGTCTTTCATGTTTATTACCAGCACATGGTAGGTCTGCTCGCACATGTTTGACCTATCTGTACTCATATCGACAACTCTCAGGTATACACGCGACGAAATACCAACCCGGACCGGATATTGGTTTGCCGGCAACTCGATTGGTGGTCTTATCGCGTCATTCCTCGCCTTTGGTATCGGCCATATCACAGACTCGCTTGCACCCTGGCAATGGATGTACATCGTCCTCGGAGTCTTGACATTCCTGTGGGCCATCCCGTTGCTTATCTTTCTCCCGGACAGCATAGAAAAAGCCAGCTTTCTGACCGAAGAAGAGCGCAAATTTGCCGCTGATCGAGTCGTGATTTCTGGAACAGGCCGCACCGCCCACGCCGGATACAAATTCGCCCAAGTCATCGAGTGCTTGATTGACCCAAAGACCTGGCTCATTTTCAGCATGAGCCTCCTGACTCAGATTCCGAACGGTGGAACCCAAAATTTCGGTAACATCGTCCTCAAGAGCTTTGGCTTTACCAGCCTGCAGTCGACGCTCCTTGTCATCCCCGCATCTGTCATCTCTGCAGGCACCATTGCGGGCACGGGGTGGATTGCAGGTCGCTTCCGCCAGTTGAACTGCATTCTCATCATATGCGTCGTGATACCTGCCATCGTAGGCAGCTCGCTAATTTACGTCCGCCCTCGTACATCTTCGGGCGTCCAGCTGTTCGGATACTTTCTGCTATCGACTGGCACTGGTGGAATCCCATTGCTAATGTCTCTTGTGGGTGCCAACTACAAAGGTGTAACGAAGAAGATGACCATGACGGCACTTCTCTTCATCGCCTATTGTGCTGGAAACATAGCCGGACCTCAATTTTTCCGCACTAAGGACGCGCCTCACTACAACCTGGCGTTCCGAGCAATTTTGGTGTGCTACAGTCTCGTCGTCGGATTGGCCATTGTTCTGAGATGCTACCTGCAGTGGATGAACGCAAAGAGGGAGAGCGAAGAGGGGGTCAAGGGAAGTGCGGGTGCTGGAGGAGTCGTTGCTGGTGGTAAGATGGCGGATGAGGACGATAAGGGGACCGTAACGACTGCGCAGATTGAATTACGTGCCGAGGACTACGACGATGTCACTGACTGGAAGACATTCGGCTTTAGATATCGTTTATAGGAAGGTATGAGTGTTTTGGTGTAGTATCCGCAGCTTTAGGTATGTATTCGACGACCCACTCTCCATGATTCGTCTACAGGAATGAGTCGAATCATTGAGCGTATCGTCCAGTACTTCTGTGCTGGATTTAGCAACACTTCGGCAACCGGCGAAGCCTGTGCCGACAACGTTGCTTCTCTTCCTTCATTTAGGCATACATCCAGTAGGACCTTCCAACGGCGGCGAACTCGCCTTTCTTACGATATGCGAATACATGAAAATGGCAAGCCTGGAGCAAAGCTGCTTTCAGACACATCGACTTCCGGAACATGGAAGAACGATTTTTCTGGACCCCAAAAATGAGGGTGTATGAGTAACGGATGCGGAAAGATGATCAAAGGCCCATACGTCATCAAATCGGATCATGAATCCCGTAGAGGCTGTCGTATGACACAGTAGTCCTAACAATTTTGGATACCCAAACAGTCCTAAAAAGCCACCAAGATCCATGCAGGGAAATGCTTCTTTCGCCAGTTTGATCACGTGCTGTCAGACAACGTTCGTAGGAATAGCTTTAGTGTTAACTTGTTAGTATTCTATTAAGTGGTAATGCCTAGGATAGATCTATGGTACGCAATGTAGCTACTTTATAGCACTAAGCAATTACTTACTGCAGTTACCCTCTGCATCTCCCACCTCGCTTATATCCTTAACTTCCACACCCTTGCCCACATACTCCCATCTTCGCTGATCATGAGTATTTAAGCTGTGCAGTTTTTATGGACCAAATTCGGTGAAGACAATCGTGGCGCTGAAACATTATCAAGAGGTGAATTGTGGTGTTAAGGGTACCGAGACACAAAACCTGAGCCTCTGTTGTTGCCAAAATCATTTCATTATCTAGGAGACCAGTTATTGTTTTCATGAATCAGCGTGTGCATTATATCCGAGATGTCGGTCGCCTTAAGACCGATCCGGTTAGCTCCTCACGTCGTTCGTTTGTTGGATGCCGATACGGGCTGCAGGTCATGCCGAAAAATGTCAGCCTTGAAAACCTAGCTTCCTCCAACTACATAATTAGATCACGGATCGACAAAATGTCCAAAGTCGTGGAACCGGGAGGCCTTGGACTGGGAGTAATCTATATATAATCCCGTGCTTTAATATCTGCTCTTTCCTTCCTTTACGGATCGATACACCCAGACTTCCTACTCTCAGAGATCAACATGTCGTTTCTAAAAAAGTTCAAGAAAGAGTTTGAAGGGCTCTATTCAGGCGATGGTGTGCAGACACAGCAACAAGGAGGTGAGCATAGCTATATACACTATTGAGCTTGCACTTATTCAACTATTCCTGAAGGCTATGCAACGCCTCCACCACAGAGTCACAATTATGGCGACCAATTTTACTCGAGCAACTCCTCCACATATCAGTATCAGGGTCAACAGGCCCACCCCGATACTCGTCTGCCATCACAACCAGGAGCCTCTGAAGCTTATAACCCCGGTTTTCAGCCGCAACATCCTGGGTACCAATCATGGAACGGACAGCAGCCTTACCCTGAACAACAATCTTATGCACCTCATGCGTTGACAAGCTACAACTACTCTTCACAGGCATTGGAAAAATCACAACCTGCAGCTCTCGCGCCTTCGTATTCCGGCAGTATCAGTACTGTGAGCACGGGGTATGAAAGTCAGAGCCGAGGCTACGTAGGTCCTCCCGGCTACGAAAAGGCGCGATAACGAACCCCAGCTAATCTGTAGAAGGAGAGCAAAAAACCATCTTCCCATACTCTCCTTGCGGCAGCTGGCGGATTCGCCGCAGGTGGCGTGGCGGGTTATTTCGTCAAGGACACAATTGGTAAGCCTGAAAGCCTCCAGCCGCTGCTTAGTGATCTAACGTCTCTCCCATAGATGACCGCAAAGCCAAGAAGCGCCACGGTCGTAATGCCGACGACTTTTCCGATTTCTCTGAGTATCCCGACATGGAAGTCGACCTTGAATGCAACATCTGCGATCAACCGATCAGTGGTCCCTATGCGCATTGCAAGAAGTGCGACAAAGGTGACTACGACATCTGCCGCGATTGTCTTGTTCAGGGTCAGACTTGCGATGGTGACGGGAAGCATAACATGGTTAAAGTGTATCCCAAGTATTGGTGCGACATCTGCGATCAGTTGATCCGTGGGTACTTTTACCATTGCGCAAGATGCAACAACGCAGATTGGGATACATGTCAAAGTTGTTTGGACAAGGGGTGGACCTGTTTTGGACCGGAAAAGGGCGAAAAACACGACCTAACCAAACTATATATCCCTGTTGTGAAGCTTGGAAAGAAGGTCGGAGGATACAATGGGTCAGATTCCAGCAGCGACTCGGATTAAACTTCATGATACAACACAGAGGTAGTTGCGGATTATGGAAACCTCATACTCAATCAATACAGCACTCAGTTATAGAGCATCAGTGGTAGTCCGCAAGCAAACCGTCTAGTGCTGGCAAAGGACGGACGGGCATACGAATGACTGAATACGCTATTTCGGAGCAAAGAGCGTGCGGTGGACGATGCGAGCTCTCTGTCGTCATACGACTCGCTACAACCAGGGCAAAACAAACACGCCCGCTCCATGAAGGAGTCCCCTTTCCAGACAAGTGAGCTGCCCAAATTGTGATCATACCTTAAGGACATTATCATCCAAGGTTTTTTCGAACCTCGAAGCAGCCAACAGATGTTGTCAAAGAGCAGGCCGCCAAACAAGCTCGCGTCTAAAAGCATGACAATGAATTGTTCGCTAGACATTGCTTCCATTTCTCTTCCCCATGGCTTAAAGTAGTCAATCCAATGCGTGTAAGCCTAATGGCCATGTCGATCTGGTGAGGCCAGGCTGTTCGACGTTGGCCTTAGTGTTGGGGGCAAGAAGGATTATGTCGTTGATCAACAACCTCGCATTTCTCATATGCAGGAATAAACGATTTGAAATTGCGCACGCTGTTGTACTCTGTAATTATGGCCGACCTGTCGCAAAAAGAACAGATCTGCGTCGTGGTTCGGCTGTGGCTCGTAGAAATCACACTGCAGGAATGACATATGCGCGTGTATGATAGGAAATGTGGCCACTTCGTTCCTTGCTCGAGCATGGCTGTGTTGTCATCTTAAACGAGATGAGGCCAAAAAATTAAGTCTTACGGCATTGCTGTGCCGAGACGCGGTCAGCGGGAGCACGCCGTCGGCAAAGGAACACCCCAGCCAGCTGGAGCCGAAGCGAATACTTCGGCATTTCAGTCTCAATTTACTTGCCTTGTAGAACGCATCTTTGCTTCCTTTCTTCGAAAAACTTGAGTAACGTGTGGCACTATCGATTACCAGCTCTCAGTGCTAGCAATCGGAATCCACGATTCTATCTAGGTGTCACCACTCAAAGCCCTAACATATCATACTAACATCTTTCCATACGAACGTTACTTAACAGCACGCAATCACAGCGCTGAAAGAGAGTATCAAATGCTAAATCATACGACTGTGTCTGTAGATATGATAATGATGCTGCATAACGATGGAAAGCAGAGACCGTGGGGATGATGAGCCTAGTTTCAAGAAGAGCAACGGCCAGGAAGGCGTTGTGATAGTATCCGACCACTGAGAGGATCCAGTTGCGATCTCGAGAGGTCTCCGATCGAGGCACTGTGACTGATATGCGTGTTCTAGTATAGAGAGGCTGAATTCTCAATGAAACGTCTGCCTTCTTCTGATTGCAATATTCGTGACCGATCTGCTGGACATGCAACATGACCGAAAGTCCGAATAATGTACTTATAACTACTGTCCCCTCTTCCTTCCGAGAGAGCAAGTTGCACATCGGTTGATTTTATGGACGCTCGCAGTTTCTTTTGCTGCCGTTACTTCTGAGTACGAGATCGACATTTCACGAGAGAAATGCTGATAATGCGACAGAAATGTGACCCAGTGGATGAGCGATTCTAGGTATAAACTTAGCCCCTAACGGCTGGTACGACGGTTGTTGTGCTACCGATGTGGGGCCTGGGAACCCAGCGACGTCGTGGTGGCTATGCGGTCGGAATCCCGCTCCCGATGGAGTGAGCTTCGGCGATCGGCATTCCGACTTTGTACCAGGACTGGCCTACGGCCTTGCCTTTGACATATTCCACTCTTTTCCAAATCTGAACCCTAGAATTGTTCGAAGTTCTGGAAAAAAGTACGGTTTTTGATATGCAGGCTAATGAAAGCTTGCATTCTACCATACATACTATGCACTCATGTCGCATTATTGAATTCGCACATCAACGTGTTTTGAACGCCAACTGATTCACGGAGGGTTGTAAAAGCACATTCGGCGTGCGGGTTTCCGGCCCTTCCTCACCTTGCATGCCGGAACCGGAAAATCTATCATGTACGAGGCTGGAGAGATTTCCGTCGCACAAGCGCAGCGGGCGTCGAATTGCCCCAATTTGTCCCTGTTCAACACTACGCAACCAATACCAGTCAACATGTCTTTCCTCTATTACTTGAGCCATGCATCGTGTTATTAAACTCGCGCGAAAGCTCTGGTCATCATTCAAGCCGCACTGAGAACCAAGCAGCCACAGCCTCAACGCCGTTACGTCGACATTTGGGCCGAGTGAGGCACGGACTAAGATAGGAACAGTTATGGCCTAGTCTTTCCTGTGCTCCAGCATCCACTATAAACCTTCTATCGGATCCATCATTTACATTCACATCCTCGAATTCTTCCTAAATCCCCACTCGGCGTTCTCTATAGCCACTGCCTTACGCTACCATTCGTTTACGTTCACCACAACCCTCTCTTCACAGAATGACAATACACAGATGCGAGCATGTCTCCGCCGAATGTCCCATCGAACACACTATCTATGGCTACGCTCCAAACCTCGGTGCAAACACCTTCTACGCGGTCATCTTTGCCATTTGCGTCCTGGTTCAGGGATATTTCGTCGTCAGATACTGGCGGCTATGGAAAGGATACTCGATTCTCGTCTTTCTCGGCGCTCTGGGCGAATGTTTGGGATACATTGCTCGGATTCTCTTGCACAACAACCCCTGGGACGCCGCATCCACGACTATCCAACTGCTGCTGATTATGATTGCGCCGTCCTTTCTAGCAGCAGCACTGTACATGACTCTTCGCACACTGGTACAATACTTTGGTCCAGAGCATACTAAGCTTCCCGCACGTTTCTGGACTTGGCCCTTCGTAACGGCCGATTTGATAGGCTTCGTCTCCCAGTGTGGCGGCGGTATTGTTTCGGCAATGGGCTCTAGAAATCCTAGCTTGGGCATTGCAGGGAACGCAATCATGGTTGCCGGTGTCTCATTTCAAGCTGCTGTCATGTTCCTCGCAGGCATCCTATCGATGGACTTCGCTATACGTCTTTACCGCCGACAAGGTGCCAATGCGTACAAGGTCCTACCGAAGGACCTCAAGTTCTTCCTCTGGTCCATGACGGTAGCCTTTATATTGATCCTGGCGCGATGCTTCTACCGGTGAGCAACCGTTATTGCAATCAGTCCTTGCATTCATGAGTTCCTTGCTGATCTTCTACACAGTATCCCAGAAATGGCTGGCGGCGTCGGCGGACCAATGATGCGACAAGAAGCTGAGTTCATGATTTTCGATGGTTGGTAAGTGCTCTCACCTCCTTCGCCTGCTATTTGTGCTTACTCTTTCGGTAGCTTGATCCTCATCTCCGTCGTACTACTGTGTATAGGCCATCCGGGTAGGTATGCTGGCGCTACGCAAGAAGGAAGGTTTCGAACGTACAAGCCTATGATTAGCTCTAGCGAGCATCTCGACCCCCCGCACGAATTGCAAAATGTGTGAGGGACAGAATTGCGCTCGACAGGGGTTGACATGAGATACTATCAAATCAGACGTTCCAGAAAGTCTCCAGATGGCACGGCGAGTTGTCATGTATATTGAAGTAGATTCCGTCAGAAGTTTTTATTTACTCGTCGAAAGCCACCATTATGAAAGCTCTTTTCAGTTCAGTACCATTTTATTTCAACGCGTGGTTTACCGTCTGACTGTACCCAAGGCATATTGATAATTCGTGGTTGAGCGACCCTGAGTGAGAGTTGGCGGACTCTACGGAGAAGCAGAAACTGAAATGTGGCCAATATTAGGAAATGAAGCAAGGAAGCGACAAATGATGAGCGCTGAGGGCGGGCACTAGGACTATTTCGAAAGCAACAACTGCGTCTGACGCTTGGCATAGCGAGCGCGGAGTGGGTGAGTGACGAGCTTTGCGTATCGTACTGCTGATGGCTCGCGGCGATGCAAGTTTAATTTTACTCTGGCCAAAAAGGTGTTTTCACGGAAAGGTTGAAGAATGCTGTGTTTGCCCATGGCGAGGCCACAATTCAAAACGCAGAAGTTTGACTCAATTACATATTGCTGGAGATACTTGCACATGAAGGAGAGTCAGCTAGCAAAGCTAGAATAATTATGTCTGATTAAGGTGTTTCACAAGCTCAGTCATCAGTGACGCTTCCATAGCCATGAGCCTCGATTCTTTCCATTCAGATGCGATCGAGACAAAGTGCCGAAAGCCACGCAGGGGTCGTAAACTTTTGTAACACGTTCATCTACGCTGTTGAAAAGCCTGGATGGATCCGAAGTCTGGTCCTTTTACCACTCAGAGAACCAGAAGTATAAGCTTCACGGGCTCTCGGCTAACTGAAGCCGAAGCTTGAATGCACGCTCCAAGCGCGGCTTGACGGACCATCAGCACTATTCCCTAAGCGACAACTACCGTAATAAGGAAGTGCCCTACTATTCCAGACGCGTCATCCTCGAACTCATTATGTGGGATCCAACAATCTCAAAGCAGCGACATTGATGGGCACACTGAGGTAATAAAGGTTGTCAATAAATGCGCGAACGATACCTGTTTGAGGTGCTTACATGCTTTCGAACAGGACATTGGCGAAGAAACACTGGCTCGTGCTCGGTTGGCCAACCCAGCTAGTTAACGATGATCCGATTGGTCAACAAAAGTAAGTTGCGATTCGTCGCTGGAGCTCTCACCATTATGGAGAGTGCTCATGAACCCTTAAAATCAGCGAGACTCGCACATTTGGGCGACTTGCAACTGCGCTCCTCATCTGAAATATAAAGACTATCCCCTCAGGTCTGCACTCTTCGCCATTAGCCTTCACGTTACAATGGCTATTCTCAGACAGTCGCACCTCTTCTTATGCCTTGCGACCCTAGCAGTCAGTTATGTATCTTGATTCATGCTCGCAATCACTAATCCCGCAACAGATAGCTCAAAACTCGTCCGTCTACGACCCTCAAGGCGCAGCGATATTCCAGCTGTCATCGGACGCCGATCAAGCATTCTCCCTTGAGGTTATTTTATCACTCTCCAACAACCATGGTGCAAATACAGGGGAAGTGCTTCGCATAGCAACCCAGATCAGCCCTAGCAACAGTGAAGAAGCCACGTACCAAGCCTACTATCCCATGGCGCAGGCGGTCGACTCCCTAGCTCAAAGTATCGATCCTCGAATCGACCCAGTCGGGGCGCGAGAGAACTACTTCCACGCGTCAACGTACTACCGTGCGGCCTCAAATTACCTCGTCAAGGATCCTAGCGATCCCCGTCTCATAAGCCTTTGGGACCAGCAAATCTCCGCTTTCGATAAGGCAATCGCTCTTCTCAAGCCTGTTCCAGGGGAGAAGTTCACGGTCCATGCAGCCAACTCCAGCATTGGTCCGTACGACATCCCGGCGTACTTCTTCAAAGCGCACGCCGACCACCACAAGAAATTCCCAACAGTGATGGTGACGACCGGCTATGACGGCTCCATGCAGGAATCATACCACAGTCAGTGTGTCCAGATTCTTTCGCGTGGACTAAACTGCGTTGTGTACGAAGGCCCCGGTCAACCAAGTCTTCTTCGGTACCAGAACAAGACTTTTATACCTGACTGGTGGACTGCGACCACACCTGTCGTCGACTACATTCACAATCGCACAGACGTAGACGCGAGCAAGATCGTGCTCATGGGCATCTCCTATGGCGGAACGCTTGCTCCGCGCGCGGCGTCACAAGAGCCGCGCATTGCTGCAGTCATACAGCTTGACGGCTTATCGTCAATGCAGCACGATCTGAGAGAGCAGTTCCCCGCTGAACTGACTGAGTTATTCGACAATGGAAACCAGGTCGAATTTGACGAGATCCTGACTGCTCTTGCCAACAACGAATCTCAGCCTATCTATAACCGCTACTTTGTACAACAGGGTTTATACGCGTTCGGGACGAAATCGCCATACGAATGGTTTACGCGTCTTGGTCCTATCGCAGTCACGAACGAAACCGTACAAGGTGTTGGAATGCGACCGGTGTATATCGCTAAGGGCGAGGTGAGTACCAACCACTTTTCATCATTTCGGTTGTTTTCAACTCACGATCTGACACCATGATTCGCAGGACGACGGCCTTACACTCAATGAGTCGGATATTGCATACAAGCAGTTCGTGTCTGACCGTCCGAATGGCGCGAATCTGACGTACTTTCACTTGTTCCCTATTGCACTTGGTGCGGGAGAGCATTGTTCTCTAGGAGCAGAGACTCAGGTATTCACGGATATCTTCAAGTGGCTGAGCCGCATTTGGGAAGGGTATGCGTTCGAGAATTGTGCTTGAGCAGTTTACGGTGAGATCGTAGAGTCTATACGCACGGCGGTCACGACGAGCCATATGAGCTGGGTTTGATCGATGTAATTTACAATTTTGTTTCTTTAAGGACAATTCTGAGTCCTTTTATTCCCTACCAATGCAGCTCTCTTTCTGGGATGGATGGTGATTCAAGCGAAGATATGCGGCGTGCAATATTTCTTGAACATGAAAATCAGTGTTGCGATACTGGTATTGAGCTCTACACATGGTAAAAACATGATAACGTATGTCAAAGCCTTCCTGAAAGACAGAAAGTATGAGGAGAGAGGCGATAACAGACTTTACCCGGGACACCATTGGAGACACGGCTTGAGATGACATGTGCAGTCTTGGCCTTGACCGTTCACCACCGGGCTCAATACCGTTTTGGTTCGAGCTACCATATGTGGTCACGGCCGCCTGGTTACTTAGGTATGCTGGGGCGAGAACTGTCACGATGGCTAGCCCTTTTTGAACTAGTTGTTGAGTTGCTGCCTAATTGCACGTGACTAGATTCGCTAGTTTCCTTGCGTGGTCGGCCTTCTAATCTTGCTACCTACACGATTCGATCAATCGAAGATTTCATACTCTCACAACCGGGTCCAACAGCGCCGTTAAATTGTCTCGGCGCGTGGAGGACTTTTCTTTCGGCGCTTGTGAGTTCCTCTCAATCGTTAATTCACCCCGCACTAACCTCAGCCGCAGTGCGCATATTCCTAAACCTCGATATCAGTGACATTGTTCCTCATAGATACATGAGATCATCACTATAATCATGACACTACTCGACTTGCCAAACGAACTTCTTGCTTCTATAGCCGAACATTTATCCTCGGAGAAAGACATCAGTTCTTTCGCGCAGAGCAACAGACGTGTCTATTCCGTGACAATTAACCACCTCTACCGAACCAATGCACTTCATTCTGCATGTTCGGCGCTGATTTGGGCCGCTGCACGTGGACGGAAGGAAGTTACCGAGAGGTTCTTTACGGGCAAGAGAGACCCGAGTCCGCCTAGAAGCGCCATACAACTCGCATTACTATCAGCGGCGGAGTATGGGAAGCAGACATCGTGGAACTTCTATTGGCGAACGGAGCGGATACAGATAGCCCTGGCGCTGATGGCCGCCATGCTCTGACCACAGCCGCTGCCAAAGGTCATCTCAAAGTGGTGAATGTACTCATCGAACACGGATCAGATGCGGGACTGGATGATAAGACGAACGGATGGACTGCCCTGCATCATGCCGCATTTGGTGGTCATCTCGAAGTCATGCAAATCTTACTAAAATTGGATAACGAACTCATCACGCGCATGGACAATGACGGATGCACCATCCTCCATATGGCCGCGCGCGGTGGTCGTGATGCGACGATCAAGTTTCTGGTAGAAGATTTGAACAGAGCGAGCGATCTGGCAGTCACGAACGAAGACCAGTGCACACCGCTCACCTTTGCCGCACGAACTGGTCAAGCTCATACGGTTAAACTACTACTGGACTACGAGGCTGAACTGGGTATCATGGTTGACTACAAGTATAAGACATTGGACTCGGCAATGCATTATGGTTCTGTCGGCGACGTGAAGATTTTGCTGGAGCATGGAAGAGGGCTCCCCGAGACGATAAGAGACAATTGGGCGCCGCTGCTCTACGCTGTAGTACATGAGCACCGCGAGATCGCAGATATATTGGCAAAGGCTGGCGCAGACATCGAAGCTCCAGACGAAGAAGGTTGGACGGCGTTGCTTGCTGCAGCAAGCAAAGGCCAGACCAATACAGTCAAACGGTTGATCGAGAGCGGAGCGAATATCAACTCAAAGAATAACGAGGGCAGGACCCCTCTCTTTTGTGCAATAAGCAATGCCTTCTTTGAGACTGCACAAGTGCTGGTCGAACATGGAGCGGATGTTGTCTCCGCAGACACCTACAAACAATCGCCCCTTTTCTCAGCTGCATGTTACGGTCATACTGGAACTGTTCGATTGCTTCTCAATAGGGGAGCGGATACCACGGTTTGCAATGCGAGGGGTTTAAGGCCTCTACATATTGCAGCGCAAAAGGGACATCTTGAGGTCGTGACGCTGTTGTTAAACAGCGGAGCTCATGCGAAAGGTCGGCCATGCAAGGAAGAGACGCCCTTACGTTCTAGAGTGACAGATATGATCCTTTCAGACGGAGAAGATCACGACGGAAAGGGCATAGATGTTGATGCTACCGACAACCACGGATTTACTCCGCTTCTGTGGGCGGTGCACGGCGGTAACCTTGACGTCGTTAATGTACTGTTGGAACACGGTGCAAGCATTGTTGCAGCGTGCAATGCTGGGACTACTCCGATTAGCAAAGCGATATTGATGCGTCGTTTAGATATCGTCCGAGCACTTTCGACGCAAGAGCAAGGCATAAAGATGGCCCACAAGAGAAGTTGGAAACCACTACAGGCAGCAGCTCGAGAAGGCCACTTCGGAATAACGGAGCTGATGTTGCAAAAGGGAGCGGATGTATCAGCTGTCGATAGCGAAGGGTGGACACCGTTATACAGTGCGGCGATAAATGGCCATTACGAAGTCACAAAGCTCCTACTGGAGTGGGGGGCCGAGGTACACAAACGCTCAGATGTTTCGGAGCGCCTTTTCGAGCGGGGCATGGAGCTAGACGTTGATGTTAGTGCTGCACTACCTCTACTCACTGCAGCATTAAGCAACGGACATGTGGAAGTAGTGCGCATACTGTTGGAACATGGTGTCGACCCTAATGGAGAAACTCAAGGCTGCAAAGGGGAGCCACCACTCTACATTGCAGCAAACAAAGGGAACCTCGAGATCGCGGAGCTACTTGTCAAGCATGGAGCGACTCTTGATCTTACGTCGAGCGATGGATGGACGCCACTACACGTCGCTGCAAGTCTGGGACATCTGGCAGTTGTGAAATTGCTGCTTGAAGCGGGGGCCAGGCCACAAGCGGACTTGAACGGTATCACACCGCTCTCGCTGGCAAGAGACGATGGAGATGATGATATTGTGACCTTACTCGAGGCGCATATCCATGGTAGGCGTGGCTCCGACGAACATAACTCATAGCGAGAATGTAATTTTCTCCAAGTAAGGTCAAGGTTCAAGCTCTACAATTTCGAACAACTAGTTGTTAGGGTCATTTCTATGTCATACGGCTGCCCTAGCCCTTCTAACATGCTCCCATAACGGTGAAGACTGGTTTTATCTTGTGATAAGCCTCCCGTGCCTTTTTATGACCATTCCCTCCACTGAGTCGTTCAATTTACATTGACTTGCGAGAGCTCCATCCGAGTCTGATCCTTTTCCCGGCCCATTACCACACTTGGACATATGTGGTGAAGCGCTGCCAAGCCGATAACCTATAGTAATGCTCCAGCTCCGCGATCTCCGCTTCAGAGAGTCGCCTCCTACCAGTCACAAGGTCTGAGCTTGACGGATTACGCCATTGAGTCCGCATTCCGATCTTGTAGATGACAGTAAGTCCAAAGATGAGGATAAACCCCAGCATGAATGAAAAGAAGTTCTCTACATCGAATCCGTCACCGCCCTGCCGGATGATCATTAGTACATTCCATAAGGCCCGCTCAGAGATGCTGACTTACTATAGGTCTGATGCCTGCGTACAGACAACAAATCAGCAGCATTGTTGAACCGATGAGCAACCATACTGGCGCGATAGGCCATTTGCTCGACTTCCAGGCGAAAGGGTCCGCGAAAACCTTGTCATCTTGCGCAGTGATGGCAGCTCGAAATCGGAACGAAGTGAAACCAATGATCAGCCAATTACAAAAGAATGACGAGCTGGTGATGTTGATGAACCAGTTCAAGACTTCAGTTCCGCTACCTATAGCCAGTTTAGCAAGTTACAGTCGACGCGTCTAATTGGCACTTACCACTGAGAGCAATGTATGTGAGAATGGTGCCAACTAATACAGTTATCAGCAGTGCCCAACGCGGTCGCCCCTTGGAATCAACTCGCGCTACCCACTCCGGAACAAGCTTTTGGTGAGCCATTGTTCTGAGCACCCTGGAAGAGAGATAGACAGCTTCGGCTGAGATAGCTAGCACACCTAAGATCATGCCAGCGTTAAGTATATCTGGAATGCCACGGATGCCCACATCGAGGATGCCAATGACGAAGGGTGAAGCTGCTGCTCCGGACGCGCCTGAACCGCCGAGCAGCCTGTCATTATCCGACCTGACCAGAAATGTTGCAATGAGGACGCTCATCATATACATGCCGATGACGCGGTAAGGCACCAGCTTCGTTGCATGACCCATGCTCATGCGAGGCGTCTGAGCTTCACCAGCCAGTATTCCGATGAAGACTTGATCTCCCACAGCCCAGCAGGCTAGAAGGGCGCATCTTGCGAAGCCCTTATCAGAAGAGCGTCAGTAGTGAAATGAGCATCGAGGATTGTTGAGCATACCCCGAATCCGTTCTTGAAGGCCGACAACTCCGTATAATTGACTCCATCGTGAACGTAGCCATTCGGCCCGGCGCCGCATATGACCGCGATTCCAACGATGATAATCAATATGAATAAGAATATCTTAATGACAGATGTAACGTATTCGAAGTACCCGAAGTATTTGTTCGGTAGTAGAAAGATGGCAAAAGTTGCGAGTAAGAACAAGGTCACTGTTCAGTCTGGTCAGCATCACCTCTTCTGGGTTTTGACTATCAGCAGAGTTCTGGGACTTACAGAGCACGGCTAAGGGTACGGCGCCTTCGGCCCAGAAATCGACCAGAACTGCGAAAAAGACCGCTTCTGCTGCGACAATGGCCGTCCAACCTAGCCACTCAGCAAAGCCTGCACCAAACGCCAGGGCCGGATCAACCCATCTATCGGCATAATCTATAAAATTACCCGAGGTTGGAAAAGCGATCGTCATCTCGGAAAGGGTTTGTAAGACCGCCCACACTAAGGTACAGACCATGAGATATGCGAGGAGCATATTGCCGGGGCCACCGTCTGCGAGGGCCTTGCCGATGCCGATAAAGATACCGCTGCCAATATTGGACCCTAGGGAAATAATCTACTATAGTGTTACTCAGTATCTCATTGGTGTCCGACATGGATTTACGAACATGGATTTGACGTTTACTGAATGTCCTCTTGAATTCGCCGTTCCTGGCATCATCGACATTTTGCGTTTCGCCGGGTGTGTAGCTGACAGTTTTTTCGAGTTCGGGCTCTTTCATGGCATCAAATAGTTGCTTCTCTTCTTGGATCGGTTCCTTATGTGAACTATCGGTATTTGATGTTGACATTATATCGACTGTAATGGGATTTCTCAATATCGGTATGTATCAGTAGGAGTACAATTGTCGGAGATAGCTTTGCCTTTATGATATATGTCAGGACCGCGACATTTATCTCTAACCCAAAGCGATGCGACCAATTCCCGATGAGTCTGGGGGAACTGCGGAGATCTTGGCTTGCCTAGGCGCGGGCTGGGTTACCTAGTCCTCTTTCAGCTGTCTTCCCGTGAGGGTCGTACTGTCGAGGTTTAGAGCCGCCCCGACCCAAGACTGGTACGTGGCGTGGCGGTGTCTCTCCGCACTGTTTATCTTTCCATCATCTATGCCTAAGCATGGGTATCAACGTGAACAGTGTTGTCAGAACGCTCAATCGAAAACATTAGGCCGTCTCGTGTCTTGTCTGATGAATTTCGCCAATTGCTTGGACTCAGGTAGGGTGATAAGGCCCATTGTGGACATGTGTAGATAAGACAAAGATAACGGATATGCGATCTTTTGATCTCGGTGCTATCACAAGAGCCAAGACCACGCCGAGATGGCTTCCCGGAATGACATTCCCAAACTTGCTGTACAATAACTCGCATGAGCTTAGGTACCTATTGTTGATATAGCGTTGCAGAACCGTAATACTGTCCGCTAATTAGTAGTAATGATCACGTGTGTAGATAAGAGGTGAATGCAGAGGGGACCGCGAACTGCGGTGGGGCAGCGGCGGCTCCTGACCAATGTACACTCGAATCCCTGCTTTCCCACAGGTTCTTGGGGAATCCACAAAGAGCGCAAACTCTAGATGACATATGGGGAAATTTATCGCTGGGAAACGTTGTTCGCTCATGGTTGCACTGCATTGAAGACGGTTCGTTGGGAGTACTTCGAGATGTAACATGTAGATGGAAACTCATTTAGAAGGGTTGAAACTGCATGGACGATCGCGAATCGCTCTGAAGATCCAGAGGGACTGACGCCTCCTTTGAGCGATTTTGAATTTTTAGATCTCGGCAATGGACCGGCACGTAAATCATCGAAGAGGAGGGATTCCGTCATTACAGACTGCGAAAGGATAGAACAGGTGAATCAGAATTCTAAAATGGCGTACATGGCGCCCAGCTCTCTTCGTCAAGCACTGTGTCTTCTATCACCCCGACCCTTTGCTTCGTCTTTCCGGACGTCGAATACGCCAGGCTTCCGACGCTTACTTCGAAATGCACGCGGGCCGGCATACTTAACACCTTCATACATCTTCTTATTACCCTCGGTCACCTTGTTCAGGAATTTCTTCATGGCGGACTCTTTCCGCGGTTTGCTCCAGATATTGGTGTATGCACAGAGTGAGAGAGACAAAGGGCGGTCACCAAAGTCCAGCGAGCGAGAAAGGTCCTCTATGGCAGACAGTTCGTCCGGGTCGAGCGTGACTCTCGAAGGGCGATATCGGATCGTGGTCTGTGGGTTTCGAGACGTATTCCACATGCGTCCCGGCGAACCTGGGTATATGGTGGGCGATTGAACCAGGGCGCTGGCACTTTCTGGTCTCGATATATCATGCAGCCTTGCCCCAGGTCTCGTTGATCCATTCGTAGACTCGTTATCTATCGAGAAGCTCTCTATTGGGAGAGGAGGGAGAGGCTTCGATGTAATGTCGCGAGGCGAGGAAGCGTCAGTCTGTAGTGATGTTCCGGAAGTCGATCTTGTCGACGCGTCACTGCCAGTTGTTTCGGATATATCAGAGTCATCTGAAGCCAGTCCCAGCATCGAAATTACATCTGCTTCGAGCTTATCGATGACGCCCGGATCAGGCGTTGGTCTCTCGATAAAGTCCTCTTCGGGAATCGTAGCGAGGCTAGATTCGGCGATCTCGCGCAATTGATCAGTGTACAGATGGTTTATGGATTCTATCTCTTCGATGTCATCTTCGTACACAGTTCTCAGTAAGCGTGCTTCGACTGGTAGACTATCGCTGTCGATCGTTGAGATAGGTATAGTAAGTATGAGCTACGCAGGGCAAAGGCGATTAGTAAATGCACTGATCTGAATCGCGGATCACTAACCTCTTCCTTGACGATTCTTTCCTTCCTCTCAAGTCTGGTGCATATTACGCTACTTGATGTGTGCACCGTGGGGTCTTGGTCAACTTCACTGCATGAAGAGAAAGTGCTGTTCCTTTCAAAACATCCTTCGCTTTCCTGCTCTTCAGTCTCGGTGACCACGATTTGGCGTGATGCAGCAGCGACGTTCTCTGACTCCTTGCGTTCGAGCTCGATCTCTAGGATCCTGGCACCAGGTGACACCATCCCTTTCATGCCATTGTCGTTAATGTCGAAATAGATCGCCCAAGTTTCGGGCTGGACTTCTACTGCGCAAAAGCCTTCCCATTTTTGGAACGTCAAGTGTTGATGTTGGGTAGAGCAGTCGAAAGGTCCTGCGAAATTGGAATCGGCGTCTTCCCGTACGCCATATCTGAGTTGTTGAGAATGCGCATCGATATATATCCAGTTCAACGTGGGCAGCCAGTCTTGCATCGGTGTGGCGTCTGCGGTTGTGGTCGTCGCAAGGCCTTCGTAAGGCTTCTCAGGGTCTGGTATGAAGTAAGGCGCGACTCGGTGACCACCGTGGTCATTTGTATCGACATAAATCTGTAGATGGTATGAGCCAGACACGAATACATGTTGATCTGGAGCGTACCTCGCCATTGCCTCCAAGCACAAGCGGCCTTGCATCGATTTGCGCAGCGCCTTGTGAAGTGCTGAGGCAGTGCACAACGAGTTCTGCGTGGTGTTCCTCCCGATCTACTTCCTGTAGTGGGCGATAAACAGTTTCCATACTTCGCTGATCGTCGAAGCTGACGCGTGATTACTTCAGTCGTGGTAAGGGCAGAAATTTGAAGATGGTGTATCGATCAAGATTTGACGCGCCACTCTATACCATCGCTCCTTAATGCAGGTCTCTATAAGCGCGATGTACCGCACATCACGTCATGGGAAGCCATCGCCTGGATGATGCGTCAGTAGCTAGGATGAATGCCTGCTGTTTTCCTGTCGACCAGAGATGCTCAGATCGCCATCTACATCAGCCAGTCAGGGGTGGCTGGTCCTAATAGCTGATGCGCAATGCGACTCCTAAGGAGACTGTTGATTGCCTGTTCGGGATGACGTACGATGCGTCGTTGGTAGTGGATGTACGTGTTCCTTGTATGCCTAATGTTTCAGCCCAGAGCATGGAAGATCCCTGGGTCGAATCGCGGTCAAGAAGCGTCGCATTCCTGGCATACATGCTTACAACGAAGTAAACGAAAGAGACCTGCAGAGCAATTAGCATGAGGTCTATGTTGTGTATTGTGAGTTTTGTCGCTTACGTAAATTGATCCCACAATTGACTCTCCACAGCATCCTCTGCACGGTCTTCAAAATCACTGTCTCATTGCTGACCATCCAATAGCATACGGTTGTTTGTCGTCCTATCGCCGCTGGCTTTGCTTTTGCAGGCCACTTGAACCAATCGGGCTTTTTCTCAGCCCCAACTTAGTGTCTGAATCAATATTATCCAGGCGATCCTCATTCAGATCGTTCTGGCCCCAGCATGGTCTCTCCAACAGCGTCCCCCAACGTGATCATAGAACAGATAGCGATACCTCCGAATGTATTCCAACCAACGTTCAGGCTTCCCCTCGATTCCCCATTTTGATAATCTGTCCGAAAGTCCCTGAGATCGAACTCATTATAGGTACGGCGCAGAGCTTTATCGCCAACACCGTATGCATGCCACGGAACGTATAGTACACGGTCGAACGTACCAAGCCTTCCTGCGGAAACTGGTCTTCTGAGTCGTGAACGGCTTTGAAAACCCCGTATTAGTGTTTGGGATAGGTTTCGCGCTCGTCTTTGAGTGACCAATGTTTCGTGCTCACAGCAACTGCGATCTTGAGGATGACCTAAATCATTCGTGTCGTCTATACATTTTGATGATCCTCGGTCGAGTTGTAAATCAACGGAAGAACAGAAGAACGTCGACTGCGTTGGCGAGAGGGTAATAAAGTTTCAGTAGTTGCACGATGGGAATGTCATCTAGGACTTCGAGAACCCTGGATAGACTCAAAATGACAGTCGTCCTCGGACCGATGGGGTATAACACGCATGTTGCAGACTTCGACTCTTACAGGTGGGCAGGGCGAGCTTGAATTTGTTTTCCATTTGCAACGAAGCCTTCATCTTGTCCTGCCAGCGAGCTGAATGCATCTGCGGATGGGATCTATTGCGGAACCGTGTTGACAATGGGAATCTTCAAGCATGAGGATCGGAATTCTTGCCGATAATAACCTCTGGCGACTTCCATAGGTAAGTTTCAGTGCATGGCAAGCAAATATGCAAGTCGAGCAAATAAGTGAACACAGGTGGAGGATAGATGGTTATCGGAGCAGCACCGGAGATGCAAGGATCTGTTAGATGTAGAATTCGGAGAAAGCTTAGCACACCCTCTTAAAATTTGCACACACACTTTAGCTTTTATACTAACTTTAACTAGCTACATCTTAGCAACACTATATAATATTATAAAAATTTAAAAAGATCTAGAATCTATATAGTAAAAAGTACCTTTCTAGGAATTTATAGGTTATATAGAGGTAAATTGTTATAAACCAGATAATAGTAGGGAAGTTTAGGCGCTTATAAAGGTAGAAGATATAATAACTAGGGTTATAATAAGATAAAGATATACTAAGTTACTTAGATAGTAGTTACGTAACTTACTTAGCTACTTAGGGTTCCTAAATACCTAAGTAGCTAAGAGCTATTATATAATCTACTTAGTTATTTAGGGCTCCTAAGTAACTAAGTAAGATCTCTATATAGAAATATAAGAATAAACCTTTATACTTATATTTAACCTAAGTTTTAATCTATTATTTAGATTTACTTAGGCCTTTCTTATTAACTTATTATACTTTATAAGATACTTCTATATTAATAAGAACCCCTTCTTCCTCCCCTTAGTAAGTCTTACCTAAGAACTAACCTTAACCTATTTAGGACTAGCTACCCTTTCTAGATTTAATATAAATTTAGGATATTATCCTTATATTATTTAAAAATATTTAAATTACTAACATTATGTTATAAGGGGTTTCCACGTACCTAACCTAGGCCGGACCTTATAGGTATTTAGTGGACGAGAGTAGATAAATAATAATAGGGTAAGAGAATATTCTAGCCTTACTATAAAAGGTAAGGTAATAATTATATAAGAAGACTAATAGATCTTAGTGTAGAAGATATACTCTAATTTTAACTATAGAATTTTAACTATAAAGAATAGAAAAGATTCTAAAGTCCCTTTAGACTATATACTATTCTTTATTATCTAGGAGATTCTATCTAGACTCTAAAGTCCTAAGACCTCCTAAGGTCCCTAGGGCCTTTAAGGTCCCTAGGGTCTCCTACTTATACTAGACCTTATTATATAATAGATAATATAAGCTACCTATCTAGCTAGTCTATAGGGCTTAATCTAGCTTACCTCTACTATTAATATCCTAAGTATAATTCTCCCTACTTACCTTACTTAGTCCTACTATAATTATAATATTATTCCCCCCCTTAGGAGTATTATTTTAATACCCTAGTCTAGCTTCCTATAGTATAGCTAGCCTATTAGCGCCTATTAGACGTATAAAGGTATACTAGCCCTCTTACCTACTTAGGTTATACTCTAACCTAGATTTCCCTTTCTATTCTAAATATGCCTAAAGCTCCTTACTTATTAGTTTAGAAACGTCGTACTTATACACTAAAAGTTAAATTCTAAAGCCTTAAGATATTACTTAGTTATAAGTATTATTAGAAGTTAAAACTCTACTATTTTATAGATGCAACCTTAGGTTAATATACTAGTTATATTTTAGCCTATACTAATTATAGCTTATAGGTCCCTAAGGACAATTAGACCTTAGTTTATAAAGAGAAGGAGTAGAAGTAGTTAGCTCTTCTTTAGGTATATACTAAAACTGCCTACCTTAAACTAGAGTTAGCTAAGGTTAAGGCAAAGGAATATTCCTTTACTTATTATAATCTCTAAGTTGCTAACGCAATAGATTAGTTATAAGAGAAAGGCTTAGTAGAGGGTAGAGCTTCTAGTAGTACTTATATACTATTACTATTTTTACCTTTATTTACTAATCCTATTTAGCTATAGGCTAATCCTTCTTTTAATCTTTTAGCTTTTACCACTACTTTTCCTAACCTAGTTCCTACTATACTAGTATATAATCTTTCTAAGGGTGTCCCCTTTCTTAGTAGAAGTTCTCTAGTAATTTCTTATAGTTTATAAGGTTTCTTATTAGCTCCTATATATTATACTATTCTAGCTATCCTTTCTATTTAACTAGGTATCTTTACTAACCTTTAACTATTTTTAGGTCCTTAATATTCTTAACTTTATACTTATTATCTTCTAGTTCTAGCTAGGTCTTAACTAGAGTATCTAGCGGTGCTAGTTCTAGAAGGTTTTTATAGAAGGTGTTATATACTTTAGTGCCTATAGGTAGAAGTAATTTATTTATAACTAGTTCTCTAACTTCTTATATTTTAAAGGGGCCTACCTATAGGTAATCTAGTTTTTTGCTTTACCTTTTAGTTTTTAGATTTTTTTATAATAGGAAAACTTTATCCCCCTTCTTAAAGGTTAGTCTCTTAATCCTTTATTTATTTGCATTTTTAGATACTAAGAGGGATTTTTACGTAATTCTTTTATATAGGATTTTATAAAGTTCCTTTATTTTCTAAGCTTTATTATAAGCTTCTATAGAAAGACTTTCTATATCTCTAGAATTCTAATAAATAATTAGTTTATATCCATAGTTAGTATAGTGTAGAGAGTACCCTATTAAGCCTAACCTAGAGCTATTATACGCTAATTACGCTATAGGTAAGAGTTTTACCTAATTATCTTACTATTTATTTACGTAGAACTAAAGGTACTATTTTAGTATCTAGTTTATTTATTCTATTTATCTATCTATTTAAGGGTGGAAACTTATTAAGAGTTTTCTATATATTCCTAATATTGTGGTGAACGTATTCTAGTATTTAAATATAAAGAGTTTATTATAGTCCGTAATAAATTCTTTAGGTAGGCCATATTCTATAAATAGCGTATTATCTATCTTATATGCTAGTTCTTCTACTAATATAGACTCTTCTATAGGTCTAAACTTAGTAGCTTTTATAAGTTAATCTACCATAACTATAATAGTATTATATATGCGTTTTATTCCTAGTTATAGTAATTTTAGGAGCTTTACTATAAAGTCTATTATTACGCTTTACTATGGCCTCTCTATAGATAGTAGTAGTTATAGGAGTCTATAAGGCTTATGTCTTTTAGGCTTATTTTTATAATATACCAAATAGTTGCTTATTTCCTTTATAACTTTTTGCTTAAGTTTTAGGATAGTATATTTATTTATAATGCGATGCGTTATTTCTTTAATACCTAGGTGCCCCTATTCCCTAGATTTATATAGCTTCTTAATTAAGATAGGTATATATTAGTCTCTAATAATTATCCTTTATTAGTGGTCCCTCTAGGTTTTATTAAAACTATTCTAGAATAGATTATACTCTTCTCTTTATTCCCTAGAGAGTTAGGAGTAGTCTTATAAGTTATATACCTCTAGTTCTATATACTAGAAAGAGGCTGCTTAAGCTTTAATTTTTAGTTAGTTATATTCTAACGTTCCGTCCTTACGCGCTTATAATATAGTATTATAGAGGTTAGCCTTATTCTCTATTAGGTCTAATCTTTAGCTTAAGGCGTCTACAGCGCTATTAAGTATTTCTAGTTAATAGTAAATAGTAAAATTAAAGTTTACTAAGAACTCTACCTATTATACTTATTATTAGTTAAGCTTCTTAGTTAATATAAAGCTAGTAAGGTTTTAGTAGTCTATCTATACCTTAGTTTTAAAGCGCACTCTTATAAGTTAAGCTTTCTATTATTTAAAGGCATCTACTACCCCTAATAGTTCCTTATTATAAATATTATAATTAAGTTCCGCTTCTAAAAACTTTTATAAATAGTAGAACACTAGTCTCTACTTCTTATCTCTATCTAGCTATAAGAGAATTACTCCTATTATATAGTTAGATACGTCCGTTTCTACCCTTATAGGTTTTCTTAGGTTAAATATCTAGAGTAAGGGTACTATAAGAAATATTTCTTTTAGCCTCTTAAATACCTCTAGAGGCCTTCTAGTAATTAGCTAAATAGTCTTATTATTCTTTTTCTTAGTAAGGTCTGTTAATAGTGCTATTATTTTAGAATAATCCTTAATAAACTTCTAGTAGAAGTTAGTAAACCCTAGAAAGGACTAGATATCCTTTACTAACTTAGAAACTAGCTATTCTTATATAGTAGCTATCTTCTTAGGGTCTATAGACACTCCTTCCCTTAAGATAATAAATTCTAAGTACTCTATTTTTATAACGTAAAACTTACATTTATCTAGGTATAGAAGTAACTTATACTCCTTTATTTTCTTAAGTACCTTCTTTACGTATTCTATATATTCTTCTAGCATTTTGCTAGAATAAATAAGTATGTTATTAAAGTAGGCTATATAGAATATATCTAAGTATTTATATAGTGCCTTATTTACTACGGCCTAAAATATTATAGGCGCGTTTATTAGTCTAAAAGGTATAACTATATATTTATAGAGACTAAACTAGGTCCTAAATATAGTCTTTTACTTATAGCCTTTAGCTATCTATATATAATAATAACTATCGTATATATTAAATTTAGTAAACTATTTAGTTCTATAGAGCCTATCTATTAGCTCTATTATTAGTAGTAGAGGGTACTAGTTCTTAATAGTAGTATTATTTAGCTATCTATAATTTATATAGAGCTGTAGCTTACCGTTTTTCTTAGGTACCTATAGGATAGGGAACGCTATAGGGCTCTAACTATCTTAGATATAACCTCTTACTAGGTTTTTCCTTAAGTATTTTCTTAGTTCCTATTCCTAATCTATAGATATTAGCCTTAGCTATTCTAGTTATAGTTTTATACCTTCTTCTAGTAGTATCTTATAATCCTACTCCTAGTAGTTAGGGAGTTCTTCTCCCTTAATTTCTTTAAAGAGTTCTATATACTCTTTATATTTTAGTAGAATAGTTATCTCTCTTATTCTTTCTTAGAGATTTAAGTATTATATCTAGATAATTCTTACTTACCCTAGGTTTTCTTTTAGAATCTTAGCTATCTAGATAGCTAAGATCCCCCTAGTCTATCTTTTAACCTACTTATTTAGAGTTTCTAGGATCGTAGGTTACACCTACTTAGTATATTAGGTACTAGTAACCCTTAAGGTTACTCCTTAACTCCTTATAGTCTGTTTTACCTAATCTATATTAGGGTTATGTGTAACTAGTTAGTTATATTTTATAATAGCTTCTAGGCTTCCTAAGTCTATTATTATAAAGCTGTGTTAGCTTTTAAATCCCTTAATTCTAATAGGTAGTAGTATTATTTCTAGGCGTAGCCAGCCTCTACTATAGCCTTAGGAGAGCGTACTATCTACTATTTCTAACTAGACTAGTACCTCTTTATTTCTATATAGTAGATCGTATTTTTCTACTATTTCTAGTAATATTAGATATTCTATTACGCTAGGGTCTATTAAAGCTTTTACTTAGAATTCTCTAATTATAATCTACTTTATTATTTATAGTTTTATAGTGCCTTTAGCTTCTACCCTATAAGCCTTTAGAATGCCTATACTAGCTTAGCTCCCTACCTAGTAGTATACTAGTTTTTTAATTACTTCTATTCTTAGTTATATATACCTTTATAGTAGCATTATTTATATAGTAGGTAGTTAGTCCTTAGTTATTAGAGTACTATTCTAAAGGGGTTTAATACCTTTTCTCTTAGATATTATGCTTTAGACCTTACTTCTAAGGTATCCCTTAGGTACTCTATTATTACTCTTCTCTATTATTAGTTTACTATAAGTATATGTAGGTATTTAGATTTCTTACCTATTTCTTTATACTACTAATAGTCCGTTATTGTGCATTCCTAGTATAGTATAAACTTATGGTTTAGATCTAATAGATTTATTACTATAGATTTCTTTTTACTAAGGTGTCTAAGGTATTCTTACCTTCTATAGTCTATCTATTCTTAGGTTTCTATATAGTCTATATCCTTTTACTTTAGACACGTGTCTATATATTTATATTATAGGGCTTTATTATATTAGTTAGGGCCCTTAGGCTAATTATCTATTAAGTATTTCTAGTTCTAATAGATAGGGTAGCTATCTATATAATATGCCTTCTATACTAGGGGCCTATAGTCCCTTTTCTAGATATTATATTAATATATATAATAGTTCCTATCTCTATACTTATTTTTATTTAACCTATAGTATTCCCTATTTTCTAGGTTTTCTTATACCTAGTCCCTTTAGTCCTAGTGGTAGAAATAATCTATTATATAGTATTACTAGAATTCTTTCTATAGGTATATATTAATTATCTTAAGTTACTAGGTAGGGTTCTATAGTTTCCCCTAATAGGTTACTACCTATTTGTACATTTAGTGTGCATCTAGTCCTATAATTTTTATTTTTATATAGTATTACCTAGTTTAGTGCCTAAGTTCCCTATAGACCTAGTATTACTACTTAGTTACCCTATATACTACTATACCTCCTATAGTAACTTAGTAGCCGTCTTTATCTAGATACCCTTTAGGATTAGTTAGTTAGGTTTCCTAAGATTTCTTCTTAGAATCTAGTATTATAGTATTATTAGGGACTTTACCTAATTCTAGTGTTTTAGGTTATAGTATTACTATAGCTATTCTAATTATATTAGCTCTTTTACCTTACTCCTTATAGTTAGGGTAGTTAGCTTTAAAATGCCCTTACTTCCTATAACTTAGGTAAGCCTTATCCTTAAAGTATTATTAGTAGACCTTATTCTACTTCTTTTACTATAGGGTATATTCCCTCTTGGTTTATACTTTATCCCCTATAATTATATTACTATTCTTATTCTATTTATCCCTTTAGTTATACCTCTTTTAAGTATTAGCTCTCTAGTAGTATATAGGCTTAATTACTTCCTACTTCTCCTAGTTTTACTTATATAGGCGGTTATCTATACGTATAGCTAGTTCTATTAGTGCTCTTAGGTTATTAGGTTCTATATAGTATATAAGGCCGTCTTTTACTAACTCCTTTAGACTATTATAGAATACTAATTAGAGTAGTGTATTATCCTAGTCTATCTTAGCTTAAAGTTACTTAAATATTAAGGTATACTTACCTATTAATATAGTTTATTTTAGCCTTTAGATCTATCGCTTAGCCTACTTTACTTTATTAACTTTACTAAATATAATAGTTATCTATTCTTAGAATAACTTCTAATCCTTAAAGACTAGTTTAGTGTCCTCCTAATATTTCTTAATATTATTCTTATTTTCTATATAATTATCTACTAGGGGTTATATCTATCTAGTAGCCTATCCTATTATATGCATTCTAGCAGCTAATATCTAGTCTTATTTCTTGCCTATAGTAGCTTTATAAGAGTAGTTATATAGCTTTATATTAGTAAGAAATAGTTTTAACTTTTCTTAGTCTCTATTAAAGAGTTTTAGGACTTTAAATATTTCTTTAACTAGGGTAGTAACTATTACCTATCCCTAGAACTATTCTATTAATTATACTAGTTACTCTTAGAGTTATTAAATCTAATTAGTCTAGTTAGCTATAACTATAGCTGCACTAGTTATAGGTCTAGAGATAGAACTTTTAGGTACTACTCTTAATACTTATAAGCTAGTTAGTATTACTATTACGTCTTATACCTTTAGGTAGTTAAAGTATTATAAGGGGTTTCTACGTACCTAACCTAGGCCAGATCTTATAGGTATTTAGTAGATAAGAGTAGATAAATAATAATAGGGTAAGAGAATATTCTAGCCTTACTATAAAAGGTAAGGTAATAATTATATAAGAAGACTAATAGATTTTAGTATAGAAGATGTACTCTAATTTTAACTATAGAATTTTAATTATAAAGAATAGAAAAGATTCTAAAGTCCCTTTAGACTATATACTATTCTTTATTATCTAGGAGATTCTATCTAGACTTTAAAGTCCTAAGACCTTCTAAGGTCCCTAGGGCCTTTAAGGTCCCTAGGGTCTCCTACTTATACTAGACCTTATTATATAATAGATAATATAAGCTACCTATCTAGCTAGCCTATAGGGCTTAATCTAGCTTACCTCTACTATTAATATCCTAAGTGTAATCCTCCCCACTCGCCTTACTTAGTCCTGCCGTAATCGTAATATATTATAGTTATATAAGTAAAGAGCATAAAAATTCCTAGAAAGGCTCTTTTTACTATATAGATTCTATATCTTTTTAAATTTTTACGCTATTATATAGTATTACTAAGATGTAGCTAGTTAAAGTTAGCTTAAAAGCTAAGTGTGTTAGGGGAAATTTTGAGAGGGTGTGCCAAGCTTTCTCCGAATTCTGCATCTAACAGATAACACCGGGTGATGACGTAATTTCGCGCGAAGCTCCAGCAGCCGAATTTCTTCGCCGCCGAACATCGCTCCGCGAATTCGCAGTCAGAACATAAACACCTACGTCCTTCGCAACAGTGCGACCTTTCCCCATTGCACCGCGAGCGCATATTCCGATTCACAATGAGACCTCTCCGCCCCATAGCCTCCGCGCTACGCCTTCAAGCACCACCCAGATCACCGCGACCCGCATCACATTCGCCATGCCTCCTCTGCGCTCACCGCACATCTCCACCAACGCTATCACGTCGCTATCAATCTACCGCGACCTCTACCGCGACCTCCACCGACCCAAACACCACCGCCTCACCGCAATCCCCTCCCCAAACACACTTCGACTTTTTCCCCAATACACTCCCCTCCGGCCCTCCGCCCGCCGGCCACTTCACCATCGACACCACCACCCTCAAACGCGAGTTCCTGCAGCTCCAAGCGCGCGCGCATCCAGATTTGCACCCGCCTGAGAATAAAACGAAAGCGCAGGCTCTTTCTGCACGTATAAACGAGGCGTATAAAACGCTGCAGAATCCGTTGTTGCGCGCGCAGTACCTGCTTTCGCTGAGGGGGATAGAGGTCGCGGAGGATGAGACCGCCAAGGTAGATGATCCGGAGCTGCTGATGGAGGTGCTCGATGTAAGGGAGCGGATCGAAGAGGCGGAGAGCGAGGAGGATCTGCTGGAGATGAAGGGGGAGAATGAGCAGAGGATAGCAGACAGTGTGAGGGTGTTGGAGGAGGCGTTCGCGAGGGATGATGTCCAGGCTGCGAAGGGCGAGGCAGTCAAGTTGAGGTATTGGGTTAATATTAAGGAGAGCTTGGACGGTTGGGAGAGGGGGAAGCCTGTTGTTTTGGAGCACTAGGTTAGAAGAGGGGGGAGGCGAGGCTGCTTGTACAATACATGCGCGACATGATACCCATCTCGACTTTCGATCGGAGACATAATTCGATACTTCTACTTGAAGCTAAATCGGCACCGTCAAAGGATTCATAACGCTCGCCCCCATCAACCCTCAACTCCGCCCCCGTCACATAACTACTAAACCCAGAAGCCAAAAACCCCGCAACCCTCGCCACCTCCTCCGGCCGCCCCGCCCTCTCCAAACCTATAGTCCTCTTCTGCGCCTCCTCCCCTTGCAAACTCACCGGCGGGAACTGCCCGCGCTCCAACTCCGCCATCCCCGCGCCCTTCAGATCGACACCAACATCGATCTGCCCCGCGGTAATGGCGTTAATCCGCACACCCGTCCCCTTAAGCACCGCTACGCCGGCGCGAACGACGCCCAGCGCCGCATGACTACTCATCGTAAAAGCCGGACCCCAGCACCCGCCGTACGTCCCCGCGACGGAACTAACCACCACGATACTCCCATACGGGACATCCTTCGGCGCAGCATTAGGATAATTTCCCCAGGTGTAGTCTTCGTCATCGCCGCAGGAGCATACTTAAGCGCGAAGAACGCGGGCATGGCATTCGTCTCGAAGGCGGCGTAAAGATCTTTCGGGCCGGTGGACGTGATGCTGGGCGAGCCGAGGAGGCCTGTGGAAGAAGTCCAGACGTCGAGGCGGCCCCAGGCGTTGAGGACGTCGTCGATGAGGGCGAGGGTGGACTCTTCTGAGGTGGGGTTGTAGGGGTAGGGGATTACTTTTGTGTTTGGGGACTGGGAGGCGATTGAGGATACGAGGGTGTCGTAGGGGTCGGATGGGGAGGTTGAGCAGGCGTAGATGCAGGCTGCGCCGTGGGCTGGGGGTGTTAGTATGGGGTGGAGGGAAGAGGCTGAGACATAATGTGGAGATATCCAAGCGATATACTCCATCATGAGCTGGCTTTTGAAGAGGTCATCGAACCGGCTTTGGCAGTGCAATGAGGATAGGATGAAAGCAGTGCTTGGGGTTTTTCTACACAAGATAGTTCTCGATACACTTACCAGCAAGTTCCGCAACAATGGCCTTCCCCACAGGTTGCGTAGCCCCCGTCACGACGCAGACAAATCCATACTACGCAAAAAGTATTGTTAGCAATCTCAGTCTCTCAATATGTACTTTCCCTTTCAATCGAAGGGGAATCACTCACAAGTTTTCCATCACTTCGATAAGGGCTGGTGTGCTCTGAGTTGCCAGCGTCTGCCATAGTAGGAGAATAATAATACAGTGAGCTCAAGGCCGAAAGAAAAGTAGAGGGCAATTGACCCCGCGAAGGGGGATTCACGTCATGTTTGCTTGTGTACACGAGAGCACCAAATGCGCGGGGCGCGGAGATAGTTGGTGAGAAGGCGACCTTATCTGGGGCTTATCGGCGTGCATGCAATTGGACCGCGGAGCTGTACGAAAGCATTCCAGCAACTCCTCGAACAATTCAAATGTTACAGATGCATTTCTGACAAGTCAGGAATTCGAATTGCATTTGGATTTATAGGATGTAGTTCTCGTCTACCCAGCCGTGAGGCCAACATCCACTCTACTGTCTGAACTCTCCTCTTCACCGGTACCACAAGCGCTCTGCCCAACACCAAGCTCCCCTCTAACGACTATCCTCTACACTGCACCCACTCGCCCATTCTAACTCCTCTACAATCAATTCCGATGACTACCTCTATTGCACCCACACACCAAAATACCAGCAACCTCCCCTACTGCACCCCCGCCCCTTAAGTTCCTCCTCATTAAGACCCTTCCTCAACTGCTCCTTCGGCGGCAGCACATCCGGCCCAAAGCTCAACGGCAGCAACTCCCCCATGCTCCTCATAATAAACCCCCCCTTCTTATTAAACATAAAGATCGGAGTATCCAGTGCCAGAAACTCCCTCAGGAACTGCCTGCACATGCCACACGGGCTGCAGAAGTCGTCCATGTCCGTCGCCACGCCAATGGCCTTGAAAGAGCCCAATTTATGCCCGGCATGGATGGCAGTCCCCATGGCGACGCGCTCGGCGCAGGTGCCGACGGGGTAGGAGGCGTTTTCGACGTTGGCGCCTGTTATGATGGTTTGCCCGGTGGCATCGGGTTGGTGGAGGAGGAGCGAGGCGCCGACGCGGAAGAGGGAGTAGGGGCCTGGGAGGTCAGCATATACACATTCAAGAGCAACTCAAGGAAACCGCAAAACGTACAATAAGCCCTCCCCCTTGCATCCAAGCTCGTAGTGCACAAAGTCTGCAGCTCGGCAGCCGAGACGCCGTGAATCAGCCCATTTTTCTCGTCGATGTGTTCCGCAGGAGCCGGCTTGATAGTGGAGGTCGTTGACATCGTGGAGGAGAAGAAAGAGAGGAGGCGGGGCCGCCCGGTGCTGTGATATGTAGCTCTGCTTTGCCAATGGTGGGGTCCCAGGTGGGATGTTTGGGCCGAGGCTGACCGCGTTGCGTTAGGCGCTTTGTGTATAGTGGAACGCGTCGGAGACCGCCGCCGCCCTTCACCATTGGGAGGGGGATGTAGGGAAGGACGGTGGAGGGCGGGCACGGAGTTGGGTCAGCTAAGAGTGCGAGATACGAAAGATGGAAGGAATAGCGTGCGATTGAGAAGCTCAATCACTCCAAGGCTCATGTCTAACAATACGAATAACATGTACGCAATGAAAGACACCCTCAAGAACGGTGCATGCTACAGCTCGTCTTTGTACACCTCTTCGCTGCCCTCCTGGGCATCACCCTGCTCACCGGCCTCCGCCTCAGCAGCCTCCTTATCACTACTGCTCATCCCCTTAGGCTTCTCCTTCTCCTCTCCCTCCTGTGCCTTCCCCTTCTTTCCCTCCTTCTCCTCATCCGGCTCAATAAACTCAATAAGCCGATACTCTCTCTGCCCCTGCGGCGTCTCAATCAGATCTAGTCTCCATTCCTTCTTCCCCGCAATCTTCCTGCTGTTCCTTTCCAGCTTCTCCACATCCCTAACCTCCATGCCGACTTTCTTCAGATCCTCCTTGCTCATCATCTTGCCCTCGCTCGTAATCAGCGTGCCGAGGAAGATTTCTTTGCCACCGCCGGCAATGATGCCTTTTTCGATGATTTTGCCCTCGCTGCCGACGAGCGACTGCGCGCCCACTTCGATGCCGCCGATGATGGGGCCGCGCTTTGTAGAGCCGTCGGGGCCGGGGGCCATTTCGCGCAGGGGGTTTGAAGCTTCGTATGCGGCGAGGGAGGCGAGCAATTCGGACTGTGCTACTTTATCTTCTAGGCGGGCGAGATCCCATTCGTCGACTTCGGAGGGGGCGAGGACGGGCTGACAGGTTATGGGGTGTGCTAGGTTTTCTTGGGGAGGCTGGAAGGCGATATCGTTGCAGAGGCGGGGCGTGTAGATGATCATGAGGTAGGAGCAGGTGCTGATTTCCTTGATCATGGCGATTTTGTCCATAGGTTGGGGGTTGCAGTGGAACTGGGAGTGAGTTAGTATGGGGTGCACCTAAAGATAGTGATGTTGACCTACCTGTACTTCGATCTTACGCTCCCTACCCGTAAGGTCACACTCAGTACCGCCTGCCATCCGCTGTACCATGTACCTGCTTGAGCCTTTTGTTTCCAATCGCGGGAGATCGAGGCCTGTTTCCTGCTTGCTTTCTGAATCCGCCTTGCCTGGCTTCGCGTTGCCCTCGTCGTCCGTGTCCCTCGCTTCCGGTTCACTACCCAGCGTCTTCCTCTCCTCGATCTTGTTCTCTTTGTCTTTCTCAGAAAACCTCCCCAATATGAAGCTGTTCACGGCGTGGTCCTCCACAGGCGGATATATGGGCGCGCCTCCGCGGCCCGGCGGCAGCTGGTGGAATTGCTTGACATGGTCCTTGTAGCAGAAGGCGTAGCTCCACCATCCGCTTAGGTAGTATATACATTCACCCTTCATGCCTTCTAGCAGTTCTCCGCCGCGACTCGTGGCGCGCACCAGTTCCTTCTCCTCCTCGGCCTTTGCTTCCTCGGGCGACACAGTGCTGTTCTGCGGTACATCTTCCGGGAAGACCGGTATGCTACAGAGGTAGCGTCGGCCATCTAGCACCACCCGCTCGTATGTCAAATCAAGCTCATCGTCTCTTTGCAGCGGATCGGACGACTGTTTCCCCGGCTTCGATAGGTCTTGCGTAGCCTGCGATATTGGCGTCGCGGAGCTCGTGCTGCGAGATATAGATTGCGATAGGAGTGAAGTGGCTTCGTTTTCGGTAACGTATTCGTCTGGAAAGACGATCTCGTACTGCGCAAGTGGTTAGCGATGAGCGAAGCCACCGAGCTATGCCAATGCGCACCTGCGGGAAAGCAAGCAAGTCCTCGAATACGCTGAACGAGTGCGGGCTAGCGAGCGCAATGCGCAGAAATGCTGGAAGTGCCCAGAAGTTCCTCATGGCGGGCGCAAGCTGGCGGAGATATGAGGGAGAAAGTAAGGCGAAGCTGCGGCGTGAGCACTCTGAAGCGTGGGGAGCTTAGAGCCAGATGTCACTTTGGGACCTCGCCCGCCACCCAATCCGGCTAGCCTCCGTGTATATTGCTACAACCACGACTACGATGACGATAGCAGTTGTTTTATCCGGGCTGGTTCCCAACCTCGGCAGGTTACTCACACATTGTATTGCATTTCTTCTTCCTCTAGGTCATCTTGGGATAATACAGGACCCTTTTCCACAGGGTATCTCCCTACCTAGGTACTCTCTCCAACAGACTCTGGTACTTTGGTAATCCTTAACTATTTCCATTGGGTTATCCTATTCAGCGAGGTTTCTACCAAGACCAAATACTCCGCCTGAGATTCCGAAGAGACGTTATACCACGCTCCAAGCCGTCGCAATGCAGAAAATAAGAAACGACCATATTGATCCCAAAAGTGCAGTTATGCCGCCAACTCCCGCTAATAAATATACAAACTAGCTGACACGTCAACCAAGCACTAGCCCAGCTTGGTGCCAATTTGCACCTTGAAGCTCTCGCCAGCAGGGCGCGGCTGCGTACTCTTGCCGTAGTAGAACTCGCATTTGAACTTCAGGCTTTGATTGCGCTGGTTATGGAAAATCTGAATGATGTCCCCCGAGTGCAGGTTCCCAAAGAGAGCGCGGCCCTTGTCGTCCTTCTGTTTGATATGTTTCCCGTTGACCCAAAGACCGGCGGTCGCGGATGTGAAGATGCCGGCTTGCAGGTCCTCGATTTGTGTCCAGTCTTGGCCGTTTTGGGAGAGCTCCTGTACGTTCGTGCCGCTCGGAGACCACCAGAAGATGTGGAAGGCCGTCTTGGGAATACGGATGTCGGCAGCATCCTCGTACACAATGGTGCTCGAAGGCAAGCGACCCCACGATGTGAGGCGCCGGTCCAGATTGAGAACAAGTGAGGGGTCAAATGAATCCAGCGTGGCTGTCAGCTTGCCGACTCGGCGTGGTGGAGCCTTGAAATCAGGCTCGGTGGGCAGCGTTGGGCCAGCTTTGACCGGGATGGCTGCAACTGAAGACACCGAAGTCTCGCTGTCTCCGTGAGCAGATTGCTGCATGGTGTCTGCGAGGGACGCCCCGTCTGTGGTATCCTGCAGCTGTGCACCAAAATCGAAGCCACTCACTCTCTGAGCGTACTCGAGATTGTGTGTGGAGGGATCGGCAGGATCATAAAAGAAAGAAGGGGTCTTAGGTAGACTGATAAGTCGATTGGGTGGCGGTGGTCTCGCACGTGGCGTCGGTTCGCTGCTCTGGCTTGGGTGCTTCTGCGAATATCCGAGCGAGCTATGTTGAGGGACCTCTGGTGTCTTGGGCGTAGCGGGCTCGTTCGGAGTCTCCCGACCGGACCCGAAAGATTGCGGCGAAGCCATGTTCAGCTCTCGCACCCCAGATTCAGCACCAAAGAGGCTAGATGAGGAAACATCTCGATCGAGGGTCGGCGTGTTTCCAGTCGATGCTTTACGCCCTCGTCTCCCTTGATTATTCGAAGCCTCCTGCCCATCGGATTCGGTGGATCCAGCATTTGAAAGCGCTTGTTTTGCGTGCACGTCGAGAACACCAGAGCTTTCCAGAGCCGACTGTCCGATCTCACCAAACAGGCGAAGTGCGTTCGGTGCCTTGGGCATGGGCTGGAAGCTCTCATCCTCAAGAACGCCTTCCATATCAGACTGAGGGGACGGAGCGGCGCTCGATTCACTTTCGCGATCCCGCAATTGATATCGTGGGAATAATGGATCGTGGCGGATGCGCTTCGATTGCCGGGCATCAAGCAGGTGTTCGAACTCCTCGTCAGATAAGACGTCAGCTTCGTCGGTTTCAGGCACGTCTTCATTGATACTGAGCTGCGACAGCTGATGTTCAGCTTCGTCCTCCTCTTCGTCCTCTTCGACAATGGATTCCAAAGTGGGGTCTTCGGGGATGTTTGCGCCCTCTCTTAGCCATTGGTGTTGCAGACATTGAATTTCCGTGGGACGTTGGGATGGGTCTCTCCGGAGCATTTGGATGAGCAAGTCAATGCAAGCGTCTGGGACATTCCGCTTCTTGAGTGGGCTCACGTCCAACTCTGTCTCCATGATGTGATCGAACATGGCGCGACCGGTAGAATCTTGTTTACCCTCAAAAGGAGGAGCACCGCAAAGAGCATTCCAGAGCACACCTCCTAGGGAATAGATGTCACAGGCAGAGCTGTACGCCTTTTCGCTTCCACGCCGACGCTTTTTGGACTTTTCGTAGAACGGGAAAACCTCGGGGGCGCAATACAGAAGGGTTCCGCAGAAGGTTTTCAAGAATGTCTCTTCGTGCGCAACCATCTTGGACAGTCCAAAGTCGGACAGCTTGACTTGTATGGGATCGAGCTCCGATATGAGGATATTGTCGGGCTTTATGTCACGATGTGTAACCTTTTGAGAGTGGAGATGGGCGAGAGCGCTCAAGACTTGTTGGGCCACAGGTCGGATCACGTCTTCCTTCATTGGACCAAAGCCACCGGGAGCCAAGCCCGCTTCCATATGCTTCCTAAGATCACCGTAGGGCGCGTACTCCATGATGATATATAGATAATCTCCTTGGTCGTGGTAATCGATGAATTGGACGACATTGGGATGCTTCAAGTTCCGCATAATCGATAGCTCGTTTTCGACTTTCTTGTCAAGCCGGCCATCCTTCATGAATCTTCTCTTTTCAAGCTCTTTGGCTGCGAGAACAGTACCATTCATCTTAGTGGCGATCTTGTAGACCGTCGCAAATGCGCCCTTGCCAAGCTCGCCTGGGACTTTGTTAGCAACAATCGATGCGCTTGAAGCAATCAAAACGTACCCATGATGGTGTAGTCGTGGCCACCGTTCCACCTCATCAACGTCTGGTAAGGTTGTTGTTGGCGCCGCAACACTTTGTCCCGTTCCTTACCCGTGAAGCATTCACTCATGAAAGCCCTCTTGTTTTCTTCATAGTTCCAGATCTGCGCTTTTGAGGATCGTGGCGGAATGCGCACATGGAACCGGATCATCTCATTGTCGTTCGTCGGAGCGCCGCTATTAGCGATAATGATTTCCGAATTGGTGGTCAGCACGCGTGTCTTCTCGGCACGTGGGTCTTTGCTCTTCAACACCGTGTTGTCGACCCGAGTTCCGTTGGTGGACAAATCCTCCAGCATGACCAGTCCCTCTGCGTTTAGATAGATGCGGAAATGCAGATTGCTGATTCGCTTGCCTGAGTCCTGGCCAAACACGATGTCTACTAAGTTGCCATTGCGACCGAAAACGAAGCCTGAGTACTTCTGCTTGAGCTGACTTATGCTTGAGAAGCGGAGGGCAATGTCCGCAGATCGCTGGATTTGGGGTCCCCCACGGGTGCCGTCGTCTCCTACAATAATGGTCTCCTGCTCTTCGATGTCGGTGACGTACGAGTCCATATCGTGAAACAAGACATGATAGGGGCGGGTCATCGCAGTCTCTTCCACGATCCTCGATGCGGCCGAGCTGCCTGCTAGAAGCAACAAAATGATGTCCGAGGAGTCATTGTCGCCAACTCCGGAGTTATCGTGTCCAACGCGTCGCGGGTCAAGCACTTGTTGGGTGGGCTGCGTGGCCTCGTCTTGTGAAGCCATTGCGAGTAAAGCAACAACTTCGGTCAGTTCAACCCTCGAGGTTTGGAAACAGGCTGCAGTTGAAGATTATAGATAGACCCCAGGCAGCAAGTCGCGAAACCGTCGCGTAACTGACGCGCTATTCTACTTGACGCGATCGACTTGATGCTGGTCTGTGTTGTGGTGAGTGAAGGCTTGTTGGTGAAAGGCGTGAATCCCACGTCAGTGCCAGACGGGATGAAAGCGCCGCGAATCAGAGACAACCAACGGAATAGTTTCGGCGGGCTGCCAAAGTTCGAGCTCTATGTGTCAGCCAACTTAATGGGACACCTCCAGCGCCGGATTATGACAAGCTCCTCCTATGCGTCCTATGCCAGGCGTAGCCTTCTAAGATGGGTGTTCAGCACCAGCCTGCCAGCAGGGCCGAAGCCGCGCTTCCCACGAAGCTTCTGTGCCCAGTGGTTTCCTTGCGCTTTTCAGTATCCTTTCGTTTCATATAACAATAGCTAAATTGTCAATGCGCTGCGTTGTTTGCGCTGTGTGGTTATCGAACGGAAGGTCGGTCAGGTTGCACCGCACAAGTCAGGCGGAAAGTGATCGTGAGTATGAATAATAGCGCGAACGCGAAAGCGAAAACGTGGGTATATGGGAGCACCTCTCCGTCGCGGGTGCTGCAGGCTCGGTGGGGGGGAGTGTTGCCCTAGAAACGGGGCTTCACTTCATTTGTCAGCGCTTCAACACCCTTAACATGTCAATTTCGTGTGGGGGCAAGAGAGAGGGAGCGCACCTTTTATGACGGCGACTACAAGCACCCTCGTCCGGGTCCTGAGCGCGAGGGAACAAGACTCGAGAAAAGTCACGGCTCTCTGAGACTTGGGGTGAGGTCTGAGCGGGCCGTCCGAGCTCCATGCACTATGATTGGACAATGTGGGTACTCGTGGGGAACATCGCAGCTTCCTCATTCGCAAGGCAGCCGCGTCGCCACGAAGTCACGTTGGCGTCTACGCGTCGGCAGACAAAGAAAATGGCCATAAGAACTTCATGCGTGGGGTCCAAGATCTAGGTGCCTTAAGAGCCTCATCGATGATTCGACCAAGGTTCAGGCGCACGTCTGCTCCGTACTACCCGTGGACGGCGATCAGGCTCAATATCTTTCTGCCTAGCAAAAGCACGCTTCATTCAGTGCTAGGAAACCACTAGGAACAGGCGTTCAAGTCGTGAATAGCCCCCGAGGGAGAGTTAGAAGGAGCTAGAATTTAGTCAACATTGATGGCAAATGAACGAAATTTCGACGCCGAACTCTCACCCGGTCGGCAAAAGCTTGTAAAACTTGTGAAATGGTCTATGAAAGCTATGTTACTCTGCTTCGTAGACGGGGTTTTGCTACGTCCGCTCGCACGTTTGCTTACATTTCAATTTAAGAATGTAGACACGTTCCACTCGATGAATCGCACGGGATATCGACGGGGTTATGACCAGGCATGCCTACACGCTGCCCTTATACTAAGTAAATATTATGGTAGCGGAGACCACGAGCGTCCTCGTCATTCATCCCCAGCAAATAACAGTTACCCAGGACCTCATAATGCCGAACGGGACCATCGTGGGTTTGTCTTAGCAGTAAGGGAGTGGCACCACCTGCAACATAGAACAATTCGTCTCCAGTCCTTGATTTGTGTGCCTCCGTAGGTGTCCGAATCAGACCAGTCTTTCTGACGCAAATAAGCAGTGCGGAGATCTTGAATATCTCGAATCTGGGTGCTGAAATCGAGCAGTACTCTCCATAGGTCCCGCGGAAATGATTCAGCAATACTTGCACAGCATGTCCCACTGTGTTCTGCAAATCTCGAAGCCGCTTCGGCAAACATGCTCCAGGGGGCAGACACGGAACCGCATACCATCAACACGTCTTGTGGCATCGTGATTTCTTAAACGGTCCAGATCCTTTTCCACCATGGAGTCCACGGCGGATTCATCAGTCTTCGCAGGGCCTCAAACAAGTTCATTTGGGCCTCTAAGTACCCTGCTGATCCCCTCGAGGAGAGGTAGCCCAATCTGTCGAGATGAGAGTCGCTTCCCAATGCGCGTAGGAAAGAGAAGACCTCTCGTGTTGTGAACGTGGATTGACCCAAGCCGGCTTTGTACCTTGTTCGCAACGCTCCGGGGTCAAGGTGCCCATCAGTGTGTAGAAAGTCGCGATGATCTCCATAGAAATGCACAATCTCTGGCGTATCCTTTTTGCGTTTGGTATCTCCCAACCCATCGCCTAGATAGATGAATACGGCCGCAGATGACTGATAGATAAGTCCCATCAACTCCACCTGATGTGTTCTCTCGTCTAAATCATCTTGGTTGATTGAGAGCGCGTCAATCCATATGATAAGGCCCTCCTCATGGCTCAGCCGCAAATGCCGAAGCGCGCTTTCGAGATTGACCGTGACCGCGAACGGTTTCCCGTTCAGTAGTATCTCCCTCGTAGCCCTTCAGGAGCCCCATACGTAAGACAACGAGTAATACCTAGGATGCTCGCCAAGATTCGTTCGCTGGAGTTCGCAGCGTACAGGGTCGGTCCATTCGCCTGGGAGAAGCTTCACGAGGCGAATGTCGTTGCTGTGGAGGGGGCCGTCGTTGTATGCTTCTGTGCTCATCGCGGTGGCAGACATATGCTATCAAATATAGGCGTCTGCTTGTGTTAACGGCCCTGTGGCGCCATGCGATGCGTCGTCTATGTATGTTGGATGCATGCTTGACCGGTGAGGCAGCTGCGCCTTCTTTCGCGCATGCAGGCTTCAATCTACAGGGGGCAACCGCGACCACAACGTGAATGACGCCTTCGCGTGCCTCGAATGCATTTGTTTCTGAGATGATGTACATATGTACTTTTGATCCACCCTGCGATGTACTGCAGGCGATGACGCCGGGCCACGTGCTAGATCTGTTTCTGGGATGGCTTCCGTAATCTGGTTCGTAGGGCTGAAACCGTTGTGCCGAGGCAAGTCTCCATCGCTCACCCCGAACCCCACATCTTCCTCACTAATCCCACGGTAGGCAATGTCATCCGTGCATACCGCCGAAATACTACATCAAGCCTCGGTACCGCGACATCGAAATCGATTCTGGCTTGTTTCCCCACCCTTTCGGACTCCCTCCTACACCATCTGAAGAGCAGGACAAGAATTGATTACTGCACGTTCATCACCACAGCGGACCTTCCGGACACTGCGCATAACATTACCTTCTTCCCCCTCTTTCTCCAGCTCTCAACATATCCCCCAAGATGCCCTCCTACACATCAATCCACCTAGCCGAACGGCCCAAGGACCAGATCGTCCCCGGGAAAACCTTCACCGCAAAGCAACACCCCATCCCCAGCGCCTCCAGTCTCAAAGATGGCGAAGTCCTCTTCCAAACCCTGTACTTGTCCCTCGACCCCGCGATGCGCGGCTGGCTCAACGACACCCGCTCGTACGTGCCGCCTGTCAAGATCGGCGAGGTAATGCGCGGCGCAGCAATTGGCATCGTCCTCGCGTCCAAGTCGCAAAAGTTTCCGGTCGGAACCTATGCGAGTGGCACCGTAGGCTGGACTGAGTACGTCGTTGTGAAAGAAAAGCAGCTACAGGCTCTGGACCTTCCGGAGGGTGCGGTACCGACGGATGCGCTGAGTGTGCTTGGTATGACCGGGTTGACGGCGTATTTTGGTATTCTGGATGTGGGTCAGGTAAAGCAGGGGGATTTTGTTGTGGTTTCGGGTGCTGCAGGCGCGACAGGCAGTGTAGTCGGTCAGATTGCGAAGATCAAGGGGGCGACGGTATTGGGGCTTGCTGGTGGCGATGATAAGGTGAAGTGGTTGAAGGAGGAGTTGGGTTTCGACTATGCGTTGAACTACAAGGATCCCGAGTTTGCGAAGAAGTTCAGAGAGGCGACAAAAGGACTGATCGATGTTTATTTTGACAATGGTAAGTGCAGGGTAAATTCTGGGCTTGAATTGGCAACTAACGGTGACAGTTGGTGGAGAGATCCTCGATATGGCTCTCGCCAGAGCAAAGCCACATGCAAGGTTCGTCATGTGTGGTGCTATCAGTCAGTACAACAAGGCCAAGGCACAAGGACCAAAGGTGAGTGGGCAAGCATCTTCTCTGTTTTAACTTTACGCTGATTTTCGAAGAACTACCTCATGGTTATCTCGATGCGGATACGCATGCAAGGCTTCATCGTCTTCGATTACGAGAAGCAGTACCCGGAGGCGAGGAAGCAGCTGGCGCAATGGCTCTCAGAAGGCAAATTGAAGCGGAAGGAGACGATTGTGAAAGGCGGGTTGACAAAGGCGGAGCAGGCCCTCGTAGATCTGTACAATGGTGTGAACACTGGTGAGTACTATATTTATGTCTTTGGGGACAGATTGCTAACAAGACAAGGTAAATTGCTCGTTGAAGTTGCGAAACCTGAGGATGTAAAGTCGAAACTGTAAAACAGCTGCGAGATTTGTACAATGACTGCCTATTCTTTCACTGCGATAACAAGAAATGAGGGAAAACATTACAGCTCCTTCTCGGATCACTGTCACGCCGTATACCTCTACTCAATGTAAGCAAGAGTTGATACAGTGATAGTGACGAACTATCGTGATCTGAGCCCTTGAAGTCAAAATATGGAAGTTTTCACATTGAAAGGTCTTCGCAAACGACATTCTCAATTAGGCTACAGAAAGCGCGACTCGACACCGAAGTTCCACTGCCATTTCTCAGTCTACTTTTCTCAGCCCACGATATCAACCGAATTGACTGCCGGATACGTAGGCCCTTTGCTTCGCATACACTCGGAGGGCACAACGTAGATCAAATCAACTACCGCCACATTAGAAGCTGGTCTTCATACAAACATTACTTCCAAGCCTTCACTGTTTAACATACAGGAGAGCTATATAGAAAGATCTTGCAAATGCCTTGGCACAAACTCTGTAAGTCTGTAACAATCCTCCCTTTACACCTATTAATCCATCCTCCAGGCTCGTGTACCAGAATCGCGATCTTCCTAGCCACAGTCTCCACCCTCACTCTTTACAGTAAGCCTCTCAGTGTGTCAAAAGTACACCAATCTCACACGCTATCACAGGCGTCCTCCTCACAGGCTGCGTCTCCAACACCGCAGCCACCCCCTCCATCTACCTATTTACCATCCGCAAATCGAACACCTGGCTCCGCGTCGGCAACATCGGTTCCTGCTTTGGCAACGGCGATCTTCAGTCGAAGCCCGTCGCTTGCGCACCCACCGTTCTTGGCGGCAAAGAAGACTTCGCAGGGGCGGATGGATTAGCACTTGTCAGACATGCAAAGACTATGCAGCTAGCCACACTCCCTCTCTTCTCCCTGCTATCAGTGCTGTGCTACATGATCTCCGCGGGGTGTTTCTTCTACTGGGAGTATGATAGGCCGCACATGTATCAGGCGGGTAGCAGGCATAATAGACTAACATTCAAATTGGCCTATGTAAGCGTTGCACTCGCTCTTGTTGCGCTGTTTCAGATGTGGGCTTCTGTTTATGGCATGGCGCATGCGAGCGCGATTGGTGAGAGTCTGGATGTCGAAGTTAAGTTGAGCACCGTTGGTCTGGGGCTGCAGGGGGGAGCTTTAGGAGTGCAGTTTTTGTTTGCACTGGGGATGAAGGGCAAGTGGGTGAGTATGATGAGACGGCGCAAGTAGGTACAGTAGGCGTAAGCGATGCATGGAAGAGGTAGTGGTCGAAGAGAGACTCTCAAGTGCATGGGTTCAGTTGCCCGCACAGTGGCATTCTAGAGGTTAGTTGACAAAAATTCAAAAAGAATGGACATTGAAGTTGAACGCCGAGCTCCTAATGCAATATACGATACGGCTCCTTTCAGTTTGGGTCCGCTTAGTGATGTTGACTGTTCTTGAAGTTCGACTGCCACGCTATCTTACGAAACATTTTCTGACTCGACGGATGAGGGGTTGCTGAGAATGTAAGTCCCGCTTGAGTATGAACAGAGTTCAAGTACATGTCAAGGCTTTCTCTGAATTATGCAAAGGCCTTCAGTAGTCGCGCATTCTATGCGCAGGTTTGAATCGGACCCAGAACGACGGCCTGTCCCAATATGCGTAGAATTTGAAGTCCTTTTCGAACGACAAGTCTTCCTGGCCTTGCACAGCCTCCAATTCAAATTCCCACAAGACTCTAGCAATGAAGAGACGGATCAAGGAGACAGCTATCGCGCCACCGGGGCAGCCTCGAAGACCTTGACTGAAAGGTTTCGCGGCCTTCAATTCGTCGCTCGCATACTTTAAATCGAATTGAGGATGATCGGATGGCAGCCATCGTTCGGGGCAGAACTTGAGCGGGTCCGTGAAATATTTCGGACTTCTTGCTGCGGCGAAGTAGCTGATCTGGCACGTCACCTACACTGAATGAGCATCTGGTAGCAGCAAGAGTGGGGGCAGGGGACTTGGCCACACTTACGCCTTGAGGTATGTATTCCCCATCTACGACAGCACCGGGACTTACTCGAGGTAAGCCATCTGTTGTTTCTTGATGAAGACGAAGACTTTCATGTACACAACCATTGAGATACTTCAAACTCGTCACGGCTTCCATGTCGATTGCTCTGTACTCTGCAAAAGCTCCTCTGATCTCTTTTACCAAAGCTGTATAAGCGTCCGGCTCCTTGAGAAGAAAGAAGATGAGAGAATAAAATTGGTTTGCGAGCGGCTGCCAACTGGCTAACAGCACCTGTGCTGCAACATTTTCCAGGTGGAAGATAACTTTCTTGTCATCGGGTACGGGTTTGTCGGCAGGAAGAAGCTGTTCAAAATAGTCCAAATGCTCGATCTTGTGACGACGCTCGATACGCGCTCTTACATATTCGGTGTTGAGTTTGATAAGTTTAGGCAGTGCAAACCAAACCGACGGCGGTATCGTCAGGTATTGCAGAACAGTGAACAAGCGAAACTTCCTTGTCAGTTGGCTTGCCGCCACGAATAAGTTCAACTTTGGGGTAGTGCTGAGCAGAATGGAATCCTTCACTGTGTTTTTTTTAGCGTATTGCGCGTGGGCTCGCATCGTCCTTTCACTTACTGTCTCGCATCTGACCCATGTCACGACCGTATGTCATGTCCGCAGAGAGATCTAGCGCCAACCAGTCTGACCAGCTGCGCATATCTACTCCCTTCTTGTCTGCGCCCAAGGTCTTCATCTTCTTGATGAAGAAATCGAAGTGCTCATTCACTGTAACCTCCTTTGCTTTAAGGTTCCTTGTGCTGAAAGCGGGAGCAAGTTTCTTCGCTACCTCGCGGTGCTTGACAGGATCGGGTTCTCCGGAGATGCCGTTATCGCCGGTATCGAGGGCGTCATAGCCAACTTGCACGAAAAGCTCGAGGTTCTTCTCCTGTGCGAGGTATATGTCTGCCCCGATGATGTAAGTCAAAGGTCTTTGTCTATTGATTGTGGAGATGGAGAGATAGCACAGACCTTTGGCAGCCCGTGGGGAGAGAAAAACGAGTTCATTGGGAGCAATGCGGACCACATCGCCTGAGCAGTCAGTCTTCCGCGATTTGGTTGAGCAGGCATAGTCGTACCATAGTTTCTGAGCACGCTGGCGATGATCCATGGATACCTTCCTGACGTACTAAGTGTTCAAAAGTCAAAAGTGCCCGCTACACGGTTTGATGGAAAGGTATAGTATATGCACCTAGTGTAGGCCCACCACAGATTGCTAAAGGCGGCAAGCCGTGGACCCGGATATTTGGAGAGTGGATGGAAGCTAATACAGTAGATAGTGTGAGCTAAGTAGTAGGCGACAATCTGCTCATGGTAGTGGATCAGCGTATGATGGTTGTATGATTCACGATTAGGACTGACCAAGGTAATAGTAGCGGTAAGAACTTGGGTAGAAGTAAAGAAGCCCAGTTGCTGGCCCCATACATCACTCGATGGGGCCATGTTGACGATAGGGGTGCACCGGCCCTGGTTTGGGTGTCTGTTCTTGGTGTCGGGAGTGTGAGGCCTGGTGGCGGCGCTCGCAAAGGATGTAGGGCTGGGAACTGTGCCGTCGGGTGTAACGTGACGTCCAAATTTGGTCTCGGTTTTGGTTCACCGTTGCTCGACCAATCGGGACTCTGTAGCCAAATCACAAGAGACAGCTCCAGGTCACGACCTGACTCCGCTGTGTGGAGCGATTCGCGATACTATCTCGCTCATGTTGCGGAACTTTCAACGTTGGGTTGTCAAGACCGCTCGAAACACTAAACTGATTAAGGCTAAACCGGTAATTTCTTGGAAGGATTCATGAGCTACTCATTTGACGACTTTGTCATTGATCCAGCGACGGCACAGCTTGTTTACATATCCTTCGTTACCCTCCTGCTATGTTTTATCTTGACCGGTCTGCGCTTGATTCCTATCCAAAGACCAATACGAAAGCTGGGATGGGATGATGCCTTTGCGGGTTCTCGCACTCGTCGTGTTATTTGGCTACGCAATCTGCCCCTTCATCGGTCAGTCGCAACCAAGAGACTTGACTCTCACGAGCTTAATGTGTCGTTCGTGGTAATCGGTCTTGCGGGCAAATGAAGAAGGTCTGGCACTCAAGTCGGTTCTTCAATTACTACGATTGCACCCATGCACCAACCGTGTTACTCGCTGTGGGGGCCTAGTCTAGCGACAGCCCCACATGGCCACTGCATTGCTTATGCAAGCAGCTTGAGGCACAGCGGAGGGGGATTTATCAGGGCTACTCGGCAAGTGCATCTAGCGGAAAACGTTCCGCTCTATGGACTATGGTTCCCGTTGTAGTAGGTCTGGTCGGACTATTGCTCTTGAGGTACCACATGCATAACATGCCCCTGTGACGGCATAACTTTGTAGAGATACGGCACTTCCGACTGCTAATGCCGGGTATTCCGTGCTCGATGGATCTCATACCCAACTGAGAAGGTAAGGCCCACAACAGTCCAGGCCCTCAGGACCCCCATGGGTCCTTTTGCTCGCAGTCACATGCGTTTGAGCTGTACTGATATTCCCCTCATCCTCAATAAATGTCGAGCTGAGTTTCTCTAACTTGGCCGCTGCTCAAGTACATGCTACTATACGTACAAAGTATGTGTAAGTGTGGAGCTCGTGTTCCCGCAACCACAAGCTCGTGTCTGCGCCTCGGCTATCTGATCTGTACAAGGATATGCGCCACGCAATTTAGTCCTACCTTTCCAGGACAAAGCTAATGCTTGGCCACCAATGATATCACGAATGATATACCAGGGTATAAACCGTTTCCTTCCGATACGGATGGTCGATGGATTCCTCGCAAATTGCTCCTCCTTGACTCCGCCGGTAATTCTGCTGTGCCTCTCATTACTCGAGGCGAGGAGGTATGTCAACTGTGGCCGAACATTAGGCGCCTTGCTACGAGGCGGTGCACGAGAAGTTTGTCCGTACCTGGGCATTCGCATGTTTCAAGGGTGTGGTGAGTGACGGCATGGCCGAACTATATCATACCACCAGTAATTCTAGGGTCCTTGCAACCTTGCAATTGATATAAGTACTCTCCGGATACCTCAGGCCGGCCCTTCTTCGTCGCTGCAGGTTGCCTCTAATCGCAGTCCACCATGCATCAACATAAACTAGTACTATCGTTGTCATGGGCGCTCTTGTCGACTTCGTTCGTTGCAGCTCAACGAACGGGCGACAGAGTCTGCGGTCAAATCGCAGTGCTACAGAAGGCAGCACAAGATGCCAACCCATCAGGTACGAGCCTAATGCCGCATGAGATGGCTTTGCTAATCTTTTGGTAGCTGTACCCGCCAGTATACCCATCAAGCCAACCGTCGACTGCCTCAAGAACATCACCGTGGGTCAAGGACGTACCTATGATATAAACCTTATGCTACAGAACATGGACCTCTACCTTGATTTTGAGACTAGTAAGTGAACTGCACATACTCTATGTACATCACTGATCTCCCGATAGCTCTGGATTCCTTGAAGAACCCTCCCGCCGACTGGCCATATCCTGCGCATGACGTTCGTGCCAGACTAGAAGAGGTGAAGAGTAAAGTTAAGAGCAAGGGCTACGCGAACGACTACGAGTTTCAAGTCGAATTGTTCGAGAAGGTATTCGCGCCTGCGCACAGTGGACATTTTATCTTCTACCCTGATCTTCTTGTCAATCCGTGGTATTGGAGTAGAACGGTATCTCTAGTCTCGATCAGCAAAGACGGGTCCGCCCTGCCAGAGATCTACTTCCGCGGTAAGGCTCCTCAGTAAAATTTGACGGGAGATATACTAATTGGTGACTGGTAGACGATATTCTCAACTCTGTCGCCGATGCATCTCCTCTATCCAAGATTGACGGACAAGATGCACAGCAATTCATCCAGGACCTCGTATTCCGAGCAGCCTCGCAAGACCCTGACGCAGGCTACAACGCCATGTTCTACAACAAAGCGCAAGTCGCGGCGAAACTCTCCAACGGTGGGTACTTTGCCCAGGGCGGACGCACCAGCAACATCTATCCGGGCGAGAACACGACCTATACGTTCGAAAACGGAACGTCTGTCACCGTAGATAACGTCGCACTGCTGAGATATGACTTCACCGGTGCCACCGACAATCAATACTTCATCAATCGATACGCCGGTACAACTAGCTTTAGCGCAAATAAAATCAACATCCCGAATGCACCGTCTGGATATCCGACAGCGGTCGTCGCAACAAAAGACGGCACATTAGCCGGGTACTATCTTTCAGGCGACGGCCTAGATGATATTGCAGTGCTCAGCGTGCTCTCGTTCTCTCCCAGCAGTGTGAAAGAGTACCAAGCCGTAGCCGAGACCTTCCTCGCCGACGCCAAACGCGATGGCAAGAAGAAGCTCGTCGTAGACCTCAGCGCCAACAACGGGGGCTACGTCCTCTCAGGGTACGACCTATTCCGCCAGCTCTTCCCGCAACATGAGCAATTCGGCCTGACGCGTTTCCGCAACAACAAGATCCAAGACACAGCTGTCAAGATTAGCCAGAAGATTGTGCCTGAGCCTTTTGATCCGGCGAACGGAGCTATGGAGCAGGTTCGTGCGTACGAGAAGAGCTGGTGCTATAAGCACGATCTGGACCAGGATGGGAAGAAGTTCAAGAGCGCGGAGGAAAAGTGGGCGGATCATAAGGTTGGGGAGTCGAGTTATAGCTCGCTTTTGCAGTGGGATTTGAGTGATCCGTTCTTGACGACGCAGGGGCCAGTGGCGTTTGGGACGGAGATTACCGGGTATGGGAATAGGACGAACTTCACGCAGCCGTTTGCTGCGGAAGATATCATTATGGTAAGTCACTAGTTTCTCAACACAGCAAAGACGAACAGGAAACTGACGGGTGTTGTATAGCTCACCGACGGGTTCTGCGCCTCAACATGCTTCCTCTTCAGCGACTTCATGAAGCAAGTAAACGTCAAGTCTATCGCTGTTGGAGGACTCCCGAACACCAAGCCCATGCAGGCTGTTGGAGGCGTCAAGGGCGGCGAGCTTTCCACGTGGGCGGACCTCTACACCGAGGTGTACCAAGACGCGTTCTATCTGTGGCAAAGGATCAACATGTCCGATCCCGACTATGCTAACCAGAAGAGGACGTTTTTGGACCACCGGGAGTACATAGGGTACACCGCGACCGCCGGTGCCAACATTCGCGATGTCATACAAAAGGACCACATTGACGATGGGCTCGCCGCGCAGTTTGTGAGGGAAGATGCTGATTGTCGGCTGTTTTATACAAAGGACATGATTGTTGATGTCGAGAATGTGTGGAAGAAGGCTGTAGACGTTACATGGGAAGGAGGAAAGTGTGTGAATGGTGGTCTGTCGAAGAGAGATGCATCGAATGATAAGAGAGAAAGAAGGAAGACAGCAAGCGCAGGAGCCAAGCCATCGGTGGGATTGAAGACAAAAAGGGTGAACGTGGAGGAGGAGACCGTGGAGAAGAATGCAGCATGGCGCATCGTGCATGGACGGAAAGCCTTCGAGTAAGATAATATTGACAGGTTGAATGAAGCGTGCAAACTTGATGCCAAAGTACTGTAAATGTGCGACCCTCCTTCTCTTACATGAGCAGCGTGTGCCGCCATTATGTGCCATTGCCCTCCCCATTAACTTGCATAAATACCATCAGCACAGCAGCATACGCCGCAGTCGCAGCCACGACTTCGCCCGGTCGATTGACTGTAGCTGTTGACATGAGGCCAACGAAGACGCATATGAACCCAGTCATGATTGCCAGCTTCTTCGTATCTTTGTCCACAAATTCCAACCACCAGAGGGGTGCTAGCAACATGATGAGCCCGCCTAGTATTATGCTAGTGTTGGTGAGAAAGTCAAACCGGGAGTTGGACGAGTAAACCGTCGTAGAGGATGCTTGACGGTCATTGCTGACGTGCTTGTCGCGAAAGAAGCGGCTGCGGTGAAGGTGCTGGAACGATTCGAGCCAGCGACCAAGAGGTGGACGCGTGCGATGGTTTATTGAAGTTAGGTCGTCGTTATGGTCGATGAACGAAGCCTCTTCTTGGGCAATAGCGCCACGGCCCAGCCAATTCCTGACGTTCTCGATTTGACGTCTGTCAGCGCGGGGTCGAGCGCGTACTTTGGCGTAGCTGTCTACGAATTGATCTATGCATGTCAATAGGGATTCCGACCTAGCTAAGAAGGAATTGCAGACTGTAATGTTGCAAGAGCGAGCTCAGTTCTCCCATGTGTGCGTGTCGCTGCTGCATCCACTTCTCGTCCCATCTCAAACTATCGTTTCTAAGCTTGTCATCTGGATGCGATGTCTCCACCAATTGATCGAGTCTATTGATGTCATCCTCTATTCGCGTGATTCGGTCTTGCATCCATAGTATTGTACGAGCGTTGAGATCCTGGAAACGGCGAATGATGAAGAAATCATCTTCGGTAGCCATCCAAGCGCTGAAAGCCCTATATCCTTCGAACTTCCACGCTGAATTCCGTTTCTCTTGCGAGGTGGTCGTGAATGTTGATGATCGAGAAAGTGGCTGAAGGGGAATTGGGGGCGATGTGCTGGGCAGGTTCGACGTAGGTGCAAGTACCGGACCTGGAAGAGAAGTAGAGGGTGCAGTCATGGAGTTGTATGCCATTTTGCATGATCATGATGTTTGTTGTCTCGTCCGATGCTTCCGTTGATTGTTCTTTAGCTGTAGATATTCAGTTGCACAGAAGGCTGAGCCTGAATTCGGGGCGCGATGCACAAGGCTGTGGCTCGGGAACGTGTCTTGTGACGACTGCACCAGGCTGTACGCAGCTGTGGCAGCCTTCCACTTTCCGAACGCGTCGCACTGTGTCCATTGTGTTTTCTTCCGGGGCCAATACAGATCCCCGTCGTGGCAGCCGAACAGCCGTGGCTTCCAGCGCGAGCGCAGATTGGGCCTGAGGCATCCCAACAATTGTGAGGCAGCGGCTCGAGTGACTTCGGCGCGACAGGCTCCCGTTGCCTCGTTGTGGGCAAATGGCGTGATGGGTTCGAATATAATACAGATGAAGGCTGCAAATGACCGATGGCTTTCAGCCTGCGATCTGACCGGTTTCAAGTCATAAACACAATCCAACTCCTGGCCACAGCCAACGCTCCGGAATCCGCCCTGCATTGCGCCAACTGCATTGTTACAGCGCTTCTTACCCTGTAATCACCGCGGCGATGAACGGAAAGTGGAAGAGGGCAAAGACCAAGTTCGACGCTGTTAACGCCTTTGACAGCCTTGAACGAGGTGGTAGCGAGAGGCCAGACCCACGATACAATCCTCAAGGTCGTGTACAGCCACCCAATGACGGTCCGCCTCCGCATGCGCAGCAGAATATCTCACGATATGGGCAGAGTGCTTCGTACTACAGTGGACATCCGCAGTCTACTGTCTCGTCTCCCTTCGTGGGCAACGCATCGCCCCCGCCATTGCAATACTCCCCTCAATCGTCCCCACCACAGCAGTCACAACAGTATTTTCCTCACTCTTCTCCACCACCGCAGCAACCGCAATATTCTCCTCATTCCTCTCCACCACAGCAGCCACATCAGTATTCTCCTCATTCCTCTCCACCGCAGCAATACTCTCCTCATTCCTCTCCACCACAGCAATATTCTCCTCATATGGGAAATTACGGCTTTCCTCCAGCTCAGCCAACGTATGCTGCGCAGCAGAATACAATAACAGGGTCTTACGCGCCTGTACAAGGTTCGCCGCCCCCAATGGCAGATCACAATACCTCAAATAATACTTTTCAAGAGCAGAATCGCGGTTTTGGTGTCGGCAACGAAGGCGGTTCCGGGTATTGGAGCAACCACGGGACAACATACGACCAGTACCAGCAGCCACCGCTACAGGAAACCTATCCGCAGCGAAGCAACACAGTGCACACTTACCCAACTTCGTATGACCAAAATCCGTACGACCAAAATCCGGGCACGCTCTATCGGAGCTCGACCATGCCGAACCAGTATGGCGCACCACCGATTTACGGCCATAACTGTGACGACCATCGCATACAGTGAGTACTAGACAGCCTTCCAGCTGATAGCTTCATAAACTAAGTGAGGATAGATATGATGGGAGTTGCCGCATCTGCCACCCACCGGATTATCACAACTCTTGAATGGGGTTCGCAAGGTTTGTTGAATCTAAATACGATAAGATCAACCAGGAAAGCACTTGGCAACGTCATTTAGGACGAACTACAAGAAGAGCTCTTCGAGCAGCAAAGCGTCGTGTCAGCCTAGTCGCAAAGAGAGCCGAAATCCGGTTACGGGTGAGGATTGTTCAACTGCAGGGATAGGATGATCCCCGTCCTACGCGCGTTATCTGAGGGTGGATATCCCATGTGGCAGCTCTCACCATGTAAGAGGCAGGCGAGGAGCTGTACTCGGTTGCCTTATGAAAGAGCCGCCCGGTCGATGGTATTCCGTCTGACGGATGAACGCTGAGCCATCTGCTGGCGTCACCCGCGCGTCCTATACGCAATGCTCTCGCCCCAAGCTGGGGTTTGGAGAATCGCATGGTCAAGTGGTGGTCCAAGGAACGGGTGTGCGCCAAAGGATGCGAAAACATGGAATAATTCTGTACGCATCCTGAGTCGGGGAGAGTGAGAAAGTAGCATTGAAGAGCTTTGGAGTTGGAGTTCCCTGTAGTGAAGTACGTGTGTCGTCAATTTCGTCTAATTCGTGTTCTTGCGACGTTGTCACTGCAATGGTAGGAGGGAGTGTGAGCGTGTTCGGCGTTAACGTTCGGAGTGGAAGTCGTGCCTAGCTCATTCCTCACTAAGCCTAGCGCACCTCGGCATAACTCCATCGCTCCTCCGCGCCCTAGAAATGATTCGGGCCAGCATGTAGATAACCAACGTTTGCCCCTCATGCCTCCTCCGCGGTTACAGACACTTTGCAGGCTTTCCAGTACGTGGTCTCGCCCGCCGAGCCTGATTCTCCTTACACCGACCCAGTACGACCCTTATTGAAACCCCAACTGGGTAAACAAAGCTATATCAACCCCACCTTTCACCAGAAGCTCCACACAACTTCAAGATTATCCAGCATGTCGGATTTCGCACAGTATACCGCAAATGGTACCAAGTCAACCTCGAACAATGGCCCTACGCAGGGAGAGATAGCATGGGGCTCGCAAAAGAACCCAGCCGCCTACGATTTCCGCTCCGACGTCCACACCACGCCGACCGCTTCGATGCTGAATGCGATCGCGCAATGCACCCTTCTCGACGATGTCACAATGGAGGACCCTACAACACTATCCCTTGAGCGCTTCATTGCCGACCTTACAGGGAAGGAGGACGCGTTGCTTGTCCTTTCAGGCACTATGGGAAACCAGGTTGCGCTTCGATCACATCTTACTGCTCCACCGCAAGCAGTACTGTGCGATCGGAGGGGCCACATCATACAGTATGAGGCCGGAGGCATAGCGACTCTGAGTCAAGCCATGGTACAGCCTATCGATGCGAAGAACAAGAAGTATATCACGTTGGAAGAGGTACAGGAACTCGCCGTCATCTCGGACGACGTTCACGCGTGCCCTACACGCGTAATATCGCTCGAGAACACCTTGAATGGCACGATCATGCCGCTCTCCGAGGTTCGCAGGATATCCGCGTTTGCTCGCGAGAACGGCATCATAATGCATTTGGACGGTGCACGGCTGTGGGAGGCTGTCGCGGCCGGTGCAGGGACTCTCAAAGAGTTCTGCGCCGAATTCGACAGTGTAAGTCTTTGCTTCAGCAAAGGCCTTGGTGCGCCCATTGGAAGCATCGTCATTGGCACGAAAGCATTCATCAAGCGCTCTCGCTGGATTCGCAAGTCTATTGGTGGTGGTCTGCGTCAAGCTGGCGTTGTTGCAGCACCAGCGCGTGTCGCTGTGGAGGAGACCTTCCTTGGTGGTAAACTCACCCAATCACATGAGAATGCGAAGAAAATCGAAAAGTTTTGGACAGACCTGGGCGGCAAGACATCATATCCTGTTGATACGAACATGGTCTGGCTGAATCTCGAGGGCAGCGGCGTAAAGGTGAATCATTTTATTGAACTGGGCGAGCAATACGGGGTGGTAGTGAGAGGGGGGTCGATTCGTGGTACACTATCAGATCGGAGAAGATGCGATACAACGAGTGGGCCAACTTTTCGCCGACGCGCTGAAGGGCCAGGCTGGGGACCTGAAGACGGGCAAAGTGGAGCACAGTCCCGAAGATCTAAAGCTAAAGGGCAAAGGCGTCGAGTAAGCATCTTACAATAACAAGAAATTGCGACTGGCCAAATCATTGTGAGCTGTAAGAGTATAGTGCGCGACCTCTTTCGACTAACCACAGCTTTTCGGATAAAACTCCGAAGGTGTAAGAGCTTCTCGGGAGCAATAACGGTTAGCGAAATGTGAGATGCGACCGCGACCGCGCTGACTGCATGCGCGAACGATGTAACCAATAATACGGCGCCGTGGCTCTGTTCAAGGTATATATCAGTCAAAATTACAAAGCTTGAACATCCAAGCGAATGCTTCTCTACACGAACATGCGCCTCTTCTTCTTGTCTAAAATTGCCATAGTGCTCCCACTGCAGAGCTGTTCAGCTTTCAATCTGTTCACTTCCCCGAGCCAGTTGCCAACCACTGAGTATGATTTCGTAATTGCCGGAGGTGGAACAGCGGTAATCACAAGCGCCGTCTCGCACTAAGAACATTTGCTCACCGGACACAGGGGTGCGTGCTAGCCGCCCGGTTGACCGAGAACCAAAACGTTTCGGTACTCCTCGTTGAAGCTGGTGCCAAGTAAGCGTGAATATCTGGAGCGAGCACGAACACGTCCGTTAAAAAGTCGCGCAGTAACAAAGATTTTTTTCGACTCCATAGTCCCCTTCCTTACACCTTTTCTGGCCAGTACTCCAGCAGACTGGAACTATACTACCACCCCGCAAGCTGGTTACAACAACCGTGTTATCCCATTCGGACGAGGTCACATGCTGGGCGGGAGTAGCAGTGTCAGCAAGTCACATGCCTCTCAAGCACGCATTCGAACCTAGATTATTGACCATTTCCAGATTACTTGGGATACAATCGCGGCTCCAACGATGTTTGGGATCGATTTGCGAGCATCACCGGAGACGACGGATGGGCATGGTCTGCAATGGAAAAGTATTATCTCAAAAGCTCGCGGCTCGTACCGCCAGCAGATGGCCGTAACTACTCAGACCACACAATTGCTTCTGCCCACGGGCACGGGCCGATCGAAGTCAGCATCGCTGGGTATCCGTACGATGTTGATTACCTTGTTGTAAATGCAAGCAAAGATCTGGGACGGCGATTCGCGTTCAATCAGGATTTGAATGCGGATAATACTACTGGTTTTGGTAGGTCCAATCTTCAATTATGGGGACGGTGGATGAGAGTCTAAAATCTAAGTAGGATGGTCGCAAAGTACAATAGGTAATAGTCGGCGAAGTGATTCGGCAACTGCCTATCTGAACCCGTTGTTCAACACGAATGCCCAATTAGATGTCCTCATCAATACTCAAGTCATCAGGTTAATACAGACGGGAGGCAGCAAAGAAACCACCAATGCGAGCAGCAGCGGTATTGAGTTCAAGGCTGCGCAATTGATGCAGTCAAATGCCTGTCAGTCCTCCACGAACTCCAAGCAGAACACCGACTAACCTGACCAGCCAATACAACAACCGTCTCCGCCCGCAAAGAGATCATCCTCTCGGCCGGCACAATAGGCACCCCAAAGCTCCTCATGCTCTCTGGCATTGGATCCTCCGCTACTCTTCAATCTCTCAACATCACGCCCATTGTCAATCTTCCCGACGTAGGCCAGAATCTGACGGATCATCCGCTGATCCCTGTGTACTGGACCGTGCAGCGAAACACCACCGTAGACCCCATATTGCAGAACCAGACCATATTTGCAGAAAACCTACGGCAGTGGAACCAAACAGGCCAAGGACCGATGGTAGATAGCTACGGCAACATCATGGCTTTCCAACGCCTCCCAAAGAACGCGAGCATATGGCAGAGCATCAGTGAAGATCCTGCAGCTGGACCCCTATCCGGTCACACGGAGTTGTTATTCGCTGTAAGATACTTCCCATACCTAGCCACGGTACGAGGAGCGACTAACCAGTAGCCAGGAAGGTTTCATCCCCCTAAGCAACATCCCCTTCCCCCCTTCCGGAACCTACCTCACAACAATCGGCATCGTCGTGTCGCCTACTTCTCGTGGCTCCGTAACGCTTAATAGCTCCGATCCGTTCGCCGCTCCGGTTATTAACCCGGGATATCTCACCACGCTTTTTGATCAGTATGCCGCTGTGCAGGCGATGCGAGATATCTTGACTGTCGTACACAATCCTATTTTTAACGGGTACATCGGCGAGCCATACGGTCCGCTTGCGAATGTGTCAAGCGGTGAGGATATGCTGGCGTATGCGCGGGCTTACTCGTCGACTATCAACCATGCGGTTGGGACGGCGAAGATGAGTCCGAGGGGTTCCCATTGGGGTGTTTTGGATCCAGATTTGATTGTGAAGGGGGTGAGGGGATTGAGGGTTGTGGATGCGTCTGTTATGGTGAGTTTGAATGCTAGTATATGTGGGGAGAGAGGAGGAGCTGATGCTGTATAGCCCGAGATCCCGGAGTGTCATATGCAGGGACCGGTTTATATTGTTGCTGAGAGGGCGGCGGATATTATTAAGGAAGCGTACGGGTTGTGATGGGTGTAGCGAAGGGAAAGGGGTTTGCGGTACTGTGAGCTTGGTAGCATTGGTCACGCCTAGTCATCGCACAATGTGATTTACAATAATCGGTCTGCCTTCAGGAGCCCGAATGTCGAGAGGGTTCACCTCTCCTTGTGAGCGACTATGGCCTACAGAATGTGAAACAACTCCGTACTCGTGTTGGCTAATCTGGGTGAAAAGGCCGCGCAATAACGTGAATCACCTTGTTTCCGCCAGATCTATGAACAATTTTAGCGTCCTAACATCTCTTTCAACTTTACCTACATTCACCTTTTTTGGTGAAAGAGTGATTTTAGTCGTAAGTAGTAAAATGCAGTGACCACTTCGCGTGGCTCGTGTAGCCCATAGATTCTCCATATGTAAAGTATATAATGACCTCCTCTATCCCTACTTCTGCACCCTCACTTCTGCACTCGAATCAAATCCGAGTCCATTCAACACTACGTCAACTGCAGCCATGGATATATCCACCACAACCATGAATATCGCCACCTCAGTGCTCGAATTTCTCTGGACGATGATCTGGATGGCAGCCTGTGCTGCCTTACACACCTTATTTGCCTTCGAATTCATAATTGATCTGGGCTCATACGACTTTGAATGGATACATCTTTTCATCTTCGGTTTCTCCTCCGCTTGCCTGGGCTACCTCTCCACGATGTTTAGCGTTGTCCCTTACTCCTTCGACGCCGTCATCCTTGCCAAGGGGTTTATCCTTTTCCGCAAGATGGATTCAGAACCACCTTTCTCAATCTCGGCGAAGGTCACGCTTATATCGTACATCCTTGTGCTAGGAAAGTGGGTTGACGTCAAGATCTGGCTACTGGAAATTCCACTTCTCTTCAGGGTCATGGCCTTACTGTTTTGTTGGTGGGAAGCATATCGTTTCGAACACTGTTTTTGCATGTGGCGTCATATCGACTATACCCGCCGATTCGAACAGATGATAGCCCAGAATCCTCGGCCTCGGATGACGAGGGAGCAAGCGATGCAGGAATTGGAAGGCGATGAGTAGGATAGTACCTATGGGTAGAGCATCTGTGAATGGGGCGAGGGTTGGAAGCAATCCCGAATTGGATCGAACAGTCGACGTTTAATTCCTCTAGACATCCCCTCTCAATCGGATGTGGTTATCATTGGAGTTGTCGTGCCTCTGCGGGGCTTCATGGTGATATTCGGCATCCGTTAGCATGCTCATTTCCTATTCATTAGCAAGGCATTAGGTCGTTCACGGTCTCAAAATCAAGTTTTCGCCTGGTTATACGCTCCACGCACGAATTTGTACCGTTATGCTGGGACGTCGGCGCTGTGAATTGTATTTCTTCAAGGCAGCGAAAAGCGTTGTGCGCAGCGCATTCGAGTATGGCCAATGAATTCGCCCCAGATTAAGACTCCTGGTAAGCAAACATATCTTGTAGCATGATGTAGCGCAACATTAGCAGCGATCCACTATACTGTGGGAATCCCGTGCGAGAGCTCGGTAATCGGTCTGCCAAGGGCAGGCTACGGAAAGTTTCCAAACAGCCTAGGAATCCCACTAGCACTAGATGCCCCTGTTTCATGCTATACTATGCGATCTGATTGGTCGCAAATCTGTGCATCACTGTGCGCGACGGTCCTTTGACATGGTCGGAGGCTTAGACATGCCGCATTTCTTTTGAGTACAGGCCAATGTTGTACCCCACAAATGCGTCTCGCACGCATCGGGCATCACCAATACTTCCGCATAGAATCATAGGGTCGTCATAAACGGACTCCAAGAGGCTGTCCGATCTTGGGTGCTTGTCGCGGGCTTTTGAAAAGGCCGTCTGGGGTTTGAGCACTGCGTATAAGAGATCCAGTGGTGCTGTCTACCAGTACAGTACCCATCCAAAGCTATCAGTCCAATCACTTGATTCGATCTTCATTCTTCAGTCTCTCGTTCTAAAAAGTCAAATTCCTAGACACCATAATGTACTTCACCTCGACATTCAGATTGGCCGTGTTGGCAATTGCTGCGACTGCTGTCGCAGCCCCGACTACACCTCTTAATACTCGCGAAGCTGTTTGCGGGACATGGTACGACAACTACCTCGGGCCCGGCAGTGCTGGCGATGTACTCGGTACCGGCCAGTGCCAGCAGATCAAGAAGGCTGGCGAGGGTCCGAATGACCAGTCAAAGTACACATTCAATATCAAGGGTGCTTGCGTTCATTGCGACTTCTACAGGTACGTCATGGAAGATTTGTTTGGTGTGGTTAGCAGTAAAATCGGTAGCCGGAGGCACTCGTACTCGGGACTCGCCCACTGGACGTGAATGGACGGTAACTGACAGCACTACAGTGACGAGAATTGTGGAAGTGTGGTTGGTGGCGTGGGAAACAACCAAGGGCAGGATTGGGACACCGAGTGGACATACGGCTCTGCTAAGAGTTTCAGATGCTAAGTGGTCGATGATTCGGGATGGGTAAGTCACTGAGGCCATATTCTAAGAATACGCCCTTCGGGATTTTAGGAGTGTCTTGAGCATGGAATCGGTAACGCCTGTATGGCCATTCCATCATGTATTAAATTTTGTCTTGCTGATGAATTTGCGCCTTACCGAAGACCCTTTTCGTTGATGTAACAGCACTTCTCAGATACGTACAAAGCAACCTCAGACAGCGAGCATAGTGAGAAAAAAAAAACATCCAGTTATTGCAGTGCGATCCGGCAACGGAAAATTATGATTGAGAGTTGCATAGAGCATCTAAATTAGTATTGACTTCATGGTTCACGTATTCTGGGCCCCTGAATTTATTGACAAGAAGGAACAACAACATGGCGAGACAAAATTTCATCGACTGTGCTATCCCGGACATCGATTTCGAAGGAGCTACCAAGCCTTACATAGAACAACAACCAAGATGTGAGCTATATTACATCTAAAAGAGTCCAACAAGATTTCACCACTGCATCAAACCTCCTAGACATTTCCTCGGCCACCTTCCGGTCAGCAGTTGACGCTCATTCTCCGTTGTAAGATTCAGATGCCAGTTTGCGGCGTGAAGCCCGCTGTGTGAAGCCCGATGTGTCGTATGATGGCTTCCGAAGCTGGGGTATGTGGACCCGCGATGGGACTAGCGGCCTAAGATTACCGCGTGCTGACACTAACCGGGGTGCCGGGCACTACGCCTCACCACTCACTTCTATTGCCACTGCCACCTACATTCTCCTTGCCTGCACTACATTCCCTTATTCATGTCTCCATGAAGATCTACTACTCTTTGCGCAATGGGGCTCTCATCTTTATTCAGTCGCAAAAAGCGGGACAAGCCACCCAAACCGCCCAGCAATGCGGAAATGGATGTGAGATTCCAGAAATGGTTTAAAAATACCAGTATTGGTATGTATATTCACGTCTGCAAGCATCTGAGCTTAACGTTAACATGTAACCAGACGATATTCGCAGTCTGTTCCTCGCAAACCTACTGGAAGGTAACGAAGTCAACCGAGCTCTCCTTCAAAAAGGTGAGCTTGAGCACTTCAATAGGCTTGCAACAGAGCTCGAAACGACCGCAGATGGTCACATACAAATAGATTCATTCCTACATCTCCTAAAGCAAGCTCATAGCGAGAAGGCGCTGGTTTTACAATCAGCAGGCTTCTTCGTCCAAGCTCTCGTCCTATCTCACGCGCATTTTCCATTCTCCGAGCCCGTACCTCTTACGAAGGACAACCTGCTCCAAGCCCTGTTACTTCTTAGATTGCAATGCGATAATTATTGGGAGCAACGTACGTGCATTAACCGCGACGACACTATCCGCATACGGCCTGAAAAACGACGCCTGGGCTTCGTATTTGCGCCGCTATAGCACTTCCACCATACCGGATATCAACGCGTGATGATATCACAGACGTTTTATGCAGACTCAACTACCCAATGGGCCACTGGATCAAGCCGAAAGACGAGCCTATTCGTAAGCTTGTTCGCGACCTAGAGCCATTGGCTGAACGACTGCAACCTGAGGATGACGGTCCTGTACCAGAACCTATGCACGTGCGCTCTTTGCAGCCTCTCGTCGACCTTGTTGCTGCCTTTACATCTCCATGGGAAGAACACATACCTAATGTAGGATTTGGAAACAAACAGGTTGTAAGCGTGAAGGAATTTGTGCGCTGGGCGAAGAGGGTATGTAACGCAGCTAGCGTAAGTGAACCTAACCCAAGCTTACATCGAATAGGTCCGGTTGCTCGTTTCTCTTCATCTAGTCTTCGACATCTTTTTCAATGATCCCAGAGTCTGATTGAGTGTAGGATGGAGCGGCATCCGGCTATGACCACAATACGCAAACCGGTCCCTTGATATGTACTACTTCACTATGGGTACGAGCACTTCCAGCATGCCCATGCAAACTGCGCATCCTTGAAC